GGGGTGCGTGTGTGGGCGTGTCTTTGCCTGTTCCTGCCGTGCTGGTACCTGGGCACTATTGGCGGGCGGGGCTCGGACGGGGAGGGGAGGAAGCGTGGCAGAGCTAGCGTGGAGCAACAGAGGTGACAGGTGATGAGATGGTGAGATGCAACAGCTGGTTAGCTGGATGGTGGGGAACGCGTCGCTGGACCCGGCCGGTCAAGCAACGCGGTCTGCAGGGACGGGCAAGGGTGCGATTGGGCCACAGAGGCGGGCGGCTTCTCGAAGCAACAGTCTGCAGACCGCAAGATTGAGCTTGCATCGGATCTGCTGGCGCTTCACTTCTAGAAGCCGGAATGGAAGAACTGGCGGTCGGGGAGAGGCAGCTGGGCGGCGGCGGGTCCGCCGTTTGCGGGAATATGGGGAAAGCGAGGGTATTGGCTGGCGCGCGGCTTCGCGTGTAGCTAGCTGCAGCACGTCTGACCGTTCGGCGCTGGAGGGTGGGAAGTGGGGCCATGGGTCGGATATGGGCAGCGGGGTGGAGACGAGGGTGGAGGAAGCGGTCTGGAATCTGGCACAGCAGCACGTGGGGCGCTGGGCGGATGCATGATGATGAAGGTGGTGTCCTGCCGACTAGCCCAGCGCGGCTGGCTTGCGCGGAACAGCGGAGCGCGGGCGGGGAGGAGCGGATTGGACGCGTGCAGGCGTGCTTGGAGCAAGTGTTCATGCGTAATGCAGGCCGAGCGACTTCACAACCAAGTGGCGGTCAATGAATGCGTCGAGAAGTGCACTGACGGCCTTGTGTCCGACACCGGCCGGCCGGCACTGCTGCCAGAGATGCAGGCGCTGATGCAGGCGCCGATGCAGATGCAGATGCAGATGCGGATGCACGCGCAGCTCGTGGAAGGCGTGCACAAGCGGGCGGTGGCTTGACTTGTGAGAGCGGCGGGCGGCGGCGGCGTGTGGTGTTGAAGGGCGGCCGCCGTAGGCAGGCGGGCACTGAGGCGGGCAGGCGTCGTCGGCGGGCGGCTCTCCGGCCTCCGCCCGAGCGGCAGGAACCCTCCACCAACCACCTGCCGAAACGGTAGCCAGGCCCAACCACGAAGCCGGCGCCGCGACTGCCTCTCGGACCGGCTGGCATTGCCTCCTGCCGCCGCCACCTTCGCTGGAGCGGCCGTCGAGCTGCCGCTGTATGTAGTCTCTGGTCATCATGTCGTCCAAACTCAAAGTCATCGCCCTCATCTCGGGCGGCAAAGACTCGCTCTTCTCCATCCTACACTGCCTCAAGAACGGCCACGACCTTGTCGCCTTGGCAAACCTCTACCCACCCCACGCCGTCGCCTCGGCCAATGATGACGAGGGCGAGGACATCAACAGCTTCATGTACCAGACGGTTGGCCACACGGTAATCCCGCTCTACGAGCAGGCCCTGAAGCTGCCGCTGTACCGCCAGCCAATCCTCGGCCATGCTGTCGTCACCGACAAGGACTACCATCACCAATCTCAATTACCAACCCCATCCGTGGTCCCGGTCGACGCCAGCGTCGATGACGTCGAGGACGAGACTGAATCGCTCTTGCCACTGCTCCGCCGTGTCGTGGCTGCTCACCCGGAGGCGAACGCCGTGTGCACCGGCGCCATCCTCTCGACATACCAGCGCACCCGCGTTGAGTCCGTCTGCGCCCGCCTCGGTCTTGTGTCACTCGGCTACCTTTGGCAGTACCCGGCTCTGCCCCCCTACGCTGATGCCGCTCTGCTGAGAGACATGGCCGCAGTTGGCCAGGACGCCCGCATCATCAAGGTGGCGAGCGGGGGCATGGACGACGGCTTCTTGTGGCAGAATGTTGCCGACGTGAGGACCATTGAGAGATTGAAGAGGGCCGCCGCCAGGTTTGGGGGCGAGGGTGCCGTGTTGGGTGAGGGGGGTGAGTTCGAGACGCTGGCAGTGGACGGCCCGTCCTGTGTATGGAAGGGGAGGATTGAGGTGGACGTCGATGAGAAGGCAGTGATAGGTGAGGGTGGGAATGCCCTGGTGAGGTTCAAGGGCGCACAGCTCGTGCAGAAGACGGAGACTGACCATGACGGGCTGGACAGCCTGCGCGTGCCTGACTTGTTCGACCTTGAGTTCGACGAGCTTGGTCGCCATCTCTCGCTGAACGGTCCCGAAAGAGCGTCCGACAGCAAGACGTTAGAGCAGAGCTTAGCAGCAACCTCTCTCTCCGACCAGAGCACCGCCCCGCCCATCCAGAGCCTCGATTCTTACACCTCCCTACACGGCAGCACTCTCATCATCTCAAACCTTATTGCCCCCTCTCCAACCACACCGACGGCCCAACTCACAGCCATCACGACCCGCCTCCTCGCCCTCCTCCCCCTCCACTTCGCCACCCCCGCCAACATCACCTCCACCACCCTTCTGCTGCGTTCCATGTCTCTCTTCACAGCCCTCAACCCCATATACGGCGTCCTTTTCAGCCGTGCCGCCAACCCTCCCGCCCGCGTCACCGTCGCCTGCGGCTCTGCCCTGCCTGAAGGCGTCGATGTCGCCCTCTCATGCACCGTCGACCTCCCCGTCACGGACAGCCTCGCTCCGTCCCGCCGCCGCGGTCTCCACGTTCAGAGTCGCAGCTACTGGGCTCCGGCCAACATCGGGCCATACTCGCAGGCCGTCGCCGTACCGACGGGAGGAGCGGAGACAGGGGCGGAGATCGTGCATCTGGCCGGTCAAATCCCGCTCGTGCCGGCGAGCATGGAGATGGTGACGGCGGCCGATGCGCCGTGGCTCGAGGAAGAAAAGAGGAAATGCTCGTCGTCGGCGTTCGCGGTGCAGGCCGTCCTTGCGTTGCAGCATCTTTGGCGCGTGGGCCGTGTCATGGGCGTCAGGTGGTGGGCGTGCGGGACGGCGTTCGTGTCTATGCCGGAAAGCAGAGCCGAAGGAGACAGGAGAGCGCTCGTCGCGAGGGAAGTCTGGAGGAGGATACACGAGCAGCTGCGGCCGAAGGATGCGGGTGAAGAAGATGAGGACGCGGATGTGGTGGACGTGTGGGACTTGAAATATGGGAACGCCGGTAAGGGGTTCGGCGGCGTCGGCGGCGGAGCTCCGGCTGCGGAGGTAGATGGAAGGCCGAAGCTACCGGCCTTCGAGGCCGTCAAGTGGAGCCGTGGGATGGAGAAGGAAGGCGGCGATTTGGTGCCTCCTTGCGTCGTGGTGCAGGTGCTAGAATTGCCCCGCGCGGCAGACGTGGAGTGGACTAGCCCGGGCTTGACGAACTGTGGGGATGTGACGCTGGGCCGGCTGGAAGGAAGCAGGACTGGCCTCGTTGTACATGAAACGAAGGCAGCGGGTGGGACGATGAGCTTCTACGCTGCTGGCGTAGCGAGCGGAGATGATGTGTGGGAGCTCGATGAGATTTTGAAGTCTGCGATGGTGCCGGTTGAGGGAAGAGTGTACACTTTGTACGCCGCAGGGCCGCTGCCGCAGGACTGGGTGGACCGGTCATGCCCGCTTGTCGTGCCTTGCGGTAGGGTTTGGGGACCTGATGGAAAAGAAGTGGTTGCTGCAGTGACTGTGAGGTACTGTCAAGGTGCTCACTGATTTTGGAATGTACTATAAGGAAAGGATAAGGGCACGCATGCTGCAGACGCAATGATTGGCCAACACTGTATCTACATGGGGACAGTCCCCTCCAAATATTACAGATATCTTCCTCATGTTGGCCTGACAGCCTTGGGCATGCAAGAAGCAGTTGACCGCAGGTAAAGCATGTGCCCACTGCCTGTGCACAATGAAGGATTTGGGTGATAAGTCGTTAGTCATTTCTATGTGTTTAACTTTGCACTATGCCGACTACACGTTGGCGGCCTGTCTACTACGTACGTGAATCTGCTAGACGAACTGATGGAGTTAACCTTTCCGAGAGAGCCAGCTACTCGGCCTCACTAGTATTGCACAACTGAAATTGGCATGATTTGCTGATACGGTTTACCTTTTTCCCTTCACGTTCCCCTCTACTACCCTAGCTAGCCGTTGTGGCTTGCGGACAGGCGGTACAATCACGTGTCAGCATCGAGCATCGCATCCGCCTTTAGTGCCCGGCTTCCCGATTGCGGATGCGCCTCTCTGATCATCTCCACGACCCAAGGCCACGCGACTCATCAATCTGCTCCTCCAGCAACAACTTCCAACGTCTCGTGCGGTTCCGCGTGGTCAATGTAGCAGAGAGAGCGGACGCGCAGGTTGCGCCGCGGGTAACGCAGGGCGATTAGGAGCGGCGGCGGGCCAGCGGATCCGCATTAACGCCCCAGCTCATGTCATCGCAACCGGGCGGCGCGCGACGACGGCTTCTTTGGGGGGGAGTGGCAGGTTCGAGTCAACGTTTTTACGTTTTTTTTTTTCGGCAGGGAAAACAATAACATCGAACGTAGGTAGCGGAGCCGAGATAGCCCTATCTGCCGTTCAAGCGATTGATTCGGCTGCGCAATGATCCTCCTCCTCTTTTTTGCGGCACCGGAGCTCGCGCCGAGCTGAGCAGTGCCGCAAGGGCACGTTTATTACCAAAAGGGGACTAATAGGACTAGAGAGGCTGCGATTGGTGCCCTTGGGTAGCCTCGGATGCCTTGTTTCTCTGGTGACCTGCAGCCGAAATCATGTTGCGGACGTTATACGCATCGTGCAGTTGACGCAAAAGCGTGCAGCAGCGATGGGAGTAGGATCGAACGGGGGGAGACTGATTTATTCCACGGACGTCAGCACGAATTTCTGAAAGGAATGGCAACACGTTCTGCCGTTCAATTACTACACTCTGTAAGCATGCGCCAAACATGTGGAAAAAGACCCGCCCCAATGATGAACCAATTGCAAATTTCATCCGTTACTTGTCATTGCCTTTGTAGGTCACAGGAATCGTCTGATCCACGCTGGTGATGCTGCCCTGTTCCTGAATGTGCAGTTGAAGCAGACATACGGATGTAAATACGAGGCTCAAAGCTGTGTAAGCACATTCAGAGATAGGAGAACGCTATCCGCACAAGTATGGTGAGGTTTCCGCGGTGTGGCATATCTCTGACGAAGATGGAGGCACGTTTGACTCTTTTGTAACACGCTGAGACTTCAAGAATCCCTGCACGCATTTCTTTCCTGCCCCTCAAAGCTCTCAGCAAAGAGTGCATTTTCTTCCAAGCCTTCTCTGTCACGGTATATCAGGACCGCCTCACTCCCGCCTTTCTCTCCTCACACCACAAACCCCAACACAGCATACAGTGCGCCCTCACGCATGCCTACATCTCCCCCGTTTCTACATCCTACCTCCCAATCCTTCCGTCAAGGCCTGCTTCGCCTCAATCCCGGCACCCATGGATTCGAGAAAAGGAAAGGGGGAAATAGCTGTTTCCGCCTCAACACCAAGACTCAACCACGTCAACCGCAAAAGAGTGAGCCATGTTCGGCCAGCATAGATACAGATACGGTGATTTCTTTAGATAAAAATCAAGATATAACACCGGAATTGAACCAGTCACTATTGGATCTGCGGGGAATCTGTTGTTGTTGTTGTCAGCATGAATGTAGAAGGGATCCGAACGTGGATGCAGCTACTGACCGAACCCCAGACCACTCCCAGTCAAGAAACAACTGCCGCGTTGCTGGTGATTTTGCCAAGAGAGTATTATGCCACTAAACAGACCCAGATGGAGATGTTTGATGGGATGTGAAGTGTCCCTGTAGCGTTATGTACGCACGTGTAGTGTGTTGACCAAGAAAGCGGGCGGGCCCACCATCCAGACACCCCGAGATCTCTCCACCTCTTCACCACAAGAACAAAGTACGATATATTCCTCCTCTTCTGCCCCTTTACCTGTTCTGGCGCATGGGATAGCTGACGAAAACCGTGGCCGAGTTGCGTCGTCGTGGTAGACATGATACGGCCCGTGTCGCCCCCGACAACGTCTCGCACACACACACACACACACACACACACACAAACACACATAAAGAAACAAACACAAAAATGCGGCTCAGCAAGCATTATTTTTCGACCATTTTGTTCCGAGCGGTGTGTGCGTTGGTGGCCCGACTCGGAGCGGCGGCATGTGCGCGGACCAGAGGGGTGCAAGGGAGAGAGGGTGCTATGCAAAAGCTCTGGGCTCGCGGAGAGAAAGGAGCACAAAATGCACACGGACACGGGCGGGAGAGAGGGAAGGGAGGGAGGGAAAGCGGGAGGCCGGGCCTTGGCTCTCCCCGTGTGCACGGCGAGGGCCAGCGGTGTAGGCGAGAGTGGTCGAGACAAAGCTGAGAGCGGATATTCGATATTGCTTCTCGAAGGGGGGGAGCGTGAGAGGGGTCGAGAGGTGCTTAGGCCACGGGCAGAGACCGAGATATGGCCGGGGGAAGAAGTCGAGGCGACGCAGAGAGAGCCCTTCGCCAACCGCAAGATTGCAGCACATGCGCCGCAACGCCGGATCTGCTGCCGGTACAGGTCCACGTGGTGGCTTGATCGCCGCCTGCAGCTGAATGGAACCCTCGTCGAAGCGGCCGCACTGGCCCAGTCGTGTGTCGAGCATTTCCAATATTTGGAGAGCGAGTGCTGTCGAAGGCGCCCGCTCGCTCTTCATCAGGCCATCTCGGCGCACGCCTCACGCCGCGTAGCAGATGCTGCGCTTCGCCGCTTGCCCGCCGTCTCCGAAAGTCCCCAGCGCATACGCGCGTCATGCCCGGCCAGCCACCCGGCGGCCTTGCAACATGTCGCGGGCCAAGAATAGAGCCAATGCTGGGTGTGCGGAGCACGGCCACGCCCACGCCCACGCCTCTCCACATCTCATCTCGGCGCGGCCCTCAACACCGCAGCGGCAGCATGTGCTGTACAAGGCACATCTGCCTGCACAGCGGGCACTCCGGCTTCTCGCGGCACCAGTCCCCAATGCACGTCCAGCAGAAGACGTGGCCGCACGTCGTCACGCTGGGGTCCTTCATCTCCTCCAGGCACAGCGTGCACTTGCGCTGCTGCCCGCCCGGCATCCACCCCAGGCACCCGGCGTCCGACAGGTCGACCCGCGGCGTCGCCGACACGGGCGTGTTCGTCGTCTTGGCCACGCGCCTGCTCTGCTCCGCCGCGCTCGACCCCGCGTGGTTCGTGTCGAAGAGCAGCGCGTTGTTGGACGCGTAGTCCTGCGCGTTCAGCGACACCTCGACGCCGTGGTCGAGCACCGCCGTGCCGCCCGCCGCCGACCCCGCGTTCGCCACCATGGTGTTCTGCAGGTGCAGGTAGCTCTGGACCGCCAGCTGCAGCACCAGCAGCACCCCCAGCACCTCGTAGCCGACCCGCTGCTCCGACGGCTCGATGCGCCGCGTGAAGATGTAGCGGAGGCCCCACAGCCGCTTGCCGAGCTCGTAGTAGGCGCCCGAGAAGTAGAATGCCGCCAGGCTGACGGCGTAGACGGACGACGGCGACGTGAGGGGGTCCAGGTTGTTCAGCACGTACGACTGGATGCGGTGCGCCATCCCAGTCTGCCCGCCCGGCTTGCGCGAGAGCTTGCGCAGGTTCGCCTCGAGTTTGGCGCGTATCCTTCGCCTGAAGGCGGGCAGGATCCGGTTGAGCCCGTACGGCAAGAGTATGGTTGTGACGATGTAGCCGCCGCGACGATAGACGGCCGGCAGGCGGAGCGTGTCATCCTCGACCTGCACGATGTCGCAGTACTCCTCGCCGAGCGTGCGGTTGCCGACGAAGGTGGTCAGTCCCAGGTAGAGGAGCTCGGCAGCTGTCTTGGCCTCGCTCGTGTAGTTGTGGGCGAAGCGCGCTCCTCGGAGCTTGCGGAGGATGGCCGACAGCTGCTCGAGCAGCACGCCTTCGAAGTACGCGTCTTTCTGATGTGAGCGAATAATGTCAGGCGCCGCAGCGAAGGGATAGCGGTTGGAAGACGTCATGGTCGTCGGCGTCGCATTGGAAGGTGGGCGTCGATGATGAGTGAGTGGGTGTCGCGGGACAGAGCTGTGGAGCTGATGAGACCTCGGCATCAGTTGCGCCGCCCCAGACACGCGCCGAGGGCCCACTCCGACTACTCGTCATCCCACACTTCTATCTAAACATCTACTCGCCAAAAGAAGAGGGCTGCTGGCGTCCATGACCCGCTGAGCCAGCACCTTCACCGCGTTTGGAATCTTTTCACTTGGCCACTTCTCAATTCCCCAGAAGATGATCAGAATCGAATATTATTATTAGTACAAGGGTGTGTTTGTGGTCTCGAAGCCGATTCACTTTCTACCACTTCTCATATATGTAGCTCGTGAAGTTAAGTCATGTCCAAGCATCATCTAGCCATTACTCTATTCCAAGAGTCTACGCCTTCTCCCTCCTCTCCCAAACGACCATGGCCGGCCTGAGAGGCTGCGAGAACATGGACTATGACGCGTTAGTGAATCTGCCGAATCCATCGCGAGAACCGAACTTACCGAATAGTCGGTGCCAACCACGTTGTTCGAGCTGTCGATGTTCCTGAACTTGAACTCGCGAACCAGGTTGGCCAGAATCGTCTGCAGCTGCGTGTACGCGAATTGCTCGCCAATGCACCTGTGACGGCCGGCGCCGAAGGGCAGGTACGGGCTGTTGGTACCCTTGGAGACCATGCCGAAGCCGTAGTCAATCTGCTCGTCGTCGGCCGACTCGTTGCTCACCGTTTTGCCGTCCCACCGGTGAGGATCCCAGTGCTGAGGGTTGGGGAAGTGCTCCGACGAAGTGGCCGACACACCGGGCGAAGCGAGGAGGACGTGGCCCGTGGGAACCGTGTAAGTCTTGCCGTTGCTCGACTCGATCAACATGTCGTTCTTGACCTTGCGCATGATGCTGTGGATCGGGGCGTGGATGCGGAGCGTCTCCTTGACCACCTGCTGGTGGAGAGGCAGCTTGGCAAGGTCCTCGTGCTTGAGCGAAGGAAGATCGGAGCCCAGCACCTGCCTCTGCTCCTCGAGCAGCTCCTCGGTGATATCCGGACGGGATGCGAGACGAAGGACAATCCAGGAAATAGTAGACGACGACGAGTGCTGGCCGGCCATGAGAAGCGCAATCATCATGCAAGCAATCTCCCTGTCGGGAAGAGGCGTGCCGTTCTTGTAGGTCGAGCCCATCAGGTTCCAGATCATGTCTTCGTCCTCCTTCTTGACCTTGCCCTCCCTTCTGGCCCTGATGATATCCGTGTAGACCTCGACCATCTTGGCGTGAGCGAAGTCACGGCGCCTGTTCTGAGGCAGAGGGGCCCAGGGAAGCATGAAGTTGATCGGAGTGAAACCCATGTCCAAGTCGTGGTACAGATCGGCGAAGGAAGCGTCGAATCTCTCGCGGACTTCCCTGCCCTGCAGCGAGCGCGAGGCGGTGAAGATGGTGATTTCAGCCATGGTCTGCGGCACGTCAATGGTGCCGATTTCGCCCTTGAAGTTGGGAGTGCGTTTGACGTAGTCCTGCACCTCGGCGGTGATCAGGTCGACGTAGGAGCGGAGAGCATCGCTGGTAAGACCGAATTTGACAAACTGCGGCACAGGTCAGCATCGCGAACGGGCTCGAGCTCGGCCGTGTGTGTGGTGGGATACCTTCTTCTGCTCCATGAGCTTGGAGTTGGGGCAGTCGTAGACGACATCCTTGCCGAAAACCGGAGTGGTGAGCGGGCTGTAGATCTCCTCGGCGTTGACATCCTTGAGCTTGCCGTTGAGGATGAAGTCATTGCCCTTGGTGCCCAGGCAGACGGTGGTGGGCTTGCCGAGCAGAACGAAGGTGAAGACATCGCCGTACTGTTTGGTGGGAAATGCGGTCAGCCAAGGCCACGCGGCAAACACAAGCCGGGAACACGCACCTTCTGGCGATTGGAGAAAAAGAACTTGTACGGGTCCATGCCATAGGTGACGGTGCTGCCGATGAACGGCACAAAGTGGAAAACGACGGGCGGCTTCTTGGGATCCTTGGGCAGAAGCTGCCGCAGGATGTTGAGGAAGATGGACGCGAAAAAGACGGTAGCGAAGCCAACGGCAATCTGGGTGGGGGTGGAGGCAGACGAGTACCACTCGACGGCAGGGCCGGCGAGCTCACCGAGGACACCCATGGCGGCGTGGGGGAGAGGTGGTGTTGACGGGTGGTGGAGGAGATGTAGGGAGACGGAGGACGGCGTAATTATTGTCTGGCGGCGCGGCTGGGACGCAGGTACCGATCTGCTAGGCGGTGAAAGGGGCTTCCCAGATGAGATGGCGCCCATCCAACGCCTGGGACGTTTCTCACGCCACGACAGCCGACAAATGCCAGATTTTACTACTCGACCGTTGGCTAAGCTCTGCGAGATGCTGATGGGCGCTGCAAATTCTGAGTGCAGCCGTTGCGCGGGCGGCGCGCCTGCAGCTGCGCCAAATTACGAAGCAGCACATCCGACTGGCTTCCGCATCCCCACCCACAACGTTAGGCTCGTACGGTATGTGCACGACTGGACCATGACCCCGCGGCCGCTGCTCGCTGCTCCTCGGACCACGCCGCCTCAGCAGGACCTGCGGGCCAAAGGCTTCAGGGTCCATTGCGAGATGCTGCTAGCCTTTCCGCGTTGCCCACCATTCCCAAAATGCTGACCAATGTTTGTATTTTTTTTTGCGCCAATGTCCAGTTGCGCTCATACCTAACATACATACAAGAAGTAGAAAGAAACGTAGCTCGCCGTTGCCCATCGGTAGGGGTATCGTAAACGGCATGATCTGTTATAACAGGGTGACGAAGCTATCGTCCGTTGCTCGGAAGCTCTCCATCCCTGGGTATGGAGAACAGCCGGAAAAGTGGAAGCAGGAACAACGTTTGCGGAGCCGGCTGGTACCAGAACTCCGTCTGGTTTCGTCTTCCCAAAAGAAAGTAAGCATACCCCAAGGCACATGGCAAAAGCCGCGAGCCATGACGCCTGTTCGCCTGAGAAGTCAGAAGAGCCAACGCCGCCATCGTTGATTGGGAAGGCTCGCTGCCCGTCAACAAAGGAAAGTGGTCCCACCGATTCATGACAATGACATTGCTTCACGCCCCGGGGTACCTGCTCGTCTCGTCGCCGTAGAGCGTCTCGTCGCCTTTGCCGCCCATTTCCATGAATTCCGCCTCGTTTCTCTCTTTCGACGGAGTGTCCTCCTTCTTGGCCTTCCGGGCCTTTGACGGCGATTTGCTTTGTGAGCTGTTGCCGTTCTTCTCGTAGATCTTGAGCGGTGGAGCATCGCTCGCGAGCTCCACCACTCTGCTGACCTTTACGTCATTGATGCTGCTCAAAAGCGTTCGCTCGCGTTTGACTTTGCGCTTGGCAAAATCGAGATTGCCCAAAGCTCCGGTCAAGCCATCGGTTGAGTCAATGCTTGCGGTTGGCCCACAGGCATTGCGGGTCCATGGGTGCTCAAGGCACTCGTCAATGCTGATGCGCTTGTTGACATCGACCGTCAACATCCTGTCAATCAAATCCAGGGCAGGATCGCCGACCGAGTCCCAGTATGGGCTAGGATAATCGAATCTTCCCATCTTGATTTGCTGAGACAATGTATAGGGATTCTCCCGGGTGCAAAGCTCGTCAGAAAACGGCGGGAATCCGCAAAGACAAATATAGAGGACGACACCGAGGGACCAAACATCGACGGCATGGGTGTAGCGACGATGGTTTGACGTCTCAAGAATCTCGGGGGCAACGTAGCTAGGCGTGCCGCACAGCGTCGTCGTGAAGGATTCCTCTCCAATGATCTTTGCAAGGCCGAAGTCAGCAAGTTTGATTTTCAGCTCCTTGTCCACCAGCAGGATGTTCTCTGGCTTGATGTCCCTGTGTACAATGTTTCGTTCGTGCTATCGCAAGTATCAGCAACCAATTGTACCGGAGATAAGAGTCGCTCACTTACCAGGTATTTGACTCCTTGAAACAGCTGCACGAACACCTTCCTTGTTTCGTCTTCGGACAGCTTTTGCTTCATCACGATCCAGTTGAAAAGTTCTCCTTCTGGAGCGAGTTCCAGAACAAGGTAAACGCCATCCGCCTCGTCGAACGTGTCCTTGAGGCACAGGAGCGAAGGGTGGCTGACGCTCATCAGGACGGCAATTTCCTGCTGCAAGCCTTCCACCTTGGACCGTTCGGAAGCACCGCTGCGTTTCTCGAACTTCTTGACGGCAAACCGCATCCCGCTTGACTTTTCGATGCAAAGATAGACAGATGCAAAGTGACCTTTGCCGAGCTGCTCCTGAACGCTGTATTGCTCACTGAAGCCGTTCGCTGTGCGTTTGCTGCGCGGGTAACGGAACATGCACTTGGCTTCATCGACGATGTGGATCTGGTCGCCTTCGTGGAGCTCCCGCCGTTTGTTGCGACCAACAATTGCATCGTTGACAAATGTGCCATTGGCCGAGAGGTCTTCGAGCACTGCAACGGCGCCACCGCCCTTGTGTTCCGAGAAAAACAGACAGTGGCGGTTCGAAATTGCTAGCGACGATTTGATGACACGATCTGATTGCCGAGCATGTTAGCATCACCCATTAAGTCTCGCTCCACAAGAACAAAATAACGTACCGCACTCCGGGTGCCTGCCAATCAGATACCCACCGGCCGGGACACCATCGTTCTGCTTCGTCTCTTCGTATTTCTCCTCCTGCTTCTCGAGTGACCCCCTCCTCATGACTGCCTTACCAGATGGCAGGGGAGGGGGGTTAGGTAGAGGGCACGCGCTGCGCTTTCTCAGCACGAGAACGTCTCCAAACTTGTCATCCATGGGCACTAAATATCCCCAGACATCCTCGGCCTCCTCGTCCTGCACCTCGTACCAGGGGCCGGGAGGGTATGTGAATTGCGAGTACGGCTGAGTATCTGAGGGCGGCGATGACAGACCGGTGCGCTGCGAGTTCTCGACGGGACCTTTGCCCGCCACCGCCGGCCCATCATCACCGCTTTTGGATGGCGGTGTTGCGGTGCCCTCTTTGGAGGCATCGGTCGTGCTTGAGCCACCTTGGGTCACTGGGGAAGGGAAAGCGGCGTTGAGCACCTTCAGCGGCGTGTCGTGGCCCTTGGCGGCAGCCGCTTGCTCGGTGCGCGGCTTCTTGTACTCGGTGTCGTCCTCGCCGGCGGATTGCTGGTTGTGGGCGGTAAGCAGAGGAGGATTGCAGGGCGCGGGTGTCGCAACGTACCAGAGCGCGCTTCAATTGACTCTTTTCGGGCTGGGGCGCCATGGTCGCAGGACGCTGGAGCTGGAACTGCCCGTTTCGGATGGCGAAAGACTCGAGATCAGCTCGTGCGCGGCGATGTGGAGATGCTGCGTCGGAAGAAGCACGGGACAGTGGGCGTAGCAAGGGCAAGAACAAATTAGGCAGGCTAGGCGATAGAATGGAGGAGGATGGCGTTGCAGCCTTGAGAGCTCGTTGGAGCGCGACTGGAAGGCATCCGCGGTGATCTTGGCGCGCGCGGGTGCGACGGAGGGCGGCGCGACTCCGAAAAGATGGGGCTACTGCCCGATTTGCCTGTGACGCAACCCCACCCACCTACTGCAGGGTCCGCCCACATCGCTTGTCGCCTTCAGCAATCGCGATCGCGACGCCCAGCAACGCCTGCCGTCCCTGCAGATCGAGAATGGCGGCCGCGAGGGACCCTTCGCCGTTCCCCTTCGTGTCGGCCGAAAGATTTGCACAGGGGTGTAGGGATCTTGTGGCGCTTGTTGAGCGCTCCAGCCGCGGGCACGACTGGCAGTCTGTCGACCTAACCTCCGGCGTACGTCTACTTGCGGTTCCGTTATCCATCGCTTCGCGGTTGACAGACGTCATAGTATCAGGGCATGACCTGCCTCCGCATAATACGGCCTCTCACGCAGCATCCAGCCAGCTCTGGCGACACAACCCACGAGTCGTTCGACCTTGTCGAGGAGAGTGACGAGGCAAGTCTTGGGCCATGCAGCTTGTTTATTCGAGTATCTCATGCTTATCAGTACAGGAGGAATTACCACAAACCCAGCACACGATGCGGTCCCCGCACATAGAGTACAGTGTTGTACTATCTCCGACATATCGTGTTCCAGTTCTTTACTTCAACCTCCACGATGTAGCCGCTAGTAGCAATGCTTCCGTGCAGCAGATACAGGACCTGGTTGTCCCGCCGCAGTATGGCGCCCAGATCAACAGCGTAGGAGTCATGGGTGCTATCAGCATGACCGTAAGTCTCGGCAATGGCAACGATCGGGCTAAGGGGAAAGGCTGATCCCCCCCAAAAAGAACCACCCAGTGACGGACATGCCAGTCTTTTTTGTGCATCCGTGTAACACTGCCACGGCTCTTGAAGAGACGGCCTCGACGCCGGAGCCTTCTCCCCTGCAGTATATACTGCAGTGGCTTGGCATAGTTGGAGCGTGCGTCGGCTTGCATTTACCCGTGGATCTCGCATTACAAGCAGACCGAACCTCTTGAAGAGAAAAAGGGTGGAACCGTGCTCCTGTCATTGCAATTAGACCTGGCTATTCAAAGGTGAACCGTGACGCCGCCAACTACCTTGGGTAAGGAAGATCTTCCGCTCACTGTCGCAACGCGCTGCAAAATTGTCAGACGCACCGCCGGGCCTTGATCTCGGAGTAGCTCAATCGGATTCGTCCATCTCCATCTCGGCCTCATCGTCGTCCTCCTCGTCAGCCGGGGGCTGTTCGATCTTGGTGCGCTTGGCATCACCAGCCTCCAGATCCTCATTCTTTCTCTTCGAGCTATCCACGCTCGCGGGGCTGTCAACCCCATTTACACCCGGAGGGGCGGGAAGCGCAGATGGCGGGTTGTTGAAGATGGATTGCTGGAGAGAAGTCGTAGGAGCGGGAGCAGGGGTTGGCTGGGCAGCGTGGGGCTGGTTGAAGGTGCCGTCGAGCTTCGCAACGAAGTTGGATTTGGACCTGGCGTATTGGATGATCTGAAAGTCTACTTAGTTATCCCTAGACAAGCGCAAAAGGTGAAGTCGAATTCGCACCATCTTCTTGCCGTGAAAGTCCTTCTCATCGAGGTTTCTCATGGCCTGCGTCGCCTTAGAGATGTCCTGGAAGACAATATGCGCCTGACCGCGCATCTTCATTGTTTTCATCGTGACTATGTCGAGGACGCTACCGTAGGTGCTGAAGAGCAGGTAAAGCTCGCGCTTGAGGTCCTTCTTCGGCATCTTGTCGGTGAGGTTCCTGCAGTAGAGCCTGAGTTGGCCGGTCAATACGTGTTCAGGTTGCCATAATCGGGGTCCGTTACTTACGTCTGGTTCGGGGGAGGGCCTGCGGCCTTGGACTTGTCAGCCTTCGCGGCGTCGGTCTTCGCACGGCCTGCCATTGCGAGTGATGCGCGTCGTGGATGTTGCGGTTGCGAAGTGTAGAGGAGGTGGCGCGTCGAGGACAAGGAGCGGGGAAGGGCGAGTTTGTGCGAACAGGCGACGGGCAAATTGTGTCGCGGGGTGACGTGAAGTCGCGATTGCAGCTATGGATTGTCTCGCAGGTGAAATCAAGCAGGCGCCGAAGTCTCGCCGAGCGACGGACCCTGGTCGCGGCGTCATCAGCCCCCTCCAACGGTGCCCAGCCCACGTCCGCTCTCCACCAGCGCTCGCCCGCAATAGTAGAGAGCTCCTCCTATTGTGGAAATACCCCCCTCACCCAACAACAACAGCAACAATGGCGCCCTCCGAAGTCCACCATCTCTTCCACCACCCGGTCCATGACCACTCCTTCACGGCCGATCGCTCCGGCGTAGCTGTCACCCGCGAGAACAACGTCGAGCTCTACGAGCGTTCAGGCGGCAAGTTCCAGCTCAGCGATGTGCTGACCGGCCACGACAAGACCGTGACCGGCGTCGATATCGCGCCCAATAGCGGCAAGATCGTGACCTGCTCCCAGGGTACGTATGCCCGCCAATTGGGGCAGACGACACCCCGCCGGCATCCCTGAAGCCTAAAACACCAGCTCCGAGACTGACAGCGGGGAACCCCTTCCACCACACGCAGACCGCAACGCCTACGTCTGGGAGCCCACGGCCGCGGGCTGGAAGCCGACGCTCGTGCTGCTGCGCATCAACCGCGCGGCGACGTGCGTGCGCTGGTCGCCCTCGGAGACCAAGTTCGCGGTGGGCAGCGGCGCGCGCGTCATCGCCGTGTGCTACTTTGAGGAGGAGAACGACTGGTGGGTGTCGAAGCACCTGAAGAAGCCGATCCGCAGCACCATCACGTCGGTGGCGTGGCACCCCAACAGCGTGCTGCTCGCCGCCGGCTCCGCCGACGGCCACGCCCGCGTCTTCTCCGCCTTCATCAAGGGCGTCGACTCGAAGCCCGAGCCCAGCGCCTGGGGCGAGCGCCTGCCGTTCAACACCGTCTGCGGCGAGTTCCTCAACAACACCACCGGCTGGGTCCACGGCGTCTCTTTCAGCCCGTCGGGCTCCGCCCTCGCCTTCGCCGCCCACGACAGCAGCGTCACCGTCGTCTACCCCTCCGCTCCCGATGCTCCGCCCAAGGCCGTGCTGAGCATCAGCACCCAGCTGCTGCCATTCGTCTCGCTGCAATGGACCACCGAGGATACCATCATCGCGGCCGGTTACGACTGTGAGCCCTACCGCTTCCAGGGCGGCGAGGGCGGCTGGCAGTTGGTCGGTGCCCTGGAGACGAAGGCCGAGGCGGCCGGTGCGGGCGATCAAGAGGAAAGCGCTAGGAACATGTTTAGGCAGATGGATCTGAAGGGCAAAGTCAAGGATGACACGAAGCTGCACTCGACGCACCAGAACACGATTCTGATGATGCGCAGCTACCAGGAGGATGGAGGCCAGCTTTCCAAGATCAGCACCAGCGGTGTTGACGGAAGACTTGTTGTCTGGGATGTTTAAAGGACTGGTGCCGTCGAATTAGGCGTGTAATATCACTTACAGAACCAAGAGAATCTGGCAATTATTTCAGACGGTATTTGACTGCGTGCTAGTGAGGTCGTGTAATCATGCATCACAATTAAATGGCGCAAAATCTCGATTCATAGCATCGTACGCTCTACGTACTTTGAACGCAAGTAGCATTCAACGACCTCTACGCCCAGACAAGGAAGCTTTGTGCATGAGTCCAAGAGGCCACGGCACAAGGGAGTGCAAAGGAATCCAGCCCACCCGCATCTGTCTCCCAAAGACGTTAGACCAATTATTCCGTGGTAGTGCAACTCAATATCTGGACACGTTTGTACGGACCTAAAACCCACGTCCGCGGCCGCGTCCGGGTCTGGATATCTCTGCAATTCTTCTGTAAACCCGATGTGACGAAATCGCATAAGAATAGATGCAGCCCGCCACTACTAAGAGTAGTTGAATCCAATCACCATCTTTTGTGCTTTCTTTGTTGCACAACCCAGAAATTAACCCCAACCCCAAGAAAAGAACCGATGTGAAACCTCCCTCTTGTAAGCCTTGAAACGCCGTCGCTATACTTTTGATACACTTTTTGTACACAATCTTATCCCCGAATAAAAGACTGCGGATAGACGGGAGTAAATCCTTGCAGGTGCAAGAGAGGTCTAGGCGATATTACCCGCTAGCCCGAGGAAGAGTGCTTGTGCGGCCAGCTGGAGAGTCCAGATGCCCACCTTCTTAAAGCGGCGTGCGCGTGTCTGACGATCATCGTTGATGTCGCGGGCAAAAGCCTCGTAGAGCTGCGTGAAAAGTCAGCGACATGGCACTGTAATAGAAAACAAAGAAGAGGGTCTACAAACCTCGCGGGAAAGATCATCCATGAGACCACTGTCATAGATGGTCCAGGAACCGTCGAACTCGCTGGCGCGCTTCACGACGCGGCAATTGACAGGGATGAATGTTCGTTTCGAGTTGATATACGCCACAATAGGGCGAATTAAGGCGTTGTTGACGTAAGAAATGTCGCTGGTGAAGAGCGGTACCGCGGCGCGGACGTCGTTGAACTGAACACGCATGTCCATGACCAAGAACCGCTTGTCATTCTCATTCTCAGCCTCCACGGAATCCGCCTCGGACGCATTGGTTCTGGACACCGTCCCGTGGAAGTCTCCGCCGAATCGATTGCCGTGAGCCGAAACAGTCGCCTCCATCCGATCGTAAAAATCGGACATTACTTTTGCAATGCCCTCTTCATCATCCGCGGGGAACATAATATCAGCTACAATGTCCACGTTGCCTTCATGGATCCAGCCAAAAGGACCTTCGACACCACGGTTAAGGTGGTCAATGTTGAGCCCGTCGATCCTCATGCGGCTATGCTTCTTCCATTGGTTTGGGCCGCCTTCGGAGTCATCAGCTAGCGGTGCACTAGCATAATTGTGGGTTTGTCGGGGATGGATTGTGAAAAGAGAGTTGTCGATTGACCCAGACATGTTGTTCGCGGATAGGAAGTCGTAGAAGAGCCATTGCTTTCTCAGCTGAGGCAGATCACAAGAGTAGATGCTGACTGGGAAAGGTCTGAATCCACCTGTCTGGTAAACGGTAACGAGCAGATCATCCATCTTAAACGAATCCAGCTCAAAGTCGCCAGGCTGGTGCTCGTGCTTGTACGACCTCGGATCAATGTACTCATCTGGAGTAATCAGATGAGTTCGATCTACGACGCCACGGATGCCTTTGATCTCGACGTCCCGCAGAAGTCCCTTTCCATTGAACCATTTAGTGAATGACAAGGTCACGTTCACCGTGTTGATCGTAAGGTCGAACTGGGTGTAGTTCCCGTCTTCCTCTTCGGCAATCGAATCGTCGACACTGGGGTCCTTTGGCTTAGCCACAGCTGCGGCTGCGGCGGCGAAGTCTCGGGAGCCCTTGCTGACATTCCCTTGGCCTCGACCTGGTCGTCTGGACACGAAGACGTTCTTGAATGTAATGACACCATCCCCCCACTTGGGAATGATGGCAGACTCGAAAACGACTTGAATACCAGACGACTTGGTGAGGTAGTTTCCTACAGTCCCGGCCAAGGTCTCTTGCGCGAAGACGGTGTTTACCAGAAAGATGCACATGGAGAAAAATGTAGTCGTACCAATGATAATCCAGGCGAGGTGGCCCAAAAGGATCCAGGAGAAAAAGGCACTGATGTCGTCCATGTTAAACTTTCGTCCGCTTCTAATAGAAAACCACTTGAAATGGACCTTGAACCGAGCCCATGCGCCGGTGGCGGCAGCGAGCAGCTCCTCCTTCGTGGGTCGGTGGGGAAGGTGGGGAAGACGATTCATGAAATGCTTCCCCGTCTCAGCTCCAGCGGCAGCATTCGCGGACTCGGCCGACTTGTCAGAATCCGGGGATTTTGACGCTTCAGGCTTTGCAGCAGAATTGCTTGCGCTCGCGCGTGTACTCGAGCCATTACTGGCCGAGCTCTTGTTTCGCCTGTTCAAGATTCCTCGCCGTCTCCGCGCTGTGGTGTGTGCGGACCGTTTCCATGCCGCAGTTGCGCATTGGAGTATGATGCCGCCGACTTGCGGTCTTCGCGTCGCGGTAGGGAAGCTACTCGCTGGGGACCCGAAACCTAGCAATGACGTCGTAGTGATTGATGGTGAGTTTGGAGGCGCGGAGAACAGTTGGGAAAGCGCAGAAGGCGCTCTGTGTGAAAATTGGCGAGAGGAAAGCAGACTCGCGCTCACGAGACGTGCGGCACAGAGCGGGTGCGGGAAGCACATGGGCAGGTCGGCGGCAGACAGCAAGGTTCTTCCGCCGACCCGAGCGGCTACATGGCGACTCATTGTTGCTATGTCGAGAACATGACGGAGGGCCCTGGGTGCCGGTAGAGGGAGAAAGCAGAGCAGACGCGGGGCGCGGAAAGCGGAGAACTGGATTGCTGTTGCTGGCTCTGTGAGAGCTTGGAAGAGGAAGAGTAGGATGACGCTCGTGCTCGAGAAAACGCAAGCGCGCGGCGGCGATCGGAGCACGACCAAGGACGAAGGCGGCGCGCACGGGCCATTTGCCGAGGATTCACCGCCGGGCGGCAAGGCCTCACTTCCGCCATCAAAAATTCTAGAGCATCCCCACACGCCCATACGCCCAGTCCACGCCTGCCGCAGCTCCCACTGCTAAGCACGACCACTGTTGCCAACTATGCCTGCCCCGACTGCGCTCCTGCGCAAGCCCGACGAGCTTGCCGAGGACAACGCCATGACCGACGTCCCTCAGGGCAAGTGCTCCCGTCACTCCGCACAGTAGCCACATGCTTCTAACACACCGCGCAGAAGAAGGCGTCCTGCTCGACCTCAATGCCCCCGCCGAGTTCGACTCCGCCCCCGCAGCCGAAGCGTCCGAGGAGACGATGCAGGTCGACACCGAGGGCCGCCCCCAGTTTGCGCCCGCCAAGGACATCCCGCTCTCCATGCGCGTCGAGACGCGCAAGGTCCCCATCCCGCCGCACCGCCTGACCCCGCTCAAGGCTTCCTGGCCCAAGATCTACCCCCCGCTCGTCGAGCATCTGAAGCTGCAGGTCCGCATGAACATCAAGAACAAGGCCGTCGAGCTCCGCACGTCGAGGGCCACCACCGACACGGGCGCCCTGCAGAAGGGAGAGGACTTCGTCAAGGCCTTCAGCCTGGGCTTCGACGTCGACGACGCCATCGCTCTCCTGAGACTGGACGACCTGTACATCGAGACCTTCGAGATCAAAGACGTCAAGACCCTGAACGGAGACCACCTGGGCAGAGCCATTGGCCGCATTGCTGGCAAGGACGGCAAGACCAAGTTCGCCATCGAGAACGCGTCCCGCACGCGAATCGTCCTCGCCGACCAGAAGATCCACATTCTCGGCGGCTTCAAGAACATCCATGTCGCGAGAGAGGCCGTTGTCTCGTTGATCCTGGGTGCGCCGCCGGGCAAGGTATACGGGAACTTGCGCACTGTCGCCTCCAGGATGAAAGAGAGATTTTGATCTTGCGATGAGTCGAATCGAGCATTGGGTGGCGTTCATGATGGCGATCTTTGCGGAACTCAAAAAAAGGGGCGTTGGTACGGTTACGGCAGACTCGGATACCATTCAGAAGACTATGGTCATGACTTCATGTGTTTCTTCAGATATTTCAACCCAAGAGCTTTTCACTTCCAGCCCTGTGCGATACCACGTGTATAGGATCAACACCACTGTGCGCAGTAACTTGCAAAGGAACTGGGTCTTTGCGCCTGTCTCACTGCAATGTCGCAACCCGATCACGTGGGCAGTAAAGGTTGGACCACAAATGTAGGCAGCTCAATTCAACTTCAACCTGTTGTGGAAACCTTGTTCCAGAACGAATACCTCAAGAGCTACGCCATCACCATCAATACCGAAAAGCGTCAAGGAAGGTAGTTGTCTTTCCACAAGCGAGTGTCGTACAATTGCCTGCGTTCCGGTGACCTATCATCGAACGAACCCCCTTTCCATCCACCACTCAATCTCACTTCAACGGCGGCAGATCGCCATCCCAACACACCTGCATTGCTGCAAGAGACTGTCAGTCAACTTCCAAGCACCGGTGGTCTAGGATTGCCCTGAACACAAGCATGAAGAAGGGAAAGCGAGACTTACTCAGCGGGAAAGGGAAATAACTCCCATGATCCTCTCTCATATACACGTAGAATCCCCCCTCCCTGGGAATCTTCTTCAGCTCGCCTTTCGGCCCGGGCGCCCTCCTCAGCCCTTCCAGCTTGCCCACCGTCTTCAACATGGCCGTCAGGGCGACCCTGCTGGCATCGCGGCCGAGGCAGGCGTGCGGACCCTCGCCGTAGTGGATGTAGCTCTCGAGCGGGCGGTCGAGGCGTACCTCCTCCGGGTGGGGGAACACGACAGGGTCTTTGGCGGCGCCGACGAAGGATACAAAGACCTTATCCCCCGCTTTGACCGAGATGTGTCTGGCGTTGTCGTCGCGCCCGTCGATGATGGTCGTTTCCGATGCCGCCTCGCGGTAGGATCCGAAGGTGCCGTTCAATCGGATGGCTTCCATGGCATAGTGCATCAGCGTCTCGTCGGACGCTGGCGTGTCAAGCCATGCCAGCCGACGGATTTCCGGCAGGTGCGGCGTTCCTCGTGGTGAGAGATAGAAGTCCATGATTTGAGTGAACTAGAAGATGCGTAAGATTTGGGGCTTTGTTAGAAAAGGAGAAGTCGTCTTACCACCTGCGATTGATTCGGCACCATAGCTGTCGCTGTGGGAAACACTTGCGAATACGCGACCTCCTCGGCGCTGAGCCCTGAATCGAGTAGCCGGCGTACCATGTGCACTCCATACTCCTTCAAGTAGTTGCTGTTTTCGTGGATGCTGTCGGTAATGCTAGAGATCCAGCTGGTGGAGCTGGCGCTCTTGACGTTGGCCTCGATGAGCTTACCAAGGCCCTGGGAGACAGCATAGGCGGCGCGGTGTAGCGGGAATGACTTGGCCGGCTCAAGGTCGAAAAATATGCAGCAGAAAATTACGGCTAGTGCCATGTACATCTCGTGCTCGGTGAAGATGCCGCGCGGGTTCTCCTTGGTCTTCAGCGGGAGGGAGAACATGCTGGATGCAAAGTGGACGTGGGCCAGATTTCCGACGCTACGCCAATCAGCGGATGTGTTTTGCTTCTGATGCGCTGTTACCTACTCTCTTGTGAGGTCCACGTGATTGATACCTGCGATCTTGAAAGACTTCTCGTGCAGAAGCTTGAGCGTGATGTGCTCGTAGAAAGTCTTGACGTCGCGCTGCCAGTTCTCTCTGTAGAGAGATTTCGCCATCGTCTTTCTCTGATTGGCATGCAGCGGCTCATCGCCAGACCTAGGTCGATGTCAGAAACGCCTGGAAGATTCTGATATCACAACTTACAGCATGAAATGAGAGCCACCTTTGCCCATCAGCTCTTCCAATGTTACTCCCCACGTTACCTTGAAGATTCTCTGTTGCTCAAGGACAGATTTCGCACCAACGTAGGTCGTGATGTTAGTCCGTGCTGGGATGAGCTCTGGCCGATCCCATGAATAGTGACTCTCTCGACCGAGGGTGCGCATGATCTTCCTGTTCTCAGAAGGAATGGTCATCTGAAATGTGTGTGAGAATCTGCATTCCATCCGTCAAACAAGGCGAATTGTCAACATACCGGATAGTGCGCATATATGGAGTTTGGTTTGAAGTGGGCCGGGAATGCTCTCAGGAACAATTTGTAGAAAACGCATCCCTGTTCAACATTCAAGTCGTATTGAACCTCATTGAAGCCCCAGCTGTGTGAATATTAGTCCGCTGGTCTCCGTGTCTAGGATCATTCCACTTACTTCGTCAAGTTCCTCGGGTGATAGTCAACAGTATAGAACCTGTCCCCACGTACGAGAACAACGGCATCCGACAAGATGGCCTTAGAAATGGTGAATGTTGGAGCAATACCAACACCTGGCACCATCGGTTCCTTGGCTTCTTCTGTCACAAGTCCAGGATACAGTTCGACATAGTCGGGGTGATCGTACAAGTGGCGAAGTTGCTCGGCAACCTTGGGGTCAGAGTTGATGCTCTCGAAAGAATCGTGAGGCTTTAGGCCAAAGAATTTGCGGAATTCATTCAGCGTTGCCAGACCCCATTTCCTTGCTTGGTGCATGCCCAGGATCTCGACAGCACGAAGTGCTTTGGGCACGTTGTTTGCGCCGAATGCGCCTGTCGCGTATCAGCATGTGATGCCTTTCTGTAAATCAATAGACTAACCAGCACAGTCTTCGATGCTTTCAGTGAGTATCTTGACCAAGTCATCATCGGCGTACTTGCCCTTGGCATCCCGCTGAAGCCCAGCGAACGGGCGTTTCTGGGGATCCTTGTCCAGTGTCTTGTCCCACTTTGCGAGTCCTCTCAGTAACTCGTCCATCGGAACTTCAGATGCAGGCTTGCCAAACATTCCCTGATACATGTCCTCGGTCCACTTCTCATCCCGCTTGCTGGTGGCAGAGTGCCAGCGATACACGAGATTGAACTCGGCCGAGACCTGGTTGCCGACGCCAGACGGCGTGCCATCAGTGCCAAAGACCTTGGCCATATCTACACGTGGATCCAAGGTCCAGGTAGTATTGCTCCTGTTCAAGTTGACAATGGTACGGAGGTAGTCTCCAAGCGTGATGTTGATGTAGAGACCACAAGTGACGAGACGCCCAGTTTGGAAGAGATCGTTGTCGTACTTTGCCCATGCTTCCTTGGCCATGTCAGGCGGTAGACTCTGGTGCGGTTTGGTGAACCTGCCTCCCTCATTGATCTTGGCAAGTTCTTCGACGACGAAATTGTGGAATCTGTTGAACATGACGAGCAGAACGCCACAACCAGGAGGAAAACCAAGCATTCGGGACTCGGAGAAGCAGTCGGCCTTGAGTTTGCCATCTTTGAAGGTCCTGATCCAGTTCTGGTCCTCCTGATTATCCCCGTACAGAGGGGAGAGATCGAGATAGGAAGACGTATTCGAGATATTGATATCCCGGTGGTCTGTTTGGAAGAGATCATGGATGATCAAGGAAGCCCAGTAGAAGATGACGCTTGAGACCTTGTTCGGATGCTCCTTGAACTCCTCGCGAGAGAAAATGGCATCGAAGATGAGGCCAGGGTCAGGGAGCGCTCCAGGAAGGACCGTCTTGGGCTGGACACTCCGTGCGTACGGTGTGTTTGCTGTTCGTAGTCAGTTAGGAAGCTTCTGATGCCAAAGGGGACACTTACCTGCTCCCAGATGAGGGTACATGATATTCTTTGGCCGTCAGTAGGGGATTGTACACTGATGCTGTAGCTCAACTTACGTTGTATGAACCATCTGCTTGGCGATAGGAGAATTGGTCTCCCAGGTACCTAAGCGCAAATAAGCTCTCCCGCTTGCGTCCACAGGAAAGGGAGAATGAAAAAGGACATACGACACTGGTGGGTGCTGCAGGCAGCTCCAGAGCTCGTCGACGAAGGTGTTGGTGAGGTCAACGCGCAAAGCCGAGTTACCAGGAAGATCCGCGACCAACTATACCGCATGTCAATGGGCATCTACAGGATCCAAGCAACCACTCACTTGGATAACGCGTTCCATGAGATACGTCTTGTCGTCAATGAGCTCCTTCCTAGCCTTGTTCTGGAGAACATCTTTGAGCGTCTTTGCGTCTCCGACACCGATGGTCTTCAGGTTTTCGAAGAGGCTGGCTGGAGCGTCTCGCTTGACATAGCTGCCATCGCCAGTCTGGGTGGGTAGCGGGCGGCGGGCAGCATGCAGGACCTGGGCGAACTGCTCAAAGGTGCTATTCACATCCTCCCTGCCCTTGCTGCTGTCTGGCTTGGGCTCGGAGTGGTCACGAGTGGGACTACCACCCGCGGAGCTCTTGGGGGAGCTGCCGCTGGGGCTGGTGCCATCCTTCTTCTTGTCTTTTTTGAAGGTGGTTGACAGACGACGAAGCATAATGGCTTTGCTCGGAGAAGTGAAGGAAGAGGTGAGCGACAAAGGAGAGAAGTGCGGGGTGGCAGATATTGCATCAGAGCGGCAGAGACGGGGAAGCGGCCATGGCGCCAGCCATGACGTGTAGAATGAGAGCTGAGGTAGGACTTAACGCTAGGCAATCGGAAAGCCAGTGGTATGGATGGACCGGTCAAGCTGCAGAAGGGAAGATTGATGGTCGGTCAGACGGAGGCGGCGAGATGCATGGCAAGATGAGCCAGCCGTTCACATCATCGAACATGGGGCGGTGGATCTGGGACTCGAGGCGAGCTGCGTGCTCGACCGGCCAATTGGATGGTTTGTTTTGATATCAACAAAGAGAGCGTGTTGTGCAACAGAGCTGAGCGGGGACCGTGTGCTGGAGAATCCGAGACATGCAGCGGTCGTGAGAGCACTGAGAGGGCGTGTAACGGAGCACGGAGTGGGGAGCGATCATGAGGTATCGGGAAGGTGCAGGTCCGGGTCCGGCGCGCCTGCAGAAGGCTGAGGCGTGAGGCCACGGCTGTGCAACCACAGCCGGAAGGCGGGAGCTGAAGCACGACTGCCCGCCGCCATTGGCCCTCGCGCCTGCCTACTCATTGTGTCGCCGTGAGCCGTCGCCGATCCCTGCGCCACCCTCGCGCTGCCCTCTGCATTCCGTACTCCGCTCCACCCGCCAGACGCCCCACCTGTCCCCGCCCGCCCTGCACAATTATGGCCCAGCTCCCGCAGCTGCGATGGGCGTCGTGCCTGCTCCATCCTCAGCCATCATGCCTCCCGACAAGGACGACGAGCGCATCCAGCTCCTTGGAGACGGCAATGCCAAGGGCGATGCGCACGAGAAGCCTTACCAGCCCGCCAATGCCCTGTGTGATCCTGCCCCGAACCGCAAGCGCATCTTTGTGCTGTGCTTCGACGGAACCGGCAACAAGTTCCAGGGCACCGATGCAGATTCCAACATCCTCAAGATATTCCGCATGCTCGACAGGCGCGATGGAAGCCAGTTCTCCTACTACCAGCCCGGCATTGGCACCTATGTCACCTCCGGCTCCTTGAGCCACACTTCCCACTGGCAGCGCTTCAGTTCGTGGTATGCCAAAACCAAGGACTCGGCCATTGGCACTTCCTTCGCCGAACATGTCATGGGAGGCTACAAGGTACCTGTCTCCCTGCCACTTCCTCCTGCACCGTCTGATGCCCCTGACTCGTAGTTCCTTATGCGCTACTATCTCCCCGGCGATGAAATATACTTCTTCGGCTTCTCCCGCGGCGCTTACATTGCCCGCTTCCTTGCCGAGATGCTGGACCACGTGGGCCTGCTCACTGCAGGTAACGAGGAAATGGCCCGCTTCGCCTGGAAGACGTTCCAGAAATGGCAGACCCGCACCGAACGCAATGACGAGGAGAAGAAGGAGAAGAGTCGCTTGCGAGACTACATGTGCGCCTTCCGAGAGACCTTCAGCCGTCCCGTACGCCGCATCAGGTTCCTGGGCCTCTTCGATACCGTCAACAGCGTCCCTGCTTTCGAAGGCCCCTGGATGAAGCGCAGTAAATTCCCCTACACTGCCCGTAGCACCGCCAGGGTCATCCGCCACGCAGTCGCCATCGACGAGCGCAGGGCCAAGTTTCGTCAGGACCTCATCTCTGAAGTCAAAAAACATACACACAGAAAGCATCAGCATCTTCCGTACAGAGGCCACGTACAAACAAAGCCCTCTGTATCCAAGGCCAACGTCACCACCCAAGACAGCGAGCCCGACGCCGCGCAAGCCGGCCAAGAGCGCCGCAATCAGTTCAACCGCGACCTGCAGGTTCCTCGGCCCTTTCGTGACAGTTCTGAGATCTCTGGCCTCCGCTCACTGAGTCCTGGGCTCTCCTCCAGGCAACAGAGACGTGGAAGCCGGTCAAGCTTCGGCTCGGTGTCTCGTGTATCTTCTAATGTCCAACATTCGGGTGGATACGACTCCGATGAGGAGGAACAAGACATCCAGGAAGTTTGGTTCGCCGGCTGTCATGCCGTAAGCCACTACCTGCTTGGCCAAACCTTAACATGCACTCAACTAACCACTCTCAGGATATCGGTGGCGGATGGGGTCTGGAAACAGACGAAGAGGCAACCCTAAGCCACGTGCCGCTCGTCTGGATGGTCCGCGAAGCCCAACGCGCCGGCCTCCGGTTCGACGAGAACAAGCTACGTGCCTTGAACTGCTGTCCGGACGAGGAGGAAGAATATATCGACCTTCCTACCCGTGATGACGACAATGACCACCAAGCCACTGCCGGTGCGGCTCCTCCGGAGATTCAGATCAGTGCTGCTACGCCGCCTCTTGACGGGCGGTCACGTTCCTACCTGGGGCCTCTCCCGAAGTTGAACAATGGCACCATATCCACCACTAACGGGAATCAGGCATCTGAGGGAGGGAAAGGTGACACTGAGCATCAAGAACACTCCAAAAGGTTCCACGCTCTCATTCACTCGTCGGCCACGGCCGGCAAGATCCATGACGTGCTCTGCTTCAACAACGGAGCATCGCACCTGTCGGTCTTCAGCTGGAATTGCATGGAGTGGATCCCATTCCGGCGCATGGATCTGACGAATGACGGCTCGTGGCGCAGCATTGCGTGGCCACTGCCTAAGGGCGAGGTACGCGATGTACCCAATGATGTCGCGGTGCATCACACTGTGCTACGCCGCATGCAGCACGACAAGAACTACCGCCCGGGCAACCTGATCATTGGCGGCGGCGGAAGAGGCGTGAGGAAAGCACCAGAGCATGTGGGAATGGGTAAGTGGAAGGTCTTCAGGGAGGAGGGGGATGCTATCGGGGAAGTGTGGGTGAGAGCGTAGCTGCTCACACAGAGATAGGTAGCCCAGTAGCTTCATTCCACTGATTTCATCTGCAATGGAGAACAATTTGTCATCGTTGTCACTGAGCAGCCCACTACCATCCTCATTTTCACAACTTTCCTAAGTTTCCAGAAACCCAAGGATACCCCTCCTCCCGAGCCGACCAATGGTGACCGACTTTTTTGACCACACCTGATCCTCTCGCCCCCAATCGCCCTGCCACGACGCTTGAACCTTCTAGCACAATCCACCCCACCGTTTCTGGTCCCAAAGCGTCAAGGATGCCAGCCGGTGCTCGTAGAAGCTTTCCTCCGTCCAGTCCCACCTGTACCGGATACATTCGTCGCGGTACGCCGGGACGACGTCCTTGACACCGGTGCTCTGGCCATGACGGGCCGGTTGCTGGTTCTGGTTCTGGTTCTGGTGCTGGTGCTGGTGCTTCTGCTTCTGCTTCTGCTCCTGCCTCTTCTTCTTCTTGTTCTTCTTCTGCTGCTGCTGCTGCTGCTGCTGCTCGCGCTTGGTGACGCCAGCCCGCTTGGCCGGCGACGGCCTGGTGCCGGGCTTATGAATGCCAGCCTTCTTGGTGTTGCTGTCTTTGTTGCTGGTGGTGGTGGTGGTGGCGGCTGTGGCGGCCGGCTTGTTGGTAGGCTTGGGGACCAGCCCCAAGAGCTATTGAGAGCCGGTAAGTAAGCTGGTGACGAGTGGTTGCTGGGTGGTGGGATGACTTACTTCCTTTGCTAGTTGGTAGCCGGAGGGGGAAGACATTGTGGTTGGTTGTTAGGGTGGTTGCTGTTGGTGTTTGCTTGGTTGATGTCTTGAGGCAGAGTACTCTGTGCGTGGGTGTGTGTGTGTGGGTGAGTGGGCGAGGGGGGGGCATGCTCAGATGAAATAAATACATGACTTATGGGGTGGCTGGATGTTCACTGCTATTGTCACTTTCACAAGCTATTGTTGTTAATGAATCCTATTGTTGTAGATTGAGTTGAGGTGAAGTGATTAGGCTCCCGGTGGGCGACCAATCACCTAGCCGTGTGTGAGGCTTAGTTGCCTAGCATTGTATCATTGGGACCCCTGCAGAATAGACGAATGGAGAATCGACAAAGCCATATACAACCCTGCCATTGGCTTCCACCTGTCTCTCATGGAAATGCGCAAGCTTAAGAGCACGTAGCGTACCCGAACATAGCGGCAGCAAGAATTATTTGGATTGGGCACCATTAAGGGAACTTTGTGCTCACTTTAAAGCTCAGTTGATCCTCTATTTCCCGCGACCGAAGCTGCTGAATCGTGGTATGCATACATCCGTAACGAAGATCCCCCCACCGTCAGCTTAATCCTTCTTCAGGTCCCTGTAAGCCTCCTGAATGCCGTCCCTCGTGATGATCATCAGCTGAAGGCCATCACCGACCTCTATGTGCCTCTCCACAGCGCTGCTGAAGGCATCGTGCACCAGCTCCTCGACATCCTTACGGGGGAGCGGGTTACGGGGCTTCTCCTCGAGGGCATGGCCGACACCAGAGCCCGGGATGTACTGGTTCTTGAAATTGACCTGGTTGTCGAGGAACGGCATGATGAGAGAAGCGGCGGCGCCAGCGGCACGGCACTGTTCGCGCTCGTAGCTGCCGACGGGGTCATAGCTGTACAGGGCGCCGCGTCCCTCCTCGTCCAGACCGCCCAGAATGGCGTGCACGTAGTAGGGGAAGAAGCGCTTGCCGTACAGGATGTGGCTCAGACGCTGGGCGCAGGCGGCCACCGACATGGGCTTGCCGTGCTGGTACTTGTACATCTTGACAACGGTGTCGAGGCGCTCCTTTAGCGCGTGGCCGTCGGCGGCGAAGCCCACCACCGATAGCACGATGGTTGCACCCTCATTCTCCGGACCCTCACCTCCAACCTTAAAGAGCTTGGGCTGGTAGCGTGTGTTGATGTTGTAGCCGGACGTGCTGCGAGTGTCGCCGGCGAGGATGGTGAAGTCCTTACCGGAGATGCCGAGCGTGGAACCGCCGTTGTCAGTGTAACTGCAAAGTGCGAGTCAGTCTGTTGTTCTGAGTAGCCTCAAGGGGATCGTTGAGAGGCGTACGGGTAGAAGCCGTGTTGCCTCGCGCCTGATGCTTGTGTTGCCGTCATGGGCGTCTGTCTGAAAGAGTATCCGGGGCCGCTCTGCGGGGGCGCGCCGCTAAAGATGGCAGCCATGGTCGATGTAGGTTGGCGGTCCGCGGGGGATGATCGGTCGGGGAGGTGTGGATGGAGCGAAGGCGGATGTTGGGGTGAGCGGGCGGCGGAGGTGGAGGTGATGTCGGAGCTCTGAAGCTCACGCAGCTGTGAGCTGCCTGGCCGCGCCAAGACGTCGGACCCTCAAGCTCGACATCACCGCCCGCGCACCCGCCTCTCAACCTCAACCGTGCAAAGATGCTCGGGCTCGACGAGTACGGAAGCAGTGACGAGGAAGAGACCCAGGCGCCTCAGCCCAGCGAGGTAAGAGCGTGCATCCAGCGGCAAAAGCATCCTTGGGCCGATGGCTACTAATAACTAAGAATATTAGGCGAAGAAAGCGAGCCTCCCGACGCCTGCTCAGCCGGCAGTAGAGAAGCCTGGTAAGCCGAGCAAAAGACACCGCGTGGAACCATTAGCTCCTGATTAACCATAGGGCAGCAGAAGGCAAGGCGCCTGGCGCACCGGACCAGAAGAACGCAGCCCAGCCCACGGAGCCAACAGCGGCGCCTGATCCGTCTTTCCCAGACCCGACCGAGGGCGTTCCCACAGACGCTCCCGCACCAGGTCCTTCTGCGCCGCCTGTAGATGAGCCCGAAGAGTCCAATGGTGCCGCTGCCGCTCCGCAGTCGCCACACTCTGCCACCCGCGCCATCGTGCGCGACCTGACGATGCCGCCGGTTCCTAGCTTCGAGATACCTCCTTCGCCGCCTGGATCGCCGCCGCCCAAGTCCACGAAGCAATTCGCGCATTTTCTCGAGCTCAAGAAGAAAGGCGTTCACTTCAACCAGCGTTTAGAGAATTCGTCGGCGCTGCGCAACCCGAGCCTACTCCACAAGCTGCGCGGGTTTGCAAGCATCGACGACGAGGCCCAGTACGCTACCACCCTACCCTCGGATGTTGCTGTGCCCACGGTCTTCCCGTCTTGGGCATATGCGGAAAACCTCGGCAAGTCACAGCGAGAGATTGCTAGGAAGCGGGAGGAGGAGCAGAAAAAGACTCAGAGAGAAGCCTTGGAATTCGTCCCTGCCAGTGATCTAGGCTCTTCTGGACTAGGCATTGGCAATGGGGAGGGAATTAGCATGGCGGAAAGGGTCAGGGCAGGGTTGAGCAGAGAGGGCTCCGGGTCGCCGCAGGTCTCGGATAGCGGGAAGCGTAAAGATGGTGATCGGAGGGATCGTGGCCACGATGACAGGAGGAAAAGGAGCAGGTTCAGAAGCAAATCCAGGTCGCCGCGCCGGAGATGAACCTCGTAGCCCCCGGACGGTCAAGCCTGTACTTTTGCGCGCGGAGAATACGCAGCCAGAATTGGATTTCAGCAGTCCACGACTGTTTTCGTGGCAGCAAAAACAAATTACCTGCATTAATAGCCCAAACCGATTTTAGACTCTGTTTCCAAGTACATTCAGTATTGCAACTCCTCTTGAAGGTGGTGGTGTTGAGAAATGCGGTGATTGGATGGGCAGACGCCGCAAGCGCAGGCCAGGCAGTGATCGCGCGCGTCAGCCGGCGACCTGGAGCTTCCTGGAGCTCAGCACCACCAACGCCATCACCTCCGTCTACCACTGCCATCGCCCACCACCACACTGCAACCTTCCTGACCCCAAACCCTCGATCCGTCCTCCGCCACCTGTCGCCACATCCTTTCTTCGCCTCCGTAGCCATGAACCACCTCCCGCAAGCCTGGGGCAGAGTAAGCTAGCTGCAGAAGCCTCACAACCGCCCCGCCCAGTGACATTTCAGCTAATGCAGCACTCCTGAACAGCCCAGAGACGACGTCTATGGCGCCTACGACCATTCCTTTCTCCAGACCAGCGGCCCCATGCAGCACACCCAACAACCCATCGTGACGGGCACCAGCGTTGTGGCAGTGAAGTACAAGGATGGCGTCGTCATTGCTGCCGATAACCTAGGTGCGTACGCCCCAGCCACGGGCCACCGAACCCATGGTCTGTCATGATGAGATTTTGCTGACGGTATCCCCGAATTTCAGCATCATATGGCTCGCTCGCTCGTTTCACGGACGTCAAGCGCCTGCGCGTCTTCAACAACAAATCCGTCGTCGGCTTCGGCGGCGACGTGTCGGACATGCAGTACCTGGACCGACTGCTCACCTCCCTCTCCATCCGCGAGGACTACAGCCAGCACGAGGCGGCCGAAGACGACGTGTCGAGCGAGGAGCAGCCTATCGGTGGCGGTGCATCGCTCAACGCCAAGAACTTGCACACGTACCTTTCCAAGGTGCTGTACAAGCGCCGGTCCGATTTCAACCCGCTGTGGAATGTGCTACTGATCGCGGGCTTCGATCACGACGGCAAGACGCCCTTCCTCGCGCTCGCCGACTTGCTGGGCACCACCTTCTCCGCGCCTGCCCTGGCCACCGGCTTCGGCGCCCACCTCGCCACGCCCATCCTGCGCAAGCACGTCCCGGACGAGGCTGCCGCGCGTGAACTCAGCCGCGCCGACGCCGTCCAGTTGGTCAAGGACTGTATGAAGACGCTCTTTTATCGCGACGCCCGCAGCTTGGACCGCTACTCGATCGCTGTCATCGAGCGCGGCCGCGATGTCGACCTTAGAGAGAACGAGCAACTGGAGAACCAGAGCTGGGCGTTCGCCGAGAGGATCAGAGGCTACGGCACGCAGATCAACTAAAAGACGGTTGGGAGGCGGCTTTCTTCATGCAGATGTGGCGGAGACGAAGAGCGAAGGCAATGCGTGGCTCAGGAAATGAACGATAGACTTTTTGAATGTACCCCATCCAGGCCCAGGCATCATGGGACAGCACGATAGTTATTGTGCGTATTTCTTAACTGCTCTTTGATGGAGGCTTTTGCATGAGAAAGGAATATCATGACCTGTACCACATGCACATCCATTCCACTTGCTCTTACACCCGGGAAGCTCGATAATCCAGCAAATTCATGAAACCAACTTTCCAAAGGAGAGCCAAGTCAATACTTGTTCTAGTCAAGTTTTCGTCCGCATCAATCACGAGTTGGAAAGTAAAGATGTAAAATAATAATCATATCATCCATGGTCTAATGCAGTCGCTAACATAGTTTACACATTTAGCTACTGTGTTCATGATAGGGAACACAGATCATAAAACCCCCCATGAAACCTTCCGGAACGCCTGGTCGTCAAGATGTTGGTATCAAAGGAAAACAGAACAGAAAAGCCGCCTACATCTATCTGTAGGCTTGTAACAAAAGAGAATATGTGCAAGCTCAATCACAATCGGTCATGTGCTTTCCTCGCCAATGCTGTGCCTATGCTGTATGCTGAATGACTGCCTCAGGAGCTTTTTGTACAATTGTAGACACGGGCCACATTTAAAAATAGGCCTGGTTCCCGGGTTTCACGTTCTCGGGGTGGCCGTCGGGATAGTACGTGCCACCGTGAATGCCAGGGTGACTGGGATGGTTGCTGGCGTAGTTGGTGGGGGCGCCGTTGGCGTAGTGCCTAGTGGCACTGGCGTTGGAGTGTGCATTGGGATACACATTAGGACCAGGGGCGCCAGGGGCCGGGCCGACGTAGTGGTCTGGATACAAGCCGGTATCGCTGCCCGAGTTGTTTCCTGCTTCGGCCATCGCAATAGCGCTCTCCTTGCTGTGGTGGTGCTTGGTGCGAAGCGCAGGGATGAAGTCGATGGCGAAGGACCAGACGTAGCAGGCGTAGACAAGCGCAATGACCCACTCAAGGATGGCGGCGGTGTTGCGATGGTGGTTCTGACCCAGGACGCCGAAGGCGATAGCCAAGGCAAGCTCAACGAAGATGAAGGCAAGCTTCATATAGAAGGATCCACGGAGGAGTTTGCTCTTGCGGTGGTAGACACCAAGGCGCTGGTACTCGATGCAGACGAAGATGGCAGATACGATGTAGCCGCCGATGAAGACTGCCAAGAAGACATCGTGTAGTTTAGGGTGTCTGAGAGTGTCGAAAATAGACAGAAGAATGAGGCCTGCTGCACCGACAATCGCACCGATGATCGCGATGATAGACCAGCTCTTCTGCCACCACGAAGTGTTTGGGTGAAGACGTCCACGATGGCGCAGCCAGCGCTCGATGATGAAGACGAGATCGAACGTTACCACGGACGCGGCGCCCATGGCAATGAACAAGGGCTTGAGCTCTTGAGCTCCAACATCCGAGATATAGCTGTGATTTTCGTCAGCCTGCTGCGGGTCTGCGCAAGATACCTGAATGTACATACGCGATAGTCTGATTGGGCTCCATAGAGGCATAGCGAGGGCTCCCATCAGCGACGATCCATGTAAGCAGCATTGCAAGAAGCATCGCAAGCCATATGATACCCGCGACGAGCGGAACCATCCAGTATTGTAGGCCGAACATGGTTAAACAAGCCTCGACCAAGGCGAGTAAGTTGGTGTTGTGGACTTGGAGTCAGGGAAACAGATCGCGTGCACGGAGACAAGGGTCGCAAGGCGAGAAAGTCCAACGCACACGAGAAAAATGGATCGGAAGATGCACAAGAGACGGGAGCCTATGTCGAGTAGAAGTAGTGGTCCAGGGGGCAGTGGTGTGGGCGCAGAGATTGCGTAGCTGGGCAGTGTTGAAGAGGCTGTCTACGTCATCCGCACCCGCCTTGTCCCGGGCGGCAGCAGAGCAGCGCGAGAGCCGGGACCCGACCCGCCTTCCTAAGCAGGTGCCATCCGCCGCATCAACCTCATCCTTATTGCCGAGTCCGCTAACACCGTCATCCGAGTATCCAAACCATCCCGTCTTGATCGCGGCCTGCCGTTGAACACGCGGACCCTGTGGCTTATGGATGGATTCTGGTCATCGCCGTTGTGTGCCGTCGACGTGGCTTTGCGGCTGTGACGGGCGGCTGATCACCCAAGCGGCAGCGGGAGGCAAATGACGCAGCCGCCTCAGGCACCATCAGCGCGCCAACCCTGCGGGTAGTCAAATCCCATGCCTGGATCCATGTGTACGGTCCTGCTCAGTCTAATTCAAAGAAGGCTGTTCAAACCTACTTCGGCTTGCCTCGACTTCCCTCGCAAAAAGAGTGTAGTGTATTGCACAGAAGGATCGTGAGCAGCAACCGCGTGGCTTTTGACACTAGGAAAAGAACGAAGAACGCTAGCTGTGAGATGACAGTTTGAAATAAAACGATAAAATCCAGTGCAACTACCTCGGTCCGCAGAATATCTCATCCCGATTTGTCGTGACTGCCATGGCCGGGATATACCAAGCGCCCCAGGCGACGTAAAAACTTACAGAGACCGCTGATAATCATGGCGAGGAGTGTGGGGCGGGACTGTAGAGCGGAGTCTGTTAAAGCCAGGCCACAATGTAACAAGGCTGAAGGGGATGCGCCAAGGCAGGAAGCGGCGCTGTGGCCTCGTGCGACCGGGGGCCGGAAACGCGAGACCACCGGCGGGGGCTGGCTCGGCCGGCGGAGCGGCGCAATGATGATCCGTCGTTTGTGCGCGCCAAGCCCACAACTCCTCGCGCACCCAAGCGACTTTTGCCCAAGTCGACCGCGAGAAGTGCGAACCTTCACCCGCGACCACAACCGTCCGACCGACTAACTTACAGCAATCATGCCGGAAGTCAAGCAGAGGTCTGGCCTCATCCGCGGCCTGAACGCTGGCCACGTACGTCCATCTTCCTGCCTGTCGCGCCCGCGGAATTTTCGAGCTGCAACCCGTAGCACCGCTGCCGCTCTCACGAAGCTCGTACATCGCTAACGAAGTCTCGTTCCTGCTATACAGAAGGTCACCCCCCACCAGCCCAAGACCAAGATCTCCAGGACCAAGGGCCACCTCAGCAAGCGCACCGCTTTCGTCAGGGATGTTGTCAAGGAGGTTTCCGGGTACGTTTGGATCTAGCCTGGCACACACGCACGCATACATCGAATGAAGAGGAGGAACGGAGCATACCAAGATGCGCCTTCCCGAAGGGCAATCGTCGCGGCCGAGGCGTGGACAAAAGAAGAATTGAGCTCGTGTGATCAATGGGTTGGACAGTTGTAGCTGACAATTTGTCCTAACAGTCTCGCCCCGTACGAGCGCCGTGTCATCGAACTCCTCCGCAACAGCAAGGACAAGCGCGCCAGGAAGCTCGCCAAGAAGAGGGTATGTCGTTGAACATCCACACAACAAGCATGAACACTATTCCGGCCGACACAAGCCCCTCCGCTCAATACACGCACACCCTCACCGCCCAATGATACCCAAGAAAATCCGCAGAATGCTGACATATTTTGAACAGCTCGGTACCTTCGGCCGTGCCAAGAGAAAGGTCGATGAGATGACCAAGGTCATTGCCGAGGCCAGGAGGGCCGGTCACTAAGCGAGTGGATAAGAACAAATTTCCGGTCAATAGGGTTCTTTTTCTCTCTCGTTTTCCAGACGTTGGGGGGACTACGGAATGCGCTGCTTCTGCTGCTCGGAACAAAATGGATGGTCTTGGCATGATACGAGAGACGATGGGACTCCCCCCACCAAAAGCACACCCCGGGTCAGAGGAGTCTTCTGATAGGTCTTACGAAAATCCGATAAAAAGCGGCGTCTGCCTCCCATGTTCATTGCTCTGGATTGTCCGTGAATCCGCTTGCGGTCAACGTTCAAGTGAGGCGAACTTATTTAAAGAATATTCAGCTGGTCTCTGTTCATCAGCTAAGCTGCAACGAAAGTCATCTATCCTTTCGCCTGTATTCCCCGCACAGCCACTATCTGGCTCCGAGGTCCAATGAAACCCTGGCCAATGCACACTTGCCGCACCGAAAAGAGAATTTGAATGGTTATCTACTTCCTGCCCTTGAACAAGCCCTTGTTCAGCATAGCCTTCAGCTTCGACTCCTTGTCTCCAGAGCTCGCTTGCTTCCTGACCGGCGACGCGTTCTCCACCCCGGCGTTTGCCTTCGCGTTCGCGTCCGAGGCCGAGGCGGCCGACGGCTCTTTGACCGTCATCTCGTGCCCTTTCGAGTACCATTCCTGCTTCAAGCTGCGCGAAGTGCGCGCCGCGCCGCTCGCCCCATCGTCCCACACCAAGTTGACCAGCTGCCGGCCCTGGAAGCCGAGGTCGGTGACCATGCGCTTGCCGTCGTCCTTGAGGGCGACCAGCGGGCCGCGAGCGCCGGGGTACTTGAGGGCAAAGGGCTGGTCCGGATGCGCGAGCACGCCGCGCACGCAGGCGTACAGCGCGGCAGCCGTCTCCTGGTTGCCGAAGCGCGCCTCGACGTGCGACGTGTCTGGCAGGCGGACGCGGATCGTCACGCCTTCGATGGCGGCGAGCTTCTCGGCTTTGGCCTTCTCGGCCGCGGCGAGCTCCGCGTCCGAGGCGAGGCGCTTGTTCTTTCCGGCATTTTGAAGCAGGGCCTGGTGCGATTTGGCGTGGTCCACGGTCGGGATATAGTCTTCTTCGTGGAAAGCGGTGTTGCGGACTGCGGCGGGGGTGCTCGAGGTCGAAGGGGTATAGATAATCATGGGCCGTTGGTCAGGCCCGGTGACTGTATCGGGGGAGGGAACGTTGGCCTCCGAGGTAGGTGCCGCTTCTGCGGCGGGTGCCTGGGTAAGTGTTGTATCCTCTTGTGTAGTCGGTATAACATCCTCCATTGCTGATGTGGAGGACTCTGGTGGATTGGGCTCTTCAGCAACATCCTCATGGGCTGTCAGCGTCGGAGTTTCTGGTGTCGCAGTAGGTGCATTTTCGTCCTTGGCATTACTCCCCTGTGCCTCCTTTGTTGCCTGTGGCGTCTCCACGCTTTTAAAGTAACCTGATATCTCAGCCATAGCTTCTTCCAAGGCCTTGCCGCTATCTCTAAACGAACAGCGGAGCAGTTGGCTGCCGCCCGTGAGCCCATACTGTGCCAACGTCTTCTGCAGGTCTGTGAACGTGCCCACTTCCTTGCCCATGATGTTGAAAACGGGCATCTCGTAGTTCAGCCGACCGGCACCAGAGCCACCGGAGCTGGTGACAGCGACGCCCCTCTGCGTAAGGTTCAAGTTCTTGTCTGACACGGTCTCGAATATGCGGAGAACCTGCCATAGCGACGTGTTGCTGGGGAACTTGTGCGTGAGGCGCTGTTGCTCGAGCTGGAGGGCGATGTTGACGACGGTGGGAGAGCGGGAGCCTTGCACCAGGTCGAGCTTAGCACCAGGAGGGAGGTTCGCAAGTCTAATGGTACGGGAAAGATCGACGGGCTTGTTGTTATATCTGGACTCGGCGTCAGCGGAGCAGCTTGCGGCGGGGAGGGGCAGCTTGCGGGGCAGGCCTACTTCAAGGTGAAGTTGTCGGGATTGTAGTTCAGTTTGGCACAGGCCTCGCTGAGGACCTCGGTGAGGTGCTTGGCCGGCGTGGTCTTGATGCGTGCGGTGCGGGCGGCGGTGTCTACCACGACGACGTGAGACGCCATGCTGCGCGGAGCACGCTGAGCGAGGAGACGCCGATGATGGTGTAGTGCAGCAGATTGAGCATGCGGGAGCGCGAACAATCGACCGAGTGGCGGCGGCGGGTCTCGCGAATGTTGCGGACAGCCTCGCGAATGAAGAATGAGTGCGCGAGAATGATCAAAATGTCCTTCTCGAAACGCGTCGCGGTGATACCGGCAAGCTGTTGTGCCATCGCTGGGTAGGTAGGTGCGTCACAGCGTCGAAGGAGCTGCGGACCGAAGCTTATGGAAGGCGTGGCGCGCCCATAAAAGATTACAAACTCCGAGCTGGCTGCGCACGCGATACAGTACGCGCCCACATCATACAATGCTCGCCCGCCCGTGTGCTTTGTCAAACAGCTTGGAGTAGAGTCAGCCGCACCAGGCCGACGCTGTCCACAATGGCGCCATGCCACCCAGCCCCGCGATGTCACGCCTCACGGCCTCCGCCCGCCCTGTCCATGTTCTCGATAACCCCGCTAGCTGTTTAGAATCGAGCATACCCACATCTGTCCTAAAAGAGATGTTGCACGCTATCTACACAGATAGTTGGTCTAGCTTCCGGACCTAGATGTAAGTCTTCAATGTAAGTAATCGCATACAGATCTTGGTGGGAAGAGTGCAGCGCCCTTGGCGGGGCTCAAATCCAGTGTACCCTGCTATTGCTGGCCCGACCACCTCTTCAACCCAAACAACAATGTTTTCGTGGTAACTCTAACGCCTGCGTTTGTATTGATCTTGAATGTCGGCTTTACACCAGCCCATTTTCTTCAGAGGGTTAATTACAACATGAGACATGCGATTACTTATCATTGGTTCCACCCACAGGGTTCCAGTAACGTCACTTGATTTTTCGAGTTATGTTGCTGATATGGTGGTATCAGTTCCATTTTACAAAACATAAAATAACAAAGAACGAAAGAAAAGAGCGCTGCATATCGTCTAAGTAGCTGTGCTAGACCGCGTCTTCTCTGTTTTAGCACTTCTGCCCAGGGTATGGGCAAGGTTTGCTGGACGAAGAGGTCCTGGGTGGTATCGACGAGGACGACTTAGTCGACGAGGACGACTTGGTACTTCTGTGTTCTGATGTGGGCTGCCGGCACTTTTCACCTGGGTATGGGTAAGGGCAATGCTTCCCTTTCGACCAAGTGGATGGAGTCGGTTTAGACCTGCTAGAGGACTTAGTCGGTTCCTTGGTGATCGTGACGAAGACGGTCTTCTCAAGCTCAGACGCGCGAGCCTCAACGAGGTTTTTGGCAGCGACAGCACTTTTGTCCGAATGATCAGTGGCCATCGGGCCGACGGAAACCACGGTTGGAATGAAGACAGGACTCGATCCTTCGTCCTCGGTGAGTGCCGAGATGTCACGCAGGGCCTCTTCGGAGGAACCAGGGATGGTATCCGCCTGCTTAGGACTTATGTCACCGGTCTCGCGGGCATGGAGGGGGAGAAGGGTGATTGTCTTCGTAAGCCTTGAAGTCCGTCCGGGTAAGTTTAGAAAGCCATCGGGCCATGTCATCGTCTTTACCGTCTTCGTTGTCTTAGGGGGGTGGATAGTGATGACTTCAGGGTAATATGTGGTTTCAGCCTTAGCTGAGGCGCCTTCTGCAAGGGCATTGCTGGCAAGTAATGCAAGGATGATAGTACTAGAAATCATAGTGGCACCTGTACTAGCATATGACGTAAGGATGTGGTTGAGAGTGTCGCTTGAAATAGGGTAAGGACTGTTAGCATCAACTTCTCAGAAGTTGTGGAGTTTCAATAGCGCGTATTGGTCAGCTCAATGTCGTGGATATAGAACTTTGCGATATGTCGAGGAACTTTGTCACGTTAAATAGAAGAAGCGTGACTGTTCAGCCCGAACGCGTGGACAAATGCTTTGTGTGGCCCTTTGAAGCTCAGTGAAGGGAGGCTGCCGAGCATGAAGAACAAAGAACCCATTGTCAAATGCTCTTTAGGCAGTCATTACTTTAAGGCGCCATTGAAAGAAAAACATAGAGGTGTGCAATTTTGCTTTGTTCTCTTGTGTCTGTGGCTGAGAACTGGCTTCCTGACAGTTCGAACGGAATCTGCTTTGGTAAGTCGGAAGGTAACGCAGACCGGGAGAATTTGGAAAGGAAGGAAGAGTATGTTTCTGGATTAGCTTGCAAGCTTAAGAAGACTTATGGCCGGAAATCGTGAGCCTGGCACACGTTGTGGGAAAAGAGAATGTGAAGAGGGCGAGCCTATCTGGACTATTCCCAATAGAGCCGGTAAAACGGAGGTATACCGTTCACAAACTTGGAGAGATTATTGCCAAAATGTCTCGAGGGATACGTGAAGAGGTGAGAGTGAGAGAGATCCGAAGATCGGAGCAGACCGGAACCAGGCCGAGGCAGGGGTAAACAGGGCAGCCGCTCCTCAAGGTCCGTTCTACAGCGATGGGGAGGACGGTGCGACACCTCGACGACCCGGAAAACATCTGTTCGCCATGCGACAGACTGGTCGATCAGCTGGGGTACGGTTTCTCTCGGGTGACCGGGGTCCGTCCAGCCCTTGATGAGGCTCAAAATAGCACCGCCCGGCGCGGGCAATGCGCGCTTGAGTCCGACAGGGTGTTCTGGCAAGCGGCTGCGTCTCCAAGATTCTGCGATTGCCATTGGGCCTGTCCGAGCAAGACCAAGATGGGTGCGCTTCAGACGTCAGGGTGCGCAGTGAGGTTGTTGTTTGTTGGCATCATTGAACGCGGACGAGCGGTTTGTGCTTACCCCCAAGGCTCGTGATTGGCCCAGCCGAAGCGGGAAGCTACGAGATTTGTTCTTACCGCAGCGACCGACTCCAACTCCCCGTAACCCGCCTGCAGCCCGCTCCATTGCCTCTCCCCTCCACAATCGCTATCGTCGCCGGGTGACGGCCAGCTCCACATCAACATGTTGGCTAGATCGAGCCTCCGTTCGGCGCGCACCGTCGGCACCGCTGCACGCAGCTCCGCCACCAGGATAGGCACGGTACGTCCACCTCGCTCCATCCGCCGTCGCTGCGGGCGCCATCGCGGCCGTCGATCATCAATGCTTCAACGCGAAGGCCCTAGCTGACCCTGTGTTGTGCAGCGCTCTGCGTCCAGCTCCAGCGGCCCTGCCGAGGAGGCCGCCTCTTGGAAGTCCACCCTCGCCGGCTCCGCTGCCACCGCCTTCGCCATCGGATCCATTGGCTGGTACTATCATCTCTACGGCCGCAACGTTCACGCTATGACTCCGGCGGAGGAGGGGTGAGTCGCACATACCGGAAGCTTGATGGAGGCGTTGGCCTGATGCCAGCACCGACTGCCGCCATCAGCCCACAGGCCGTAGGAAGCAAGACTAACATGGGACCAGCCTGCACCCCACCCAATACCCGTGGGAGCACGCCAAGTGGAGCAAGACTTTCGACCACCAGGCGTAAGTTTCATACGTGGCGCTTCATAGCCCATCACACCCACTGATTATGAGGCAGTCTCCGCCGCGGGTTCCAGGTCTACCGTGAAGTCTGCGCATCCTGCCACTCTCTTGCGCGTATCCCCTACCGTAGCCTCGTCGGTACCATCATGACGGTCGATGAGGCCAAGGCGCTTGCTGAGGAAAACGAGTACGACACCGAGCCCAATGATGAGGGCGAGATCGAGAAGCGCCCCGGAAAGCTATCCGACTACCTGCCAAGCCCCTACAAGAACGACGAGGCTGCCCGTGCTGCCAACAGCGGTGCTCTGCCTCCGGATCTCAGCTTGATGGTCAAGGGCCGCCACGGTGGCTGCGACTACATCTTCAGCTTGCTGACCGGCTACCCGGAGGAACCCCCGGCGGGCGCTGTCGTTCCAGAGGGCCTCAACTTCAACCCCTACTTCCCCGGTACCGGTATCGCCATGGCTCGTGTCCTCTACGACGGTCTCGTCGAGTATGAGGATGGCACCCCTGCCACCACCTCTCAGATGGCCAAGGACGTGGTCGAGTTCCTCAACTGGTCTGCCGAGCCGGAGATGGACGAGCGCAAGAAGATGGGCTGGAAGGTCCTGGCTGTTGGCAGCGTTCTGTTCGCGCTTAGCGTTTGGGTGAAGAGGTACGCCGAAACCCAGCAGTTCCAGATGCGCAAGAGGCCGCCAGATGCTGACGTAGTGTGTGTGCAGGTACAAGTGGTCGACGATCAAGACCAGACAGCTCGTCTACAACCCCCCGGTCACGGGCAAGAAGCACTGAATTTAGAAGGAAAGCGGAAGACGTGGATGAGCTGAGGAGGCCGAATTTCCTGCGGGAGATGCGCAGGGCCCGAATGTACAGCATCAGAGACAAACGAGCGAAATTTCCTTTGTGTTGACCATTACGTAGAGGAGCGGCGGAGACGCTTTTGTGTTACTTTGAATTGTACCATCAATCAACCTGCTTTTGCGAGCACGGGGGCGGGGTGGTGACAAGTGGCATGGCCATGGCACAGTGGGTTGCAAAAGAGTTGAGCTCAGCTACGTACGTCTCACAGAAATGGCTTGCGTGGCTAGTGGAATCCGATGGCTGGACATGTTTATGCTCGCATCTACGTCTGGATATCTGCTGCAACCATTCATGCAGAAAGGCCGTTGGGACCAACAACACCATTCTACGTCCAGGAGCAGGGCTGCACTCCCTGATGTGGGTAAGGACGTAGCGTGCTGGGCGGGGCTCAGAAGCCCAAATCTTCCGTACGCTCCTGTGACGGGCAGAAGGCGCCGCACAGGCAGCCGGCAGAGTGGGATCTGCTGGCGCGCTCGGCAGCGTGACGGGCCGGATCAGGCAGTGATAGGCAGTCAACGGCGCGGTAGTCGGGCTCGGGGTGCTATTTACGCGACTATAATGCAGTCATAACGCAAGGAATCCGGCGTCGCAGCGAAGGCGGGCGTGGCAGGCAAACCTCGAGGCGATCCGGTTGCGCGGCGAGCGCGAGGCCTAAGAGCGTAAAGAGTGTGGATGCGCGCAGGGTTTAGTGCCTACGGCCCAATAATGACGAAGCACTGCGCCAGGCGGGTCTTGGGATTACGACTCGGAAAGGCCATGGCCGCAGCTCAGGAGATGGACATCTGAATCTGGGATCTGGTGCCAGCATGCCACTACGACTTTCTTGCTGCGCCCGCCGTTCTTAGCCCGCCCCGTCCGCCGCCGCCTGTGTTTGCACCCGCCGCGTCCTAGCAAAGCGTGCCGTCATTCGCTCCGTCGCATCTCTGCCACTCCCACAACCTTCGCGTCGCCCGCCCTCCCCGCACCGCGCATTATTCCTACGGCCTGTATGCCGCTGCCCGCCAGGGTCCACGCCCTCGAGCAGCATCGCGACTTATGCCCCCCATCAATGTCCGGAACCAAGCCGAGCTGCAAGCCCAGAGGACCAAGGTGCGCTCCAGCCGCTGCGCCCGCACGCTCCGCGCCACCCAGCTCCACCGCTGCGACCGCTGACTTGCGCCAAACAGCTCACGAACTCTTACAATGAGCTCCTGGAGTAAGCCGCCCGCCCATCGCCCCTTCTCTGTGCGCTGCCGGTGCTAACCCGCTCCGTCCAGCGAGTTCTCGTCCGCGGACCTCCGCTCCGTCGGGAACTATCAGCTCGGCCGCCTCATAGGCAAAGGCTCCTTCGGCAAGGTTTATCTGGCTTCTCACAAACTTATGCACGGGTCCAAGGTCGGTGACAACGCTTGAGATGGAGTGAGCTGCGCTAAAGGACAATGGAAGGTTGTGCTCAAGTCTGCCAACAAAAACGACTCCAACCTGGCCCGCGAGATCCACCACCACCGGCAATTCCTCCATCCACACATCGCTCGCCTCTACGAGGTCATAGTGACCGAGACGCTGGTGTGGCTTGTGTTGGAGTACTGTCCAGGCAAGTGCTTCCCGCAGTGATCCGCGCGGGCTGAGCTGACCGAGCGCGACTTAGGGGATGAGCTCTACAACCACCTCCTCCGAACCGGGCCCATGGAGCCCGCCAAGGTCCAGAAGATTTTTACTCAACTCGTTGGCGCCGTCTCATACATCCATCTGAAGTCCTGCGTACACCGCGATCTTAAGCTCGAGAACGTTTTATTGGACAAGCATGGGAACGTCAAGCTAGTGGATTTCGGCTTTACTCGCGAGTATGAGGGCAAATCGAACTACCTCCAAACCTGGTGCGGGACTGTCTGCTACAGCGCTCCGGAAATGCTCAAGGGCGAAAAATACGGAGGAGAAAAGGTCGATGTGTGGAGTCTTGGCGTCATCGCGTACGCTTTGCTGTGCGGAGAACTGCCTTTCGACGAAGACGATGAAAACGAGACGAAGAAGAGGATATTGAAGGAAGAGCCGAAATATCCGGACCATATGCCTGAACAGGCGAAGGACTTGATCGTCAAGCTTCTCTCAAAGCGTCCGCTTCTACGGCCTACACTACCCGAAATTCTCCAACATCCATGGCTTTCCGAGCACGCGCCTCAGCAGCAGGCGATCCTGAAGCTGCAACAGCCGCCTCCTTTCACTACCGAGCTCGAGAAGGAGACTCTCCAACGGATGCGCAGTGCTGGGGTGGATATCGACAAGGTCATCGAGAACGTGTTGGCTCAGCGCTGTGACACCTTGGCAGGATGGTGGGCTTTGCTGCTGGAAAAAGAAGAACGAAAGGCCAAGAGACGGGAGCGCAAGAGGAAGGAGCGAGAGGCTGAGGCAAAGAGTTTACGCAGATTGAGTGCTGCTAGCAGAGCCAGTAGCAGGCTTGATCGTCTTGCTCCGACAATCAGGGAAATTGATGAAGAAGGCGCCCCTATCCCAACGCTTGGAGAGCCGCCGAAGAGTAGAGGCAGGAACAGGGAGCGGACGTCCATCGCGACGTGTAAGTCCATGTAGTTTGCATTTATTCGAACAATGAGAGATTAACTGAAAATAGCCGCCAGCCCCGACTTGCCTCTAGTGCCCGAGGCGTCCAGATCACCGAACAACGACAAGCCCCCGCCTCCGGTAGAAAAGGATCGGCGTGTCAGTTCTTCGAGAGGACGGCCGTCGCTTCCGCCAAAGGAGTTCACGCGTTCGCGAAGGAGCAGCAGCATGCTCCATGTCGTCACGACAAATCCAGAGTTACTCGGGCCCAACGGATTCGTCCCTTCGAAGCGGCGACGGAAATACCAGCAACCTTTCCTCGCGCAGTTGGCATCGCTCAAACACTGGTTCAAAGAGTCGGCGAAACGCGCAAGATCCAGATCACCAGGTTCGAAAAACAGCAAATCTCCGAAAGCGAATCAAGGCAAGCTCACCAAGCCAGACGACACTCGGAGGCCTTCAGCAGCTACGACTACGAACACCGCTCGACCCGTGTCCCAAGTCCGACCGGACTCACAGAACCGCGCGAGCTATATAGGAACGCCGCAGCGCCCACGAGTTTCCACCAGAGCAAGCAGTGGGTCGAACAAGAGGGCGTCTCTCTCCCCAGCGCCCATGACGCCCCGCTCATCCTACCGACGCAGTTCTGCCGGGCTCCGGGGCCGCAAATCCACCTCTTCCTCCGTCTCGTCGATTCGTACCATTCACCATGCTCACAGCCATTCCAAGGCATCATCCACCTCCTCTGCATCTCTAGCCTCGCCATCGGTATCGAGCCGAGCTGGGCGCAGCCCCCATCAGTCTGTCAAGGTACTTCCGGCGACTCCTACTGGCACTGGGTTCCCTTCCAACATCCGTCTTGTACGAGCTACGGCGGCGGAGTCTGCCGCTGCGTTTGGCGGCCTTCCGCCACCAAGCCCCGGCGTGCTTTTCGCAAAGAAGAAACGGAGCCCGTTCAAAGGCCCCGGGCTCAGTTTGAATACGGGCGGGAGCCCAGTCGCAAGGAGCCGCGGCGAAGGCGGAAGCAGGACCAGCAGCGTGCAGGGACGGAAGAGTGGCGAGCTCGTCATCGCGGAGGAAGACGAAGATATTCTAGAGGAGGAGGAAGAAGAAGAGGAAGTGGAAGAAGTGGAGGCATTTTCGCCCGTCTTGGCCCCTGGCGAATATCTCGAGGAGTCGCCGCAAGATCTCAACCTATCTGAGGAGCCGCCGCCACCGGAGACCCCAAAAACAGCTCCCTAATCTGGGTCAGGCAGGCGGCTGATTGCACGAGCTTGGTGTTGACTTGGATTTTTCAGTTTGCTTTGGATTCACTTCGAACGCGTTAAGCACGGCTTAGTTGTCTCACCCTTAGTCGTTGTATACCCTCTCACCACCTCGATTTCCTTTGTTGTGATTGTCAGTCCGACCCCCATCACTTTACATTATTTTCTTGGTGCAAATTGATCGTTTGGGCTTGTTGCATCTGTTTGTCCTGCACTTTCTGTATTGTTGTCGAGGCAAGGCGTTTCTGGATACCGTCTGTAGATGATGCTGGTTTTGGCGCTGTGAGCATCCCAAAAGTACAATTTTCAGGCTGCGGCAGATGTACAGAAGGAAAGAGTGAATATTAATGCTACGAAGCCGGTTCCCTTGGTATTGCAGCAGCAGCAAGGTGAGTGAGCACTTGAAGCGCTGACAAGAGATGCCGATGTACGCAAACCACAACAGAGGCGTCCGGACTATAGCGTGGCCTTCCCACCTGGCCTCGTTCGAACCTGAAGTTTGCAGCCTTGCACAGACTAGTGAAGCGAAGCGTGGAAGGCAGACGTTCCACGGCATGTGACAGAAGAATCTAGTGCTCTAAGCCCTGTGGAATAGTTGCGTCTACACCCTGATATTGGATCGGATGTGGTGCAATGGCTCCGGGAGATAAGATGTAGACGTGTGGTGCCTTTGAAATGGGTGTGGTGGTGGCGGCCGGCTGTGGGCTTGGCATCGCCAAGCTCGGGCCTTTTTTTGACGTTGGTGGGGAATTCCCGCGGTGACTCTGAACTTCTTTTGTCGCAACAGACTCCAGAAGCTCTACGCACCACTCCGAGCGACCCGCCCCCGGCCCAGCCAACTCAATCTCCTCGAACGCCGGCTCACGCTTCTCACGACATCTGTCCATTGCAATCATGGAGTCCGACTCGGATGTCCAGCACGAGGAGACTCTCCACGACTCGGAAGTCGAGACCCAGGAGCCGCAGAAGGACGCGAAGCCCGGCAAGTCGGCGCTGAAGAAGCCTTCTGCGCCGCCTGTCCCTGTCGTGCAGCGCCCTGAGCTGCCACCGCAACCCGACCCGAAGGATCTCGATGTCGCGTCGCTGAACCCACTGACCGACTACATCATCGCTCGCCAGGCCACCATCAACATTGGCACCATCGGTCACGTCGCTCACGGCAAGTCGACCGTCGTCAAGGCCATCTCCGGTGTGCAGACTGTCCGTTTCAAGAACGAGCTGGAGCGCAACATCACCATCAAGCTGGGCTACGCCAACGCGAAGATCTACAAGTGCGACAACAAGGAGTGCCCGCGTCCCACTTGCTACAGGAGCTACAAGAGTGAGAAGGAGGTCGACCCGCCATGCGAGCGCGAGGGATGCGGTGGCACCTACAGGCTGCTCAGACACGTGTCGTGAGTACAGTCGGCATGGGACTTTGGAGAGCGAGGGGCTAACGGTGGCAACTAGATTCGTCGACTGCCCCGGTCACGATATTCTCATGAGTACTATGCTTTCGGGTGCTGCAGTCATGGACGCTGCGCTGCTGCTTATTGCAGGAAACGGTACTACCAGGCTTGCCGCAACATGTGAACCAGCGCTGACGGAAGATGCGTAGAAACCTGCCCCCAGCCCCAGACCTCGGAGCATTTGGCCGCCATTGAAATTATGAAGCTTAACCACATCATCATCCTTCAGAACAAGGTTGATTTGATGAGGGAAGAGGGTGCCGAGCAGCACTATCAGTCGATTCTGAAGTTCATTCGTGGTACCGTCGCCGATGGCTCTCCCATCATCCCCATCTCGGCTCAGCTCAAGTTCAACATCGATGCGGTGAACGAGTACCTTGTGACGAAGATCCCGGTGCCTGTGCGCGACTTCTCGGCCAAGCCCCACATGATTGTCATCCGTTCCTTCGACGTCAACAAGCCTGGCGCCGAAATCGAGGACTTGAAGGGTGGTGTTGCTGGTGGTTCGATCCTCACCGGTGTTCTCAAGCTCGGCGACGAGGTCGAGATCAGACCCGGCATCGTCACCAAAGACGAGCAGGGCAAGATCCAAGCGAAGCCCATCTACTCCAGGGTGGTCTCTCTGTTTGCCGAGCACAACGACCTCAAGTTCGCCGTGCCCGGTGGTCTCATTGGTATGTCCCTTCCATAGCGCATTGCGCGTGTCGTCTCGACTGACTTGGCTAGGTGTCGGTACCCGCGTCGACCCCACGCTCTGCCGTGCGGATCGCCTGGTCGGTTTCGTTCTCGGCCTCCGCGGCCACCTCCCCGCCATTTACACGGAGGTCGAGGTCAACTACTTCCTTCTCCGCCGGCTGCTCGGTGTCAAGACGGCAGACGGCAAGCAGGCCAAGGTGGCGAAGCTTGCGAAGAACGAGGTCCTCATGGTCAACATTGGCAGTACCGCAACGGGCGCTAAGGTCGTGGCCGTTAAGGCCGATGCGGCGCGCCTTACTCTGACTAGCCCGGCGTGCACGGAGATCGGCGAGAAGGTGGCGCTCAGCCGCAGAATAGAGAAGCACTGGCGTCTCATTGGCTGGGCAAACATTGTTGCGTAAGTACCCGATGCCCGACGCAGGGCGTGATGCATAAAGTGCTGGGACTAACTCAGTCTACAGCGGTACGACTCTCACGCCAACGTCGGAATGAGCGGGCGCCGAGGTGCGCGAGGGGGCAACATAGGGGCAGGGGGCCGCGCGCATGGATGGACGAGCAAAAATGGAGCTGGCTTAAGACGGGGTTGTCACGAATTCGCTATCTGCGTGCAGTTTCTCGGCTGCGACATCATGTTATATACGGCATCGTCATCTGCATGGCGGAAGCAAAAGTTGCTGTGGTTCAAGCAGCGGGATCAGGCGCAGGCACAGGCGCAGGCGGAGGCGCAGGCGGCAGAGGGGCTTGGATAGATGGGCCAGACATGTCGCAGGCCCTGACGCAGGGCACGAATACACGGAAATGCAAGCGCCTGGCCCGCGAGTGATATTGCCGAATCAGGGTGGTGGTGACTGTTGCGCGCACTGCGATTGGCACGGACGCGAGGGAAGCCGACGGTCCGGGGGGTAGCGGCGGCCAAAGAGGGTTCGACAGACCAGGTACAGGGTCGTTTTGGATTATTGCCATTTCACGTCTGGTCGGGCTGCTCACGCAGGGACCAGGCAGCGTCCTCGACGGGGTCCAGCGGTCTCACGTCTTCGTGTCCTGCTGCGGGGGCGCCGCTTTCACATGCAAACGAACCAGGAACCGCTCAACAAAAGAGAGCATAAGCTGCATACGCGCCCAAGCTTGCCCCCGCCTCACCTGCGCCGGCTGTCATCGTGCCCGCGTCGGCGGCTTCATAAAGCCTCAATTGCCCGCTAGCCCGCACGTGCTGGACTGACAGAGCCCTCTTGCGCCGCCGCCGTCCGCAACCCACGTCACACCAGTGTTCAGGCGGTCCGCCCGACCCAAACAACACCGACCGAATACGCAGCACCAGTGGCGCGCGCCCGGCTGATCTTCACCGCCGCACATCCCCCGCCTTCTGTCAAAAGAGCCGCAGGCTCAGCTCCTTGCTCCAGGACCGGGTCCTCTCTTCCGCACCTCAGCAGCAGCAGAGCTCCAAAGCTGCACTCTAGCTCCGCACTCGCAAGCGCCATCCCCCCCGCACCAATCGTTCCCCAGCCCGCAGCCCGCAGCCCGCAGCCGACCCACCATGTCATCCGACTACTCGCACGACCAGCCGTCACACCAACAGCCGCACCTCCATTCCTCGCAGCCGCAAATCCTCCGACCCCTGCCGCGCCGCCCCTTCGAGCTCAACCTCACGCCCGCCACCAGCTCGTCCAGCGCCAGCTCCCAGCCCTCGCCGAACCCCAACGGCGTCGTCGCCCCCAGCAGCCGCAACGACGCCTCGTTCCCCTCGTTGTCCGCCCAGCTCGATGCCCGCCTCAACAACCGCTCCGCCACCCCCGCCGGCCTGGACGCTGCCGCCGACGACTCGGACGTGAAGCGCAGCCGCAGCATCTTGAACCTGACCGCGAGCACCCTGTTCGGCATCTACCAGCCCACCGCCGGCGAGACCGGCAGCGAGCCCCCCACGCCCTGGGGCACCGGCGCCGAGACGCCCGCGTACGTCGGCGGCGGGGCCAGCAGCAGCGAGCTGCGTGAGTGGGAGTACCTGCGCCTCGCCGGCCTGGGGTCGCGGGACGCGGCCAACCCGGCGCCTCCTCCCTTCCAATCAAGGAGCGTATCAGGACCGGCCAAGCGTGTTGCCAGTACGTCTTCGTTGGATGCCGGGGCTGCTGTGTCTGCGGGCTCGCCGAGAGGATCGTTCGTTGACGGAGCTGCTGCGGAGAAGGGCGGAAGCAGCGTCTTGGGGTTGGTTGCGAGGGGAGTGGCGTTGTTTGGGTTCGGCGTCGTTTACGGTGTCATGATCAGCCACTTGCACGACAATAGGCACATTGCGCCAGTAAGGGTGGAGGGAATCGACCGCGGGCATTGGGGCTACCTCGCTTTCTGGGGGTTGGCCGGCGTGGCTTTGGGGAGCGCGCTGCCGTGGGTGGATCTCTTTTGGGAGGGGCGGAAAGCGGCTGCGGTTGCGGACGTGAAGGGTAGAGACGGGAAGAGGAAGATCAAGGGACAGGTTCCGACTGTGGTGGGCACCAGATCGCGAGATGGTGCGAGTCAGGAGTGGAACGATGTGGTGAGAAGTGTGGGTGCGTTTGTGGGGATTGCTTTCGCGATTGTGAGTGCACGTTTCTTGCCGCTCGTCATATTTCATGGTGCCTTTTGGACACTGCCCCGTTGCACCTTGATCATCTTCCCATGCATGCCCTCCCCACCAATCTTCATGGACTGACATTGCCAACAGCGCAAACTTCAATGGCAATCGACGACCCAAATCTCGGTCACGTTAGCCATGGTCAATCCGGCCTTGTGGTACCTACTCGACCGCAGCAAACCCGGCTTTACGCTCTCGATGCTCGTCGGCATCACCGGCACCGCCATCATGCTCCTCATGGGCCAGCATTCGGACTCGGTCGCCTTCATCCCTAGTCCGCCCATCGTCGGTGGAAGCGGACCCAACTCTAGCGTCCGCCTGGGTGCCAGAATTACAGGGGTCAGTGGTGCGGGCGGTATAGGCGGATCGCAGGGTGAGTACGAGAGCACGGTCGGAGTGGCCACATGGTTCGCTAGCGTGCTGTTTTGCAGCTGCGTGTGCTTCGGGAATATCGGAAGGAAGCTGGCCCTTCAGGGGTGAAAGCAAGCAGGGTCCCGAATGGATCTGTAAATGTTGAATTGCTAATGTTGTTATGTCGTCCGTCGATGAGGATTGGATATGTTCATGGTTCGGTGGAGGAAGGAAGTATGTTGGCATTTTCGGTACCTGGTATTACTTGGCATATCATGGATGGCTGTCGTCTGGAGGTGTCCGGTTTCGTTCTCACGTATTTGGGCGGTATGAGCACTCTCTACTTTAGCGCAAAGTTCGGCATAGCAGTAGTTTGATCAAGATCAGATTGTGTGTGTCCAATCCGGCCAGTTCTGTCGTGTTCACTCCTTTGGGAAGGTACTCTGTTTCCTTCCCACTCTGTCGATGGCTGCCTTCATGGTACGCATGAAGCTAGAATGATTTACCTCTCCCTTACACACGGCAACAGTCCGGAACATGCCTGGCTTGTTTCATGTAGCTGTCACGAGCTCCAGCCACAGAGGGATTGATGAATGGTTTGGTGCATACAGCTAATGGTCTAGTGTCCCACGCCGTCTGTTCCCCCCGGAGGCGACTTTTGTCGCGGTACTGTCACTAGGATTGGGCCAGCACCAAGTGCATTACGTACTCCGCCTTTCGCCCAATCAAACGCTTTGTATGATCATTATTACCGAGTTATGTGAGACGGTTGACATGGAAACTAGTAATTATTGGCGGCAGACATAGTTTTCCAGCTCAGCATGCCGCCATTCGCGGCGGTTTCCGCGCCTTTCGCCTTATCGGGCCGTCGACTTGTCGTGTCGAAGGGCGCGAGCGTGTGCTTTGACACATCCCCATAAGCACTTGGGAGAAGCAACACACAGTCAATCCCGCCTCGGCCCCCCTCTCTCTCACACACACAAAACCACGTCGGCATCCGGGGTGATACAGGCTGCCATGCGTTGCTCCCTGCACCTGCGATCCCAGCATGAGCAAAAGCGGATTCCCGCACCCCCGATCCATCTCCTCGGAGAAGCGCGCCAGCATGCATGCACAGACGGAATGCAGAGAAGAAGGCAAGCAAAGATGGACTCAGCCCGGATAGAAGCAGCAATAATCCCACTCTTGTCCTGAACCTGCCACACCGCACGGAACACGCCTCCTTCTCCAGCCACGCGTGCAGCGAGACCCCAGCCAATCAGTCCTCACCGCGAGAGGGCCGTCCAATCTATCCACATTATCGGTCAAAGAAGGCAAACGGAGCTGAAGATAACAGCACGGACGTAGCTGGCCGACTTATCTACCCCAGATGCCGCCGGGCCTCTCTTTATCTATCTGACGTGGAACCCGCACGAGTACTTGTAGGAGGCACCGGCTTCGTACTGGGCTCAGGCTCAGGCTCAGGCCCGGCCTTGTCGTTTGCCACTTAGGAGAGCAGGGCCTGCCTTGAGACGCGGCGACAGGAAGGAAGGCATACACGCACGCAGGCATACACGCACGCAGGCATACACGCACGCAGGCATACACGCACGCAGCCAGCCTGTTCCTTCCTCAACACACCTCTCATCCGTCACGGCAGGTACCCAACCCACTTCGCAGCACCAACACCACCACCACCACCACCACCAACGCAGCACCTCTGCCCACGCCTTTCCGAGTTCCTTGCTCCCTTCTCCAGGACTCTTCGCCTCCCAGACCATTCATTCATTCATTCCTTCCCCCACTCGGCTCCGCCGCCCTTTGGCGTATCTCTCTCCACAGACGTTTTGGATTTTTTTTTTCGCAAGGAGAGAGAGAGAGACTGGCTCTCGGACCCTGTCTCATCAGTGCTCTGCATCGGACCACCGGCGTACCGGCCGGAAACAAGAGCATGGGAAAGAAAGGGTAGGACCGCCACGCCAGACTTGCGCTCCTTTCAACACCACGAGGAAGGATCACCCGCTGGGAACAGGGGAAGGGAGAGCGAGCTGGATAGGTAAGAAGAGTCTTGCTTTGTGGACGCTCAAAACCTCACCACCGCCCAGAGGACGCTAGGAACGGGGAGATGTGCAATGCCACGATCCACAAACTTCAGTCTCTCATACCGACCAACCTATCCCGGCAGAATCCGCAAAGGTGACTGGAAGACACTGTCAAGGAGCAGAGTGGTTGCAATCAAAAGGCTTTCATTCTTCATTCCGAGGTATCTAATCAACTCTCGTCCCCACACCTTCATTTCTGTCATACGTTTCGTGGTATTAGTAAAACGCAGAATTCCTCCCTAGAACTTGCAAAAATCCGAAGAAGATCAAACGCTTTGTCTTCCACGTCTAAGATTCCCCTCCCGGTTTGTTTCATTTTTTGGGCCATGACTTCAAGAGATGGTCTCATCGGATATATTGGACTGACAAAAGCAAAGAATAAACAAGAAGAACTAAAATCGTCGCCACAAAATCGAACATGCTCAGCAGAAAAACTTGTACACCTTCTTCCACCTGGGCCACGCAGCCTGCTCGGCCCTCTCCTGGGTGACCAGCTCCGCAACATCGAAGTCACGACGGCCCGAGTGAAGGTCCATGTTGTGTGAGCGGACGATGGGAGTGCGCTTCCAGATCTTGTAAATGACGTAGAAGCCGATGACAATGGGGAAGGCCAGGTAGACGGAGAAGAAGTTCTCGATGAGTTCGCCGGTGGTCATGTCTGCGTAGCCGATGGGGGCGAAACCAGTCCAGAACTGAGCGACCAGGACGAGCAAGTTGAAGATGAAGCCGATCCATGAGCCAATGACGCCAGGCTGGCTGCGGAAGGCAAGCTCGTCCAGAGAGTGGCCCTGGGCCTTCCAGCCCTTGCGGAAGCGGATGTGGCAGAAGCAAATGGACATCCAGGTGAAGATCGAAGACAGACCGGAGATGGCAAGCATCCAGGTGAAAGCCTTGTCCTCGGCCGTGGAATCGGCGGCAAGGAAAGCGAGGAGACCGAGGATGGCGGAGAGGATGATGCCGACCATAGGACGACCCTTGCGATCGATGTAGCCGAGAATGCGAGGAGCCTGGCCCTGCTCGGCAAGGGCGGCGAGAGTACGCGAAGAACCGTAAACGGACGAGTTACCGACGGACAACACAGCAATCATGATGACGACGTTCATGATGGACGGCAGGACCTTGATACCAGCGTTGTTGATGGCAATAACGAAAGGCGAGGCGGCGGCATCGGCCGAGGAGCTGCCGTTCAGGAGACGGTCATCGTTGTAGGGGACAAGAAGACCAATGAGGGCGAGGGAGACGATGTAGAAGAGGGTGATACGCCAGAAGACCTGCTTGACAGCAGTAGGCAGCGACTTGCGGGGATTCGCAGTCTCGGCGGCGGCGAGACCGACCAGCTCGGTACCGGCGAAAGCGAAAGCAGCTGTGACGAAGACACTGCAGAGACCCTTGAATCCGTGGTTAAAGGCTCCGGGATCTTTCCAGTACTTGTTGCCAATGTAGGTACCATCGGGACCGCCACCAACGTTCAGGATGATGCCGAGGATGATGAAACCGATGACGGCAATGACCTTGATGATGGAGAAGACGAACTCGGCCTCGCCGTAGCCCTTGACACCAAACAAGTTGATGCAGACGATGACGAAGAGGAAGATTGCGACCCAGGCGGAGTTGTTGATTCTGCCCTCGTTCCAGAAGTTGACGGTGATGGAAGCGGCGACAATCTCGAGCGGCAGGACAATCAACCACTGGAGGGCATAGTTCCAGCCCATGGCGAAACCCCAGGCGGGATCGATGAAGCGGGTCGAGTATGCGGAGAAGGAACCAGCGACGGGGAACAGGACAGCCATCTCGCCCAGGGCGTGGACGGTGCAGTACAACATGATGCCGATCAGACCGAAGGCGATCAGCAGCGACGCGGGGCCACCGTTGGCCAGGGCCTTTCCGGAGCCGACGAACAGACCAGTACCTGGCAGCGCGCGTTAGTGGGGACTGGGCAAGCAACACCAAGGCGGCACGACAAGCACATACCGATGGATCCGCCGATGGCAATCATCTGCAGGTGACGGCCCTTGAGCTTCCTCGCGAGGGGAGACTCGGCGGTGGCGGCGGCAGCATTCTCGAGGTCGTAGCTCTTGTCGTCACCACCGTGCGAGGTCGGGGCGGTGGCGTGGGCATTGGGGTCGCGGCGGAAGCTGTCGACGACGCGGGCGCTCCACGACTGCTGGTGGGGGGCGACGTCGCCGTAGTTGGCGGCCGGGGCCTCGGTGGAGTTGGAGTCGTAGACTCCCTTCTCGTCGGCACCCATGGCGGATGAGTTCCCGGGTGTGGTGGGCGGAAGAAGGGACGTCGGAGGCTGGCGACCTGGCTGGAGTCCCGTAACGGGATGAGAAGAAGGCGCTGGGGCTGGGCTGGTGAGCGCACGAAGGGGGGCGCTGGGAGCACACTTAAATGGTGTCGCTCTGGGAAGGTGCAGCTGGGGCACGGCGGGACCACGGGACTAGCAGGGGCGCGGCGCGGCGATGGACGGTCGGCGACGGCCCCCGGCTAAGGCCCGTTTTCAGTGGGCGTGCAACGATAGCACTGCCAAGCTGCCGGGCACATCCCACGCCCGCTCTCTTGATCATCCTGTTACGTCGCGGTGCATTGCACCACTCGGAACAAGCGTAGCCCGCGTGCCACGCAGCCAATTGCCGCGCCCGCATTGTTTCCAGAACAGCTCGCCCGCTCGTCGACGCCGTCTTATCTCGCAGCCAAGCAGGCTTCGATGGTTTCGCCGCTGCGCCAGAGGGAAATCCCCGCCCAAACGCCGCCGCCCGCGAGCGCCGCAACACTGACGGCGTGGCGTGCCGGCGCAGGCTCTCACGGCCGTTGGGAGCACACCGCGGGGGCGCCGTTCGCGGCCGGGGAGCTCGTTTGAGAGGGGCTCACAGACCTTCCAGATAACGCTAAGCGCGTAATTGAATTGCATGGCCGACCGCCTCTGCACGCGACTCGTGCTCTCCAGAGGGTAGCGAGGGATCTGCCCGGCCGGCCTCGCCGACTCAGCTCCCGTGCGGCTGGCTTGGGCGGTCTTTCCAGAAGCCTGCCGCATCTCGCGCAGCCATCCCACTCTTCATCTCGCAAGCCACGGCCAATCGAGCCGCCGCCAGCCGTCGCCAGCCAGCCGCCGCCGCCAGGCTCTGGGGCGGGTGGCAATTGCCGGTAAGGCTGGTGGTGTTGAGCGAGAGCGAGGATCCGAGCATGGCACCGCGCCGGCGCCAGCTAGGTACGCACAGGCTCTCGCCCACCCGCTGTTGCCACCGATAAGGGAGCACTCGCGCTGATGACGCGCTGCACGAATAGTACGCTACTCGACATGTCTGGCGCCCCATGATGGAAATGGCGCCTGTGCTCGCCGATCCTGCGCGAGAGGCGTCCTCACAGTATCTGCCTCTCAGAGACATGGCGCCCATCTTACGTGGGCCGGGCGGATGCCAGAGCGTGGGCCTCCGCGCTCCCCTCTCCCAGAACCTGAGAAGCTGCCGTGTCATCGGCCGTGCGTTTCTTCTGCCACGCGGCTGTACGCAGGGGCGCGTGGTTATGAACGCAGCGCTGCTCGTGTGACTGCCTGCACGACAGCGCCGACAGGCTAGGGTAGATGCGGCGGCTGGGCATCCGAGCGCGGCGCGTATAGAGCAATATAGGGCGTCACGGCGGGAGCGGGCAGCCGCGGGCAGCTATGGTCATCTATGGTCAGGATAGCACCGCCCTTGGATGATGAGGCTGGGTCGATGGACGAATGACGGGCATCATTGGGCTCTCGGGGCCCTGATTGGTGCGGAAGGCCAGATGCAGGATGACTTGATGATTCGAAGCTTGGCCCCCGAAACGAGAGGCTAATTAGGCTCCCGTAACGCCTCGTCGGCTCTTCCTACAGGCTACCACGGTGCCGTGCGCTCATTTCATCCATCAGCTTTGTGTCGCCGTCATGCGCACCCGTCATCACATGAGCCAGACGAGCGAGACGAGGGAGCAGAGCAGAGGCCGCCGCACGCGTCAGTCCCGCCATTTGTCCTCTGCAGCGAGGCCCTGACAGCACGGCTACTCCCGAATCGCCAACCGCTCAGCCTTTTCTTGTGCTGATCGCCAAGCCCCCCGGCCCTGCCGCAACGCCATCCTGAAAACTCTGAACGAAAAAAAAAAAAAAAAAAGCCGCACAGCCGTGGCGCGGAGTCAGCCACTCCCGCGCGGTCCCGGCTTCTCGAAATCTGCGCGCTGCGAGGTGGTGTCACTACCGCCCACGCCGCATCGAACGTCTATCGCGAGGTTGAGAGGTCGGTCCACGGCTCAGGGCAGACCCACAATACCCCGTCCGTGCCATTATCTTAGCCCGGATCTGTCTACCAACTCTAACATAATAGAAACTGCAACCAGAAAGCCGGGGCCTGGCCAGATACCGGACGCACTGCGGCCTTGGCCCGCTCCGCTGGCCGCTCCGCCGCACGCCTTCGTTTATAATCGGCCTTCCACCCCGGAGCCCTTGCCTGTACGAGCATTTATTTCACCTAAGATTTACTCCCCGGACTATGGGGTGCAGCGTGCCGCCGCCGCCCCAGAGCCACCAACCCGGCTCACGTGGCTCCGTCCTCCCGCCTTCCCTCGCTAGAGCGTTGTCAGTACGTAAGAATGCGGAGAAGAATGCGGAGAGGCAGCCGGCGAAGGAGCTAACCACGCCGACGTCCGGGGATGTCCATGTGTATCTGCGTGACTTGGCTTGGCCCGGGCAAGAGGCGCCTTGGTCCCCCGACGAAGAGAGTGGACACGCATCCTTCGAGGTGTTGCGCTGAACCCGAGCTGCTATTTTTGGAAGGACCTCCGTCGACGGTCTTCTCCTCGTCCGCCTCTTGGCCAACAGCTTCGCCGGCCGCCAAGGCTGCCCTATCTCGTCGCATGCGGCTCACACCAGCGGCCGCACCTGCACCGTACCTACGCTCTTTTCTCCGACGCGCCCCAAGCCCACAATAATGCCGCGCAACGAGCAGCGAAAAACGCAACCTTTGCAGAACACCAGCCGCCCTCTTATCGCATCCCCCACCAGCACCCACCAGAAAAAGCACGGGTATCGTAAATGCTCGGCGTAATAGACTCCACTTAACTTTATCTATGCAGGATCAACAGGTACGCGTCGTGGTTCTTTGGGGGGCCCGAAAGCTTTTTGGTTGCGTGTTTTGGCCCACCAGATTGAACCCTTATTCACGCGAGCTAATGAAACACGCGAGTTGGCGACCGGGCGTTTCCGCCGCGAGAGAGTGGGTCCCCCGCCTAATTGCCTGAATCACTACCTCTACTTTTTTTCAAAATTGCCGCGCTGTTGCGCGAGAGATAGCGTAGGTAGTAGTTTCCCCCCGTCGGCGAAACTCGTCGGGCTCGTGAGAGCGAGGGTAGCCGAAAAGAGCGAAGATGCCCCCGCTCGGTCCAGCTAAAATACGAGCTTCGCGAGATATGGTTTACCGCAAGAGAACAAACAAGCAACTTGTCATATGCAGCCTAGTGCCCGCTTTTGTCGCAGACTACACGTATCTCCAAGCTGGCCGCCGGGACCAATCCAGAGCAGTTTTGATTCCTGACTAAGTTCGACGAATAGCACAAGAGCAAGCCATCTTACAATCGTCGGCCTGCAATCATCTTGTCGACGGCGGCTGAATACTGTTGAGGTTGTATACCGGCGATCGCATTTCCGCCAAAGCCTTGACGGGTGCCGGGGGCGAATTGCGGATGCTGCCATCGTTCATACATCAAAGGTGTTTGCTTCAGATACTCTCCTCTGGCTCGTTACATTTCCTCTTCATCATGGCTTCTACCGCTAAGTTGGACAACGCTACCTATTCTACAAGAATGATGTTTCTGAAAAGAAAAAAAAACAGTCCAAGAGAGGGGAAACGCGCGAGCCGTGAGCCATGCCATGCATTGCGTGCGTGGTGGGTGCATGTTTTGATAGATACTCCCACACAAGTACCGCTACCCGTAGAAGTAAAGGAACAGTGATACAACGCCCATGCCATGTATACATGCAAACCACTCACAAATTCTCCTCCCTCCCTCCCTCCTCCCTCAAGCATCGTCCCCCCTCCCGCTGCCACAAATTTAGGTATACCGACCCTCCATGTTCTTTTTTCCCCCCTTTCTTCCGTTCCATCACGCCCCACCCATCTCCTCGTCCTCCTCGCTCTCCTCTCCCTCGGCGGCGTCCCCGTCATCCTCAACCTCCATCTCATCGTCCGCCAGCACCGCCGCCGCAGCCGGCCGCGGCGGAACGCCCCCGACGACGATGCTGTCGTCGACGTCATCCATGTCTTCTTCTTCCATGGTGGGCACCGCGCTGCTCTCGCGGCCCCCGCCGTCGCCCAGAGGGAGGTCCGCGACGCTGTCGCCGTCACCGCGCTCGGACGCGTCTGCCACCGTCGAGTCCGCGACGGACGACGGCACGCCCGCGCGCTTCCGCCTGCCGGACGCGCCTCCTCCTCCTCCGCCCCGTCTGCCCGCGGCTCTGCTGCCGCCGCCGAGGGCGGCGCCGGTGCCGGGCGTGGCGGTGCCGGCGGCGTCCTCGCCGACCCAGACGAGGTCGTGCTGGGGCGTGGGTGCGGAGGCTGCGGCTGCGGCGGCGGCGGCGGCGGCTTCGTCGTCGCGCTCGGCGCGGTCTTTGCGCTTCTTGACGGGCACCGCGTCCGGGTTGCCGTCCCAGCGGTCGAGCCGGCGGCCCGTCTGCCGGAAGATGCGCGCCCAGTGCGTCATCTCCTCGCCGCAGTCATCGAGCTCGAGCCGGCCGACGATGGGCGTCAGCCCCGCGAGCCTCGTCGCCTCGAGCATCGGCCTGCGCACCGGCGAGTGTTCGAGCACGCCGTTCTCCGCCGCCAGCGCTGCCGCCGCGTAGAATTCCTCCTCGCTGTCGTAGCCGTCTGGCATCAGCTTGAGCCGCTTCCACGCTCGTGAGAAGGTGCCTTCGCGCTTGCGTCGGCGCTCGGCTTCACGATGCTGGGTGCGGAGTTTGCGGTCGAGGATGTAGTCGACTTGCTTCTTGCGGTGTTGCTCCACTGCCATCTGGTGCGCTGTGGGAGGTCGCTTGCGGTTGACACTGGGATCCGTACCGTTCAGGGGAAGGTAAAAGCCATGAGGCCCAGCACCGCCCAGGGCCACAGAAGGGGAGGCAGTGTCAAGATGTGCTTTGAAAGGATGGCGTGCACTGCCGCCCACACTTGAGGGGGTGCCTTTGCTGCGTGGTCCCCAATTCCCCCGGCCAGGGCCTTTGCCTTGAGGAGGTTGTGGGGTAGATGGTCCATCGTCGTTCAGCAAGTTGTTGATGCGCATGTTGGGAGTAATCCTTGGTGGATATCCTGCAACGCTGGGAGGGCTAGCTGATCGAGTACGATCAGTGTCAGATCCGTAGTCGGCTTGCAGCGCCTTGAGGGGCGCCTTCGCACGGCCACTCGATCGAAACGATGCAGGCCCGGGGGATTGATGATCCCTGCCTGGCGTCATTGACCCGTCATCAGATGCGACAGAAAAGACCGGATTATTGGTGAATCCCTTTTTGATTCCACGCTTGGGTCCGGTCACCACAGGGGCCATGTCGGTGGCCAGGATGGTTATCCGCTCTTTCCGCTTTTCCTCCCCAAACACCTTCTCTTCCTCCGTATCCACGTTCTCCAGCGCCGCTTCCTCCTCTGTAAGATGCTTAAAGGGCGGTGTCTTGATGGGCATTCCACCAGTAGCATCCCCAGAGGTTCCTGGCTGGCCTTGGCCGAATGGATTATGCATCGCGTCGTGCTCGGTAAAGTCGCTTTCCAGATACCACCACATCAGCCACAGGAAGGCCTTTGCGCGACTCTCGGAGCTCAAAGCGCTTCGCATGACCAGGTCGAAAAAGTCTCGAGGAGGAAAAAAGTGTAGCTCGGATATCTTGGGGGCGTATTGTGCGAGGACGAAGATGAGGTTGACGGGGTTCGTGCGCGGTACAGAGGCGTTCTTGATCTCTTCGATAGTGCTGGGCTGCTGTGTATCCTCGGTCGCTCCCTTGAGGATGGACTTGAGACGAGGGGCGTCCTGCAATTGCTTGTAGGCATTGGGGTCTTGATGAGCTTGGAGCGAGGGGATCGAGTGATAGGTTCGGAGCTGGGCGCGCATCTCGGGGAAGACTAGTGAGTGTTAGCATGTCCAATGGATTCTTTGCACTGGCACCTACAGTTCAGTGTGGTGTTCATGCGGCCGACATTGACCAACAAGCACACCATTGCCATGTTGATAGCGGCAGCGCGCTCCGTCAACAGCTTGTCCTTGAGAATCTTGCTGCATTTGCTGCTCTTGGCCATGGCATCGAGGTATATGTCGGCGAAGGTGTGGCCGTCGGTGCCGTCGGAGACCTTGTGGAAGACGCGAGTCTGGTCATCGAAGACGTTGCGCAGGAAGTCGTATTGGATGTCCTTGCGCCACAGCGGCACGCCATCTTCCTTCTTCAGGTGGCGGATCTTGTTGCCCGAATACACAGAGGACACGCTGCCGTTGGCATTGCGGCGGGTGGTGGTGGTGGTCGCAGTATACATGGGCTGCTCGTCGGCGGGCTTCGACTTGGGGTCGTCGGTGGAGTCGGGGTCGTCCTGGGCAGGCGGCTGGCCAGCTTCGGTCTTGACGGGCGTCGGGGCGTCGGGCATGTCTTGGTTGGGAGAGTCGGCGGCGAGGACGTGGCGGAGGCTGTTTCTGGGATCGGGCTCGTCGGCGCGCGGCGCTGGCGTGGTGGAGGGTTGTGACATGATGGGTTTCAGGCGCTGAGCTTCCCAGAGCTCCTTGGTTCGGCAAAGTTGCGATTTGAGAGCTGGGCGAGGGTCAGTGGTACAAATCACGGGACCATGGCTTCGTGGTGCAGCGATGCGAATGGTGCGATGGGCGCGGCGCGCGACAATGCTGCGGGCTGGAATGGGAGGAACAGGAATGCAAGATTCGCGGAGCTCGACCATCTGACACCGCGCCGCCGCCATCCCCAGACCGCGCCTGCCACGCCCGCGGCCCGACCAGTTGATCCGGCAAATCCACCCGCCAAGCCCTTCCCCGGCCCTTTCCCCATCTGGAGAAGCGCGCTGCACCTCACCCTGTACTCCGTTGCAGAAGCTGTTTGTTTCACTAAGTGTATGTATATATCGCTCCCTGTCTCGTGGTCGTGGCCGGCAACGCTAATTAACGGCAGAAATCGAACCATGACAAAATCATGTCTTGCCGCTGCACGCCTACCCTACCCACCAACGCCTCAACTATGCATCCCTGAGAACCAACAGGCCAATTTGCCCAACGCCATTGCCGTGCAGATGTAACAAGTAAATAAATGAACGCCCCTCGGCACCCTCGTCCCCACTACTCAGCCGCTAGCGGGGGTGTGCCGCTCGGTGACCGAGGAGCCGCTGTTTCCGTCGTGGGCTCGGCCGCTTCACTTGACAAGCTCGCTGTTGCCGTTGCCTCCGTCGCCTCTCCTGTCATCGTGTCCGCATTGCCAGTGGTGCTCTCTGTTACTGTACTCTCTTGCGCGGTCGTGGCCTCTTCTGGTCCAGGGCTCCTCGGAGGTGTTGCCGTGTTGCCAGTGCCAGGGAGAATCGATAATTCTTCGGCACTTGCCTGATCCAGCACCACAGCAGACGTCTCGCTTGGACGTACGACAGTAGCCCCGTTGATGGCCTGGTCCGCCTCCTCTGCTTCCTCGCTGGGAACTGCCGTCTTCTCGCCAGCTTCCTCCTTCTTCTCATCCTCACCAGACTCGTGGTCCTCCGCGTCAGCCATGTCTTCATCCAGTGCCTCGGCCTCCGCGGGGTTGGTGGCAAGGTGCTTGTTCCTTTCATCTTCCGCATCGCTGTCATAATATTCCGCGTCGTTGGCAATGCCTCTGTCCTCCTGGAGCTCCGTCATGCGAACATCCATGTTCTCATCGGCATCTATGTCTGCCAGTATGTCGTCGTCCTCTTCGGAGCTCCCCAGCCCCTGACGGGGGACGTCTTGCATCTGAACCGATGGCGCGAATGGTAGTTGGCGCAGGCGCTCGGCAATTGTGGAACGGATCTTTTCCAGATACTCTGGAGTGTTGTCGTTGGACATGTTCGAAGGGGGTACATCCAGAAGATACTCCGGGCAGTAGTACTTGATCATAGTAAGCAAGAGCCTCTCTGAGCTTTTCTCGAGAACTCACTTCGTAGTAATCACTGAACGGCAGGACCTTCGGAGTCGGTTCTCCAACTGCCTGCCCCGTCTCATATGCCCACGTGCGAGCTACGTTACGGATGCTGTAACCGCCTCCTCCAACCATCATGGTTGGCAGTCCAAAGCTCTTGACAAACTTGACGCAGTTGGCGTGTCCCTCCATGGACAGATTGAAGCTCCCAAGCCGATCTCCAGACAGACTGTCGGCACCACACTGTAAAACGACGGCTTCGGGCCGAAAGCACTTCATGATATCGGAAATAACCGCCTCGAAAATTCCTCGATACGCCTCATCGGTTATGCCGTCGCGGAGAGGCACGTTCACTGCATATTTCTTGCCCTTTCCGATGCCGATATCCAGCAAGTGGCCGGTTCCGGGGTAGAACTCGCCAAACTTGTGGAAAGAGCACGTCATAACGCGGTCAGTGGTGTAGAAGGCCTCTTCCACTCCGTCTCCATGGTGGATGTCGATGTCAATGTAGAGCACGCGCTGGTACACGCGCAGGAGTTCCAAGGTAGCCAGGACGATATCTGCAGCCGTTAGCCACGTGCAAGGCATGGCGAGCAGAGCGAAAGCATACCATTGACATAACAGAAGCCACCGGCTTGGCCCTTTTTCGCGTGGTGCAGGCCGCCGGCCCAGTTCACTGCAATGTCACAGCGGCCACGATTGAGCCGCGCGGCGCCTTCCATTGAGCCACCGGCACTGATGGAGCAATACTCAAACAAGCCGTCGAACACGGGGCAGTCGCCGCTGATGTCGTACTTCAAGGCCTCTTGCTGGCAGCCGCCAATGGAGTCGGGGGTGATGCGCTGAAGAAACTCTATGTACTCGTCGGTGTGGAATTGGGTCATCTCCAGGGCGGTAGCGGGCTTTGCGCGCTGCGAGACAGCCGGGTTAGCGGGGGATGCAGCAAGGAACAAGGCCGACGCACGTAGACCTCCATGTTCCTGTAGAGACCGTAAGACATGACCAGGTCGTGGGTCATGCGGATACGGAAGGGCTTCATGCAGTGGCCTGGCTCATAATCGTAGCAGCCTATGTCCGGGTCGTACATGTACGCCACGCGCGTCTTGTTCGACATGGTTGCGAACTGCTAGAATGGGGTGGTGGAGAGCGCGGGCGGAGCAAGCGGGCCACAGAGCAGCGTTAGTGAGAGAAAACGAGCCGCACGTCAGGTGCAAGAGGGAGCTCGGGTTTGTGTGTTGCGGGTGATGAAATCGGCGGGGCACTCGGACAAAGCGCGGCGAAATGTGTCAGCAGCGACGAAGGGCCCCTTGGGCGTCTTTGCTCAAGCAAAGGCCGGAGAAGCGAGCTTGTGGAGTGAGCGCTGGAAGACGAGCAGAAGGTTGGGCGAGCACTATCGTCATCGCTAAAACCCCCCGGCGCGTCGTCGGCCCGGACCACTCGGCTTGCCTGAAACATTTTACGGGAGCCCGCTGCGCGACACTCGATCAGATCAGCAAGGATCCTCGGCAGCCCTTCGGGGCCCGAGTCTTCTATCACAACCTGCTGTGGCACCCCTGTGCGAGCACAAGGCCGGCGTTCTGAACCGTCCTTCACCGTCCTTCTCTCGCCCTTCCCGAACGTAGCTTGGGATTCGGGGGGAAGCAGGCGCTGTTATTGCCTAGCTAAGCAGATCGCAGTGCTGCAGTATGAACACACGTGAATAAAGCCACATCTAATCCACTTGGCTCAGAACCAACAACGCCAAACAGAAAAAGAAAAAAAGCACTAATCCAAGGGATATCGCAATCGTTACAGGATCGTCATCGCCGTTTCACCCCCTCCTCCGCCGTGTGCCGTCTCATGCTGTTTCAAGCGCTCACTGCATGCGCAAACACCTTGGTCGCCAGGTCGCTGAGCAGCCGAGCTTTGTCGCCCTGCGGCAGCTCCTGGAAAACCGCATACACGCTCTTTCCCCGAGTGTCTCGCACCGCGCCCAGCCTGTTCCCCGCAACTGCGCCCGCAACTGCTCCCGGGAAGTTTGCGATGATGAAGCCCATGGCGCCGCCGCTCAGTCCGCCGACGAGACTCCAGAATCTGCCGTTCGGCTGCGCCTGCTCGCCCTCGGCCAAGCCTTCCTCGCGCAGCATCTCCTCAAAAGCGCTGCCGAACTGCTCGTTACTGAAGCGCTCGTGCTCGCTGGCCGAGCCTCCGCCATTGTTGCCTGAATTGCCTCCAAAGAACGACGACCAGGGGAAGCCGCCAGGCATGCTGCCCTGCTGGCCCGCCTGAGGCTGGGGGATCTCCTCCTCTGGTTCATCGTCATCGAACCCTCCGGTGTAGTTGTTGTAGGTCCGCGCAGCATCATACTCGCGACGGCGGGTTGGATCGCACAGCGCGTAGTAGGCGTCGTTGATCTGCTGGAAACGTTTGGTCCGTGTGGCGCGCTCAGGGGAGTCTGCGGGGACACGGTCGGGGTGGTGCTTCAAAGCGGCTTTCTTGTATGCATCCCGGATCTGTTGCTGGGTCGCTTTTGGCGAGATGTCGAGGATTTTGTCTGCATACAGAAGCGTTAGGCAGGCTGGGGGTCTGTAAGACTTGATCGGCACGCACAGTAGTCTGGAGCTGCGGGATGTTAGCTTTGCGTCACTGCATATGGACGGGGGATTTTGGCGTACTGGACATTGTTGTGAAGCAGCAACAGGTATCTGACTTTGATCGAAGCTCTGAGAGTATGCGAGGTGTCGTTTGCTGGGGACGGAGAGGAAAGTCTGGCTAGAGAGAGTGGGAGAGCGATGAAACTGGGCTGTCTGGACACCTCGCCTACCCATGACGTAGCACTATTCACCGCCACACGAAGTGGCTGATCAGGGTCCGCTCCGTTCCCTCACGTGCACCACAGAATGATTCAAGCCCCTCCCCCACTTGCACATCCGTGGAGCGGAATCCGACGTCTCAATAATGTTGTAAACACGTTACGTTTATTCAGTTGCTCACGAAGGAAGGCCGTTCCACACCTGGGCCCGGATAGTTGCCTTTGCCTGCCTACTGTGTACGTAAGCGGGCACAGGTTTTCTGCAACCCACTGTGACCAGGTATATCAGAGGCGTTTATTGCGGTACTTGTGACACGACGCATCAACCTCATTTCATCCTCATGGGCATGAAATCTGCTGGAAATCACCGCACCAGGAACCGCACAGCCCATGCCGCGCAGAGCGGATTGCTCAGGCCGCACCTCGTTCCACACGAAGGAGCCAAGACACTGCAGGTGGGCAGAGACTGCTCCACCACGATGACTCTTCAGGCTGCCGCGGCTCTGGCGACGATTTGACAGTCCACCCGCGCACCGCGCCAGCGGGAAAGGCCCCATTGCCATGGCGCGCCATGGCCGGGCCAGGACATCCGTCCAGGCGGTCCAGAGCCCCCAGCGCGGCGCACGAGCCCGGCGAGATCAACCTCCGTCCGGCATCTTACCCAACTTTAATGGCCTGAGACGGTGCGATCCTGGCTGGTGCAAGAGCTTAGACACGGGCTCCTGGCCGCGCGGTGGAGTGCACCACAGCAGCTCCACGCGCTTTCCGCGCAGTTCGGGTTCGAGACCGGCGCCGGCGCCGGCAGGCCAGTGGATAGGGCAGCTGATCGACGATTTGTCGGATCTTGGGCGGAGGCATGATTGACTTCGGAGAAGGCGTGCAGCTGCGATCTGCGCCGTTCGCAGGTGGCAGGCGCCATCAGCTCACACAGCGCCGGCCCAATGCACCAACAACACGCTTCTTCCTGCGCGACCATCCCTTACCACCAGCCCTCGACTCCTGCGCGTGCCGCCCAAACCATTTGACCGGTCGCTGCACGTCGCCGCACTGACAGCAAACACCCCCCCACTTGCCGCGCAAAACCTGTGCGTCCCGTTTCGGTCCGTCACTCGCTGCACCTAGCCGCCTCCGCCTTATTGTACAAGACTGCGCACGCTCTCGGTGCTCCAGGCGCACATTGCTCTCCGCAGCTCCGCCCGTATAGGTATTGTTCGCTCTGTCGCCCCGATCACCCTCAATGCTTGTCTCACGCCCTCGAGGAATCGCGCGCAAGCACCGTCGCAACGACTATCTGCACACGCCGCTGAGCCGCCACGCCTTCAGCGACGTACGATCGACCTCGACCTTCTACCACTACCCGACCCAGCAGAAGCAGCGCCCCCCGACAATGGGTTGGTTTGGCCCGTCGCGCTCGCCCTACAGCTCCGGCGGCGGCGGCTACTACTCGTCCTCCAAGTCCAACTGGGGCCGTCCCGCCAGCACCTACTCGTCGCATTCATACTACAAGCGCCGCCCGCGCGACGGCTACATCAACCGCCTGCTCTACAAGCTTAAGCAGCTCTTGCGCGAACTGTACGACTATGCGCGCCGCCATCCGGCCAAGTTGTTCTTCATGGTCGTCATGCCCTTGTTGAGCAGCGGCGCTTTGCACGGCGTCCTGCGCCAGTTTGGCATCAGCTTGCCGCGCGCGCTGAATAGCGCGCTTGGCGGTGCCTCGATGGGAGGGAGCTACAGCAGCCACGGCTCAAGGAGCTATGGCGGCGGATATTACGGTAGCTCCGGCTACGGCGATGACTACGGGAGAGGCAGTGATGGCCTGAACCTGGGCAGCTTGATGAGCCTCGCAAGCCTGGCGAAGCACTTCATCTGAGGGCTGGCCCCCCCAAAGTGAGGCGGCTGCCAGGAGATGATGGCCGGGTGGGCCATCCGACTGCCGACATACCAATGCGCAGCACCCGCAGCGCGCCAGCGGGTCCGCCCGCTGCACGCAATCCGGAGCGTGTTCATTTCCTGGTCGCTCGGGCTTCCCTCGAGCACCCGACGCTTTCTGGAACGTTCGGCCCCCCGCGTGAGGACACATATCATCTGCCTTCAGGAGGGTGTCGCGTGCCGAAGCCTCATTCCACCTCCCCCCCTTCTCCGGCCAGCGATCGCAAACAGCGGCGCCAGGGTCGGAATTCAAACTCAGGCTTCGGCGCAATTGGATCTAAGGTTGCGATCCTGGCTGCGAACGGATGATCGGAGCGGAAAACAGCAATCCCCTTCATGACCTCATGTTCAGCCCTGCATTGCAAAGATAATAAGATGATGGCCGACGATATTACGACCTGAAACGAGAGCACCTTCACGAATTGGATGACGGAGACCCCTTAAGACAACATTGAAACAATTAATGACGAGGCACATATTACTTGTATTTATCCTCCTTGACGTAGAATCTTCACCACCTACCTCAGTTTCCGACGTGCAATTCTTGACTTTGCCCTCTCTTCTCTGCCTTCCTGCCGCCGCAGCTCCCGCACTGCCCGCACTGCCCGCACTGCCCGGACGCCGGGCCGCAGACGCCGCAAGCCATTGTGAGTACTCCGTACAGGTCGCGCCGCAGGTCGTCTGGTCCGTCTGTGCCGGCAGTCACAAGACAGCCTCCTTTGCAATCAGCCCAGTATTGCGATTGCCCGGGCCCGAACACTGACCGGTGACCAGAGAGGCAGTGCCCAAGCGGAGAGTTGGACCAATCACCAGGCTGACTAAGTCGAGTTTGGCAACGGAACTACCGCAGAAGGGTCCAACCTGCCATTGTCGCGGCGACCTCATTGGCGTTGCTCGCTTGTACCATTACCGGCGGCGCCGTGCCCCCCTGGTTTGCGTGGGCCGACGTCGCAATCGAGGCAGCCAGAAGCGCTGGGACGCCGGGCCGAAGCCACCAACCCCTCCCGCATACTCGTCATTGGAGCGCGGGAGCAGAGTTTTAGGCGGAACCGATTCAGGTACCCGGATCTACACAACCAAGCACACCGCTTCTGAGAATTCTCTCGAGACTCTGCCACGGCGGCGGCGGCTGAGCTTACGAAGCGGAGGCGTGGTGGGGCGTTTATATTGCCATCAGTCGGACAGGGCGCGACCAAAGCGCTGCCCGCAATCCAAGAGGTTGAAAAACGGCGCAGTCCCCCGTCCCCCTGTCGTGGTACCTACTGCTACCCCAACTTCCTGAATCTTGCCGTGGACCAAAATGCCGCCCAAGCGCCGAGGCATGCGGCGGTTCTTCTGCTGCGGGCCCAAGGACGAGGCCGAGACAGAGCTGCCGGTGAAGCCGGCGAAGCAGGTGGCCGAGAAAGTCGACCGAGCGGGCGTGGTGTCGGGTGGGAAGGCCACGAAGGACACGAGGGCTGCGAAGGACCAGCAGAAGGGCGACGGCGAGGCCGCCGAGGCGAGCGCGGAGGCCAGCGAGAAGGGTGCATCCATTCCGACAAGCGAGCACGAGGCCACAGAGGACCATTTAGCCGCCGAAAAGCCGGATGCTTCCACGACCGAACCGGAAGGGATCAAAGAGGAGGACCAGCAAGCTGAAACGCCTGCTCCCACCGCCGCCGCCGACGACGTTGCGAAGGATCAGGCACACCCGGCACGTGCTGATGCTCCCGCCGGAAAGGAGGATTTAGTCGCCGCGGGTCCTGCCGTCGAGGCCACCGAGAGCGCCGCCGAGAAGGAGCTGGCCGCCGACGGCCTGCCGCCTGCCGAGGCCCCCGCTGCCTCCTCGGTGGAGAAGACGCCCGAGGCTCCCGTCGAGCAGCCTGTTGCTGTTGTTGAAGACCAAGGATCTGCCATCGTTGCCGAGGCCACTGCTGCGCCAGCCGTCCAAGAGGCGCCTGCGCCCCCCGCCGCCGTCGCTGATGAAGACATCGAGTCTCTCGCCGAGGCCTTCTTCACTCCGGCCGAGGAGAAGCCCGAAGAGAATCCGCTGTCTGTCGAGATCCCGGCCGTCCCAGAGAAGTCGGAGTCGCGGACCAAGTCACCAGTCTCTGAGGACGAGTCTGCCGAGCCTGCCGAGCCCGTTGATGATGCTGCCCCGGTGTCAGCGGCCTCCGAACCGGTAGAGGACCACTCGCCTGCAGAGGAGCCCGTCGCTGTCGCAGAGAAGGAAGCCGTTGAAGAGACGCCCGACGTCCCGGCGAGCGTCACGGAGGAGGTTTCGCCGGCCGAAATCCCCGTTGCCCCTCTCGATGAGACCCCGTCGACCCAAGACGACGCTATTACTATCAAGGAGCAAGAGTATGAGCAGGAGCAGGAGCAGGAGCACTCGGCCTTCTCGACATCTGGAATCACCGCCACCGAGGCCGAGGCCGAGGACGAGGACAACACTGCCGCCGAAGAATCCATCGTTGAGTCGCGCGAGGTTGTTCCAGTCGACCCTCCCGTGGTCTTGACCAAGGACGAAGACACGCATTCCGAAACTCACTCCGGCACAGTGACCGACGACGACGCCGACGCCGACGCCGACGACGAAGATGACGCGTCGTCCCACACCACCGACAGCCCAGAGCCGGGAATCACCAGAGAAGATTCCGTCATTCCGAATGGCTCGGACCAGAAGGTTTCCATGCCCCGGCTGTTCCCCCACAACAAGCAGGGCAACATCCTCCAGAGAGTCATTGAGTCCTACATCATCAACGGAAGGTCCGATTGGAAGATCGTCCAGAAGTATCTCCCCAAGCCCACCGCCGATGGAGACGATTCTGCTGCCAAGTTGTCCAGGGTCATCATGACTCGCATGTTGGAGCATTGCCTGAGCGAAGCCGAGCTGACCGAGGGCCGCGTTTTCATGCCCATCCTGCGGGAGCAGCTGGCTCACTTCTACTGGGAAGACCACAAGGACAAGGAGGCCATCAAGCTCTGGAGGAAGGTCCTCGGCGACACGGCCAACGGCGACAGCGACAAGTTCGTCTACCGCGCGAGGACAAATGCGACAAGGTCACTCTGTAACATATACTTTACCAAGGCTCTGGAAGCTCATATTGCCGGCGAGGATCCCTCCAAGCACGCGAAGAAGCTCGAAGAGGCTGCCGGAAGGGGCGCCGACCCCGTTACGACCATGTGGTGGTACGCCCACTGCTCATCATTAATGCTTACGGCCTGGCATCAGATGCACGACGAAGACTCGTACAGGGCATTGGAGAACTTCCGATTCAACGCCAAGTGCGCCATCGGAAAGTTGGAGAGCAAGGCCTCGTCCAATGCCGAGAGCGGTTTCCTGCTCCTGGCCGAGACGCTCATGACCGCCGCCGACAACTGGGAAGGCCACGTGGAAGGCGACGAGAGCGCGACGAGAGCCATGTCGCTGTTCCTCCAGCACCACTACGCAGTCGGCCTCGAGAAGGATGGCGACGGCGACGGCAGCGCTGCCAACAAGGCGCAGACGTACGGCGCGTGCGAGACTTGCGACAACGAGCTCTCCTGGGGCCACTTCCAAACCTGCAGGTACTGCAAGGTCGACCTTTGCGATTCCTGCCACAAGTCTCTGGAAGACACGACTCTGAAGGTGCGCGTCTGCAGCCCGATCCACGACTTCTTCCGCACGAGTGGACCCGCGCCGCACGAGCTACCCAAGGACCACGTTCTCCTCGAAGGCGAACAAGTCCACTACAAGACTTGGATCTCCATGCTGAAGGACGACTGGGCAATCTAATCGACGCGCTTTTCTCCTCAATTCCTTCTCCATCTCGATCTTCGGCCTTCTCCCTTTTGGCTCATCCCCGGCGCGCCAAACGTCCTTTGACGGAGCATTCCACGCTGGAATGCCTCGTCTTGCGCATTCCCCTCCCACCGGATCGGTCTTGTTTTTGGGAACCCGATTCACATTCACAAGACTCCGGCCGGAAGATTGGACTTCTTCTTGCAGACTGGACATCGAATGTCCACCACCATGTAATACCATGTATTTGTACGGAAACACTGTACATCCGTTCAAACCTATGGACGAAATTACCGAATCTACACACATTTGTGCCTCCTCCGTCGGGTGTTATTTTCATGTTGGATCTTGTATGATTTGTATTGTCTGGGGCGGTGAGGCTGATGCTGCAGGCTTTCTGTGTTGTGTTGTCACCGACTTTAATGAGCATGTGAGGATTGGCGGCCCGTTCAGTTTCTCAATCATGGCGCCCGACAAATATTTGTATATATAATAATGAAAGGGCTGGCGCGGGTGGAGGGGTGGCGGCCAGTCTTGTGTCGGGAGGTGCTGATCATATATAAAAACATCTACATGAACCATCATCTGAACCGCAAAGTAAAAAAGCAAAAAAAAAAAGAATCAAAGGGATTTCGAAACGCCACTTTTGTTTCCCTCCCCCATCCGAGCCGATGATACGAATAGACTTTCCGTGAAACGCCGCAATGCTACACGCCCCCCCGAAATGACGCCCAATTCCTCTTCCCCTCTCTCGGCGGCCGAAAAAAAAAAAGAAACAGCGTCCATCCTTGGATTTTCCTTTTGCAAGCCGGGAACGACACAATGCCGGTGGAACATCGCGCTCGTCAGTCAACTGATCCTCGTTCGTTCAATCGTCGCACAGCGACATCCACCCTTCTCCTTTTTTCCTGTTCTCTTTTTCCTTTCGTGCGGCCCACTCCCTGCACTAGGTATGGGACCGCCGTAGTAAAAGACCAGATAAACACACGAATTCGGTAGAACGAAAGAAAAAAAACCACTTTTCACTACTACTACAGTCTTCTCTCAGAAACATCGCGCGACAAGGGCAGCTTCTCGCTCGTTGCTGAAAAATGAGAGAGAGAGAGAGAGAGAGATAGAGCGCGTCGCGCGTCGCGCGTCGCTGCGCATCGTCACTAGTAGTAGTGGTTGTCGACACCGTGAGCAAACTCCCGCCGCCGCCGCTGCTGCTGCTGCTGCAGCTGCTGCCACGACGGCCGAGCCGGGTGAGGAAGCGGCTGGGTCGGGCCCGTGAGCGCCGTCGACTGGCCGACGAGCGAAGGCTGGCGGCGGCGGGACCGGCGCCGATGGTGCCGGTGGGCGAGGGCCCGCATGAGCTGGTGATCGACAGGGATGGGGATGGTGGGGTGGAGGAAGTGCGGGTGGTGGTCGCCGTTGGTGCTGGTGCTGCTGCGGCGGCGTTGGCTGTTGATCATCAGAGATGAGCTGGCGGCGGCGGCGGCGGAGAGTGCTGATGATGATGGTGCTACTGCTGCTGCTGGGGGTGCTGCTGGGGGTGGCTGCTGCGACGGCGGCGGCGGCGGCGTGCGGTTGGATTTCAGCGTGAGCGTCGGGATCGGGAGAGGCGCGGGGAACAGCTGGGCTTCGATTGAGATGCGGCGCGGCTTTTCTAATTCGACTTCCTCGTCGCTGGAGGCGGAGGAGAAGCCGTCGTCTTGCAGGCTGGAGAGGTCGGATTCTTCATCTTCTTCTTCCTGTCCGTCGGCCGTGTAGGGGTTGGCGGCGCCGTGCTGGGTGTGGAAGAATTGCCTCAGCAGGTCCTCGGGCGGCGGGGTGTCGCAGCCGGGGAGGCCCAGGAAGGACCAGGTCTTGTGCGGTCTGGTGGGCAGCGGCGAGGCGCGGGGAGCGCTGGCGACGGCGACCAGCATGTCGCCGCGGCGTTTTGGGAAGGTGCAGAAGGGCATCAGGAGCGACAGGAGCTGGGCGTGGCGAGCAAGGGGAAACGGGGGCGCATTGTTCTTTTAAACGGCAGCGGGCTGTGGGGAAGATGAAGTGTCGTGTGGGGCGACCGGCGCGGTTCTCACATTCTCTCGAGCAGAGGGTGGTTGGCGCAACAGCGGTTCATATTTCCTGGGGACGGTAGGGCTGATTGAGGCAGTGGGCGCGTCAATTTGCGCCTGGCTGACGCAGTTTCACCCCCCGGGCGCACGGCGACGCTGTTGATCCAGGACGGCGCCGACAGGCTCGTTTTGAAACGGCTGCCTCGCTCCGCTGCTCCGGCAATAGCACTGCCAGTCTATTCTCGCACATGGACTGTTTGGCCTCGGTCGCGAACCTGCCTCGCCAGTTCGAAACCCAAGTCGCTGCCTGACGCGGCCGGTCAAGACTTCACGGAATCTCCGTTTCATGCGTTATATATGCCGAGCGTCGTCTAGACTTGCCGTCGTCTTCTGAAACGGCCGCTTGGGGTCAAATCTCGCATAGCTATGTGCCGCCATGCTGTGATGATGATGGTGAAGAGTCCCTCTGCCCTCGAGATTTTTCTGACTCGCTTTCCTCTGTCCGGCCCACTGCGTACCTTGGTTGATGTTGCCAGAAACGGCAAGAGCGGGCCCGGCGGATGGCAGCTCTCTCTAGCGCCTCCTGCCTTTTCAGGGCCGCTAGCAGATCAAAGCACGTGACGTGACACCAACACGGGGTTGCTGTGTCGGAAACAAGGTAGTGGAGATAGAGTCAAAGTGAGTTCTCGATTTCGACCGAACATCTAGTCTGTCCCCGAGGCCTTGGCCCTCTTGGGCATCCATGGTATCAAACAAAGAAAAACTGGTAGTGTACACGGGGTATCTATTGTATGGACCACTCAATCCCCTCCCCCCGGATAGTACGGGTTGTTGCCCGTCAACTGTATCTCCGACGACGTCTTCGACCCGGCGCGGCGGCCGTCCTTGGAGCTTCCCGACTCCGCGTCCTCGTCGGCCGCGCAGCCGGCGCTGGAGTCGACGTAGACCTCGGTCGTCTTCATGATGTTGTGCATGTCGTTCATCTCCCACGCCCCAGTGCGCCCGTCACTCTTGCCGACGTTCGAGATGGTGGTCGCGTGCTCCGAGTGGCCGACCCGTGTCTTGGTCGTGCCGCGAAACGTATCGACTCCGCCGTGCGAGGTGCCGGGGGCGCCGGAGCGGAAGCCTGCGTTGGCGGAACCCGTGTTTTCGTTGTCGTACGAGGAGGAGGAATGGCCCTGGATGGCACGTAGTAGCGTGTTGAGCACGCTGAACTCAAGCCCCAGCTTGACGCTGTACACAAACGCCTTGAGCGTCGTCTGCAGCTTGTACTGGTTGGCCAGCTCGATGCCGATGAGCGCCACGTCGAGCAGGATGACGATGATGTTGACGCAGATGAGGTTGCGCCGCACCGCCGTGATGCGTTTGCCCTGCGCCGCCGTCGTCGGCCGCAGGATCTTCCACGTCTCGTAGATGTACAGCCCCGAGATGATGCACTCCTGCACCGCGAACGCAGTCAGCTCCGCCTTCTCGTACGCCGAGTAGATGTTGGCCATTCGCGTCGAGCCCTCGGCCGAGAATGCCAGCCCCGTCGTCGCCCCGTGGAAGACGCAGCCGTTGACGATGATCATCCAAAGCACCCAGCGTAGCTTCCGATGGTCGTGCACCACCAGGTTGAGCCGCGAGTACAGCGCCAGCGACTGCCCTGTGACCATAGGGACCCACCCCACAATGACAAAGGCCAGCCCGATGTAGTTCATGTTCGGGACGTCTGTCACGAAGAACTTGAGCGTGAAGCCAAGACAGTATATGGGGATTCCACCGGCTGCCACCAGGACGCTCCAGAAATAGAGCCCGCTGTACCGTTTGAACGTGATCAGAACCAGGACGGCGAGTTCTGCCGCGTTGAACAAAGCAATGGCCAGGAACGCGATCATGACCAGTGACATGGCAAAGGTTGTCTGGGCGGCATCGCCCGTCTTGCTTTGGGTGCCGGACACCGCATCGGAGGCCGGGCCTGTTGACATGGCGAAATGAGGGAAGTAAAGGCAAGGGACCGGAAGAGAGTGTGAGAGAGAAACGGGACAAAACCTTTGTACATAGCTCGCATAAACGAGGCTGCATGTATATATGCCGACTGGCCGCCTTGGCGGGTTTGGCCGTACAGAGAGCCGCAAGGGGAGGCGGCGATTAACTGCGTATGGGCAATGCTGAGCTGGCGGATGACTGTCTGTATCCCTGCAAGACCGAGCCACGCTGCGATCTGCAGGGCCCATGTGCGAGTCCAATCAATAGGAGCAGGATCCGGATAGTTTGGGTACCGACTTGTGCGGAAAAATTGGCGAAGGAGAGCAGTGCGAGCCCGGATGTGGCCAAGCCGTGGAGGCGTGCCCGTCTCCGCGGGCCTATGACGAAGGCCATTTGCGGGGTTGCTTGACAACAGCGCCAGCCAAGTCGAGCTCCCCGGCACATCAATCTGGGGGATGTGCCTTGATGCGCAACTCCTGCTCCACCGCGCCGATCCCCTGGACAGTCGCATGTGAGCAACGCGCAGTCTTCAAGAGCACGCTTTCCCGGCAGCATGCCTGAGAACCCAGTGCCCCAACGCACCCGGACATGGCTATGCTCCCATTCCATTCTCCATCAGTTGAGCCGCTGGTGGCAACCGCGCAACGCGTACCTTTGGTGAGGGCGAAGGATCCGGGGGTCAGATCGTCGGGCCGAATCTAGGTACACCTTGTCGTCAGCGTCTAAACTTACCTGTCGGAAATGTTTTCCTGCACGAATCAGGTCATTTAACTTTGCCGCCGACAACGTCTTGCTTCCACGATCGAGCAGGCCCTGTCCCGTCATAGTCAAGTCTCTGCGAATCCACAGGGACCGGCGTGTCGCCCAGAGGACCAAATCACGAACCGTTGTGGACCTAAGCGAATGATCCGCGGATCTATTGATATGACCGCATTCGACAGCTCCTTCAGCTCCACAAGTCACTGCTCATCCTGGGCGCTGCGTCGAGATCAGAGGCAAAAGGAGCGAGTGCCAGAGGTGAAGCTTTCGGCCCCCACCATATTCCTCCTATTGTGGGCCGCCGCCGACCGATCGCTCGCGAGATGAACGTTTTGCTTCGGCCCCAGTCACTCTTAGTCTTCTGCAACGTAGCAAGTGGTTCCGAGTGTGTTGGTTTCAAATCCAGAAAGTAGCTGTGGTCCCGCCATGATCGCACGTAGGCAGCGAGAGGGGTCTTACTTCGATCCTTAAGCAGCACCAAACCACCTTCACTGATTGTACAGGAGACTTCTGACTCCTCCTTGTTTTTCAGCCCCTCCCGTCGCACGTTGTCGATCCATGCAGACTGCAATCCTGGGCTGCACGCCATTACAGTTCCCGCCAACGGCCCGCTCGTCGTCCCGCAAACGGGCTATTCGAGGCATCGCTGAGTGGCACCTGTTGCGCAGGAGGACCTATCGGTCGAAGGGAGTTCGACTGGAATCCGGTAATGGCGTCCAAGCCGCTCCTGCCAAGGAGGCACGAGCTGCGGCGATCCGGGAACGCGAAACGGTGCGTACAGTCCTCTTCGCTGAACGAGCGAGGTGAACAGAGGCAAGCCGAACACATGTTCTTTCCCCCGTCGAAGGAGCGCAATCGCGACCAGCCAACAGTCTTTGTTGCCACCAATACCATCGTCTCGCATCGTCTCGCATCGTTCCAGCTTCTCCGGCCGGGGAATTCCCACTACACGTTGGTCCTCAGACCATCGACTCTAGCTTCGGATCTTGGAGACTGGCATTAGCTTTTCTCCGCCCGATACCTGAGCATTCGGGCGAAAATAACGGAAGTGGTGGAACTGCCATCACCTGGATAACGGGAGGACTGTTTACCGGCAAGTCTTCCGTAGTCATGGGGTACTTTGACCAAGGCTCCCCATATGCGTTACGCGGAGGTGTGAAAAGGGGCAAGAAGCGCATACACTCTTAACAAGTTTCGACTTTCGGACTCTGGACCACGCGTCCGCCGCGAGGGCAAATAAGGGGAGTAAACACCCACACAGTCAAAAAGAGGTGTTCTCCTCGCGACTGTAGCAACCCGAACCCCTATAGTCGGATCCTTCTTGCACTATCCAAACGATCCTAGGCAGCCGCTCGGTCGCTTTTTTTCGGCGACTGCAAAGCTTGCAGAACCCACTTGTGTACCAGCCGTTCTTTTGTTGGCTCGCCCTGATCTTGCCGTACGAACTCACCAGCCGGATTCTTTTCGATATACTCCTCGCGTTACCCCTACCGCCGTCACTCAGCCCAGGGTTCCTGGACCCCTCTCGTGCAGCAGATCCGCATACCGCTCCAAGCTCTGCCCGATGACCTCGACAACTGGCCACGTGGTGTTGCAGCGTTTGAACATGTGCGCGAACACCCTGACGACGGCGATGCTCAGCCGATACAGATCCATGCTGATTTGCGTCGAGTAGCGATCGTCCGGCGTCAGCTCGTCGCCTGTGTAGATGATCTCGTCCGCTTCGTCGAGTGACGTCTTGGCCTCTTGCACGATGCTATCGAGCCAGCGGATGACTTGGTGTTCGAGTTCTGTTGTTTGTTCTCAACGTCAGCGAGTGGGGCGAGTGCAGAGGAAAGAGGTGGATGGGGCAGGTTGCAGGGAGAAACATTCGCACCTGTGAGAGGCTCTGTGGAGCAGGTGCTGGAGAGCGTACAGAGCCACTTGCTCAGGAAAACGGCGCACTCAAAGCTACAAAGGGAGTGCTGGACGCCCCAGAAGAAGGCCTGGCACTTGGTCAGATAGTCAACACCCAGCTGGACGGGGATGTTGATCGCGTGGGCCGAGTGCAGCAGGGCTTGCAGCAAGCGCGGAGACCGCTGTGGCGGGGGCGCCTCGAAGGCTGCCGTAGCCACAACGTCCGGATCCCCGCTCTGTAGTCGCCGGCGGCGGCCCAGTTCGAAATGGAGCCTCACATGGGCGAGGCCCAGGAGGGCGGTTGAGGCAAACGACATTGATCCTTTCGAGTTCTTCAGGTCCAGGACGGATTCGGGGGCTTTCCGCCATCCGTGTCTCCAGCGATCGAGCGCTTCCTCGAAATCACTCACATCCTGGTCACGGAATGGCTTCTCCTCCGGGTCTACAGAGAGTTGGTGAGTGATGTACATACGCTGCAACAACGCTTGCACCAATATGAAATTTCCCATTGGAGACGTCACCAGAGCTGGCTCTGTCGTAGACTGCTTGGTGCTTCTCAGCAATGCCGCCAGAGCCTCCTTGAACGGGATTATCTTCGGCGCCTTCTCCCTTGCATTGAGCCACTCCGAAGGTCCACGAGCAGACCACTCTTCGCACGAAGTCGGTAAACGCAGGTCGATCTCATTGCTGAGGATCGCAGGGGGGAGATTGTATGCTAAGGTCTGGAGGTTAAGGAGGCCAAATGCACAGAGCTTCGTGCGTCGGTCGACTTCGATCCTTGACCATCCGAGCCAGTCGCCTCCGTCGTCCTGTGCCGACTCAGACAGCCCGTCTTCTCTGATGTATCTCGCAACCAGCCCCTGATACTCAAAAGACTCACGGACGAGCGCTTGATCTCTTTGCCATGTGGAGAAGGTTGCCAGGAGCAGAAGTGTCCGGACGATGTCCATGCGTCCAGACTGTGTTTGATGACTCGCTTGCCGATGGTTAGCTCCATTTTGGCTGCCGGGCGGTTCCGGGCATGGGTCCCTTCTGCGAATGCGCTCAAGCACGATGGACCTGGCAGCGTTGTAGAGCATCAAGGAGTTCCGCTTTTCGTATCTATATTGCGCACCAATGGCAAGGACGGCAAGGACCATATCGGGAGCCCTGGAGTGGGCTGCGACGTTGAAGGTGGGCACGTGGATGAATGAGTGGTGATTACTGAAGCCGTCGACGTAGCCAGCGATGCACCGGGCTAGCGAGAGTCTGGATGGTAGCGTGAAATTCCCTAGTACGTCGCCAAAGGGGGCTAGTGAAAGCTGAAACTGTCGCCTGTGCTCCTCGGTCACTTGCCACGGATGCAGCAACGGCTTCAGTTCATGGAAGTCATCTGCGCGGGGCGAGAGTCAGTCAAGAAGCAACGTGCGCCGGGAATGGGGTTGATCACCTTCGCCTATAGAAGCGTCGGGGATTCGACGTTGCTTGTCTCGCACCTTGTCCGCTGCTGGATGATCGCCAGGACCGATAGGCCCAGCCACTGCCGCTGACTCGTTGCCGTGCTGAGTACTCCAGAGGGGCTCGGAGATGATACCCAAGTCAAAATCGAGCCCCACGGTGTTCATGAACATGGAAAAGTCAAGCATGGTGCCGTCATATCCATGGAGCTGGGCGACGGGAAGGGGCGCCTGCAGAGCCAAAGCGGGTGGATTCAAATCAGAGGTGAATTGCGACGTTGCGACGCTCCATGGCCCGAGGGCAGCATGTGCGGATACGACTTCAGAGCCGACCGCTGCGAAGTCTGCCGTTGTTGTCGCCGACGCAGAGCGGTGGGGTCCGGACGTGGTTGGATGTGAGGCAGTCTCGGACGAGGAGCGACGCGGTCTGAGACGTGCATCCGCCGGGGACGAGGCGCCGTGGTAGATGCGCTCGTGGCGAGTGAGCAGATCACGTCGGCTGAACGAGCGTCCACAGTGGCAGGCATAGGGTTTCTCTTTGGTGTCTGCATCCAACCTCGGCTCAGACGCCGGGTCGCGGACGGGGGGAGGATGAGGGACGCACGGGTTCGAAGGTGACGTTGCAGGTGTTCGCTGCGAGCGAAAACGCGATTGCACACGGTGCAAGTTGGGCTCCGCCGACTGCCTCTCCCCGAGACGCGCTGCTCGCCGGGCATGATGCGCGTAGTTGTCGCGCCTGGAGACGTGGTCGTAGACGCGACTGGGATGACAGCGACGGCGCTGACAAAGCGAAGGAGCTAGGTAAGCGAGCCCGCCCATGGGACGCTCTACCCGGGGAAACCGCACGACTGGTACGAGATCGACCACTGCTGCGCATAAAAAAAACCCCCCCTCAAAGAACAGCATGGCCTTGAGAAGAGAACAACAGCAGTCCTCCTTAGTGCAGGGCTCACGCTAGTCTTCTCTGTCTCGTTTCAAAATTAACCAAATCATCTTAATGCCCGGCTCGCGTCGAAGGCAGCACGAATTTCCAGTATTATCTGGAAATATACCAATATAACACTTTGCGCCGTGACGACTTCTGTCCAAACACATCGCACACCAATCACTACGCCTCGGAAGCTACAGGTCCCGAGATAGCCGGCGGCGATAAGTTCCAGGCAGAAGACGCTACTCCGGCACCAGCATGTGCTTTGGATTTGCCCAATTCTATATACGCACTGAACCGTCCATAACCCTCGAACCTCTTTCGGTAAAAACCCCAGAGTCTACCGAGATAAGGTTCAAATGATTCATGTAGCTACCAGAGAAACATGGCACGCATGGCATACGGGACCCTGCGCAACGGTCCAACGGGCGGGAGCCGGTCGCTTCCGCTGCGAAAGTCTAGCCATGAGCTGCGATATTACAGGCTGGGCGGTGCAAGAAGTGTCAGAAAAATCCTCTCCGCATGGAGCAGAGTCATGCAAGACTGCGCCGCCAGGGCCTCGAACTGATCGGCATGAATACCAAGCTTCGAAAGCCGGTGGTATATCCGGGAGCGGCCGGAGAAAGCAGCGGCAGGGAACCACTTGGGCAGGACTGCACACGCCTGGCTCGAGATAAGACAGGTAGATCTGCAAAGTACCTATCAAGCCCACGCTGCGGCTGTGGACGCGTATGCTTGCTTTTGCAGATAAGCTTCATGGAGAGGGTCTTCCATGCAAGCGTAGGCGATTTTTGACTCGTGTCAGAAAGAAAGATGCCTCAGAATGATCGGATCCGGCAGGAGATGACTTCATCGAGACACTCCCCATTCCCATTCGAGCTCTGGCTCAGAGTTTCGTTATAGCGACGTAGGAAGCTTGAGTGCCACAGCTCCGATGTTGGCCGTGCTGCGAGATGTGGTCGGAAGGTGCAGGCATGCTTGAGCCGGACGAGCGTGCAATTCACACATGACAATCATCGCGCCCTCGTTGCGGCCAAGCAAGCTCTGGTCAAAGTCTCGATGTTTCCGTGGGGCTTGGGCACGAGGAAGATTAGCAGTTGCCGCTACCAACCGGCCAGATTGGAGAGTAGTAGTTGCGCGCTGAAACTCTACTACGCCTACTGCACTTTTTAAAATTCGCGGTGAGTTGACGTTTGCTCAGACCACCGGTTGGCCAGTAGATCAGATATTGCTCAGGCAGGTGATCAGCGTTGCATGGGGGTTTGACCACCAAACCCGCGCGGGATTTACTGTGTAGGATCGGACTTCGGGCCTACACGGCGGGCCGCCCAATCTTGCCTTTGCACTGGGGCATTTGGGTGGAAGCGAAGAAAGATCGACGGTCGTGTTGGGCAGTCATCACGACGTCGCGCAGGCGGATCCCTTCGGGTGACCAGCTCCGACAGACAGACACGCTGAATCCGAAGCCAGATGGACTGTTGAGCGCCCAAACTTTGACTGTGCTTTGAGATTGCCGAAGCAAGAGGCGGCAAGCGTTGGTAGCGGGCGTGGCGCGGGATGATACAATAGTGCAAGCAGTACAAAGGCCGTCGACAAGCGTGGCCATTGGAAACAGCGGTTTCGAAGCCGGCGGCGCCACGGAATGACGAGCATGAGCCAAACCCACGTCTAGACGCGTGGCTGGCAGGAGGCGTGCTGGTGCAGCGCACGGGATGTCAGACGGGGAGCGCCTCGGCAGCTGTCAATCCAGGGGAGCGGGACAGGGTCCCAAGGAAGCAAGAAGATCTGCTGGTGATGGCGTGGCGCTTGGCGGCGCCCAGGCGCTGATCGTGCTCACCGTCGCCAAGGCACGCGGACTTAGACGTCGCGTCGAAGCGACATTGCTGCCGGGGATCGTCAGTCTGTGGTGAATGATGAGAGCGACCGCGCAGCGCTGACAGGCTGTGCTGGCGGAGGGATGGGGGAGGCCGGCTGCCCTGACTCGGGCAGACCCACGTAAGCAAATTTGCGTCACTCCCAGGCAGCTGGCCGCGTGCAGCCCGCCGCGACGGGTCGCTGGGCACTGCATAGAGTGCAGACAGACCCAGCACGACGTCGCCTCTGCGCTGCACCCCTCGGCAGGATTTCCCCCGCAGCGCGTCGTGGCAGAGAGGGCAGCACGGCTGGGGGCGGCGCCGTTGCAGCGCCTCGGGTTCCTTGCATGATGCCTATGTACACCGCGCCAACCTTCTTTCTCTCGACGCTCTCGCGCCCTGCCGGCGGGAGCGCAGGGTGCTCCGCCCGGCACACGTCGTCGGCAAGAGGCAATCATCACTGGCGGGACGACGGCGAGTGGGCGCACTGGGCCCAACCCAGCAACGATCGGCTCGCCGTGCCCGATGTTCCGGCGGCGAGCTCCCACCATGGAGCTGTTGCGGGGACGTGAGGCCGCGGTGAGGGTGCTCGTGCCTCCTGTCAGATCTGGCCCAGCGCGGCACCGCAACCCTCTGCCGCCGCCAACTACTAGGCCGCACAAAGACTCGTTCCATGATCGCCGCCGCCGCGCCGGCTGCTGGCGAGGCCGAGTGCCGCGCGCGGACGTCGAGCGCGCGGCGTGCAGCGAGCAGCGCCATTGGGCAGCCAGCAGCAAGCAGGCGGCGGGCAGGCGGCTGGCAGGCGGCGGGCAGGCGGCGGGCAGGCGGCGGGCAGGCGCGGCCGAGGACCTGGAGAGCATCAAAACCGGCAGCCACAGACAGCACTGTTTCGCAAAATACCCAGGCGATCCGGCATACGGGCACTGGGTCAGCCAGTGCCAGGCTGGACTGCCTGTTTGGGGCGCAATGCCTGCTCGTCTCACAAATCTCCGCGCACGATCTCCTGCAGTGCCCCTGCGTCTTCTGACCTTGCCCGCGCCCTCTGCCTGGATGCCCCCCCAGAGCGCGGAAGCGGTTAGCTCTGCCCGGACGCCGGAGCCGTTGCCGTGCTGGTCGACTGCGTGCACATCCAGCCATTGCGCCGCCGGCGAACTCGGCTCAAGAGGGCCCATACACGCCGCCTGCCACATGCCACAGCCGAATGCCGCGCTCCACTCTGACCGTTCGTCCTGCGACACCTATTCCCGCAGAGGTCCTGCCTCCTGAAGCCTCCCTCTCACGCTAAGCCCGCTGGACGTCGGCTGCGCTAATCACCAAACATGGCCGGCCAGTCCCGGACCAGTCTGCTATTACATGGCATGCACACCCGCTTCTTCTCAGCCCTCACCCTGCATCAGTCCCCGGCCTTGGCGTGGTCGAGGTTAAGTGCTCCCTTGTCCCCTCCTCCGGATCTTCTGCACCCCCCCTCGCTCCGCTCGCTCCGCCCACCATGATGGAAGACAGAAGCCAGCAGGTGCTGGCCATCGGAACCACCTTTTTCATTCTCGCCTGGATTGTCGTCATGCTCCGGGTCTATGTCCGCGCCTACATGATCAAGTCGTGGGGCCCCGATGACTGGGTCATGATGCTCGCGCTGGCCTGCTTCACCGTCTACCTTGTCTCCCAGCTCGGAGGCGTCTACTACGGCTCGGGACGGTTAGATAAAAATCTAGATCCAGCGGATATGAGAAGAGCTCTACGAGTAAGCTCCCACCGCTGCACCTTGAAACGCCACACTCACTGACCAATGTGCAGTTCTGGTACATATGTGAACTGTTCTATGTCATAGCATCCTCGACACTCAAGGTGGCCATTGGTATCTTCCTGCTCCGTATCGCCGTCAACAAGTACCATATCTGGATCATATACTTCGTCAATGGCGCCTCAATCGTTTTCGGAACCGCCTACCTCTGCGTTGTTACCTTCCAGTGCAGTCCAATCCACACATTCTGGACCATCAAACCCAACAACGAGCACTGCCTGCCGCGGGACACGGTTGCAAACATCACTTACGCCGCGAGTGCTCTTGCCGCCATTGCCGATTGGACTTTCGGTACGGACCCATCACGTAGTCTCGATGCCTGCATGCAATGCTGACAGCTGGGGGACAGGCATTCTTCCGGGCTTCATTGTCTGGGATCTTCACATGAACACGAGGACGAAAGGAGTGGTCGTCGTCATTCTTGGCTTCGCAGCCATCGGCAGCACAGCGACGCTTGTCCGCATCCCCTATATCCATGGCCTCAAGGCCACTGAGAACTTCCTCTGTATGTGGCTGATGTACACACGTGCCCAAGGACATTGCACTGACTGTCTCACAGATGAGTCCACAGACGTGGCCATTTGGTCTACTATTGAGCCTGGCATTGGCATGACGGCTGCTTGTGTCGCCACGCTCCGCCCGCTCCTACAAAGGGTTCTCTCCAAGACGGGCCTTTCCACGCCGTCCCGCACGCATCCCAGCCGCTTTACGCCCAACTGGGCGGGCTCGGCAAACGCGCTCGGGTCCAAGAAGCAAACAGGATACATCCGCAGCCCAAGCTACTCTCACGGCATGGACACGCTCCGAGCGGACGGCACTGGCACCGGCACCAAGACCACCATCACTGTCGGCGACAAGGGCTGGCGCACGCAGAGCGACGGGTCTTCGGAAGAGCATATTTTTGCAGAGACCACAAGAAGCGGAGTCATGGGCATGAACATCAGCAAAAGCGTCGAGGTGACGCATGTCACCGAGTCATCGCCGCCCTCTCAGCACGGCAGGCGGCGGTCGGACGACAGCATGGTATAGGGTTTAGGTAATGGAAAAAAGGCGGCGGCGCATTATTCGCAAAAGTGGTGGTGGATATTCTAGGTTTGATCTGCGTGCAAAAGGATGCGCACGCACACAGCGTTTCAGGCGTCTCCGGCGGGCATCAGATACCTCTTGTCTTTCCTTTGTGCTGTTTTTTTGTTGTTTCTTCCCTTCACCCTTCAGCTTGCAAAAATGCGTAACGAGATGTACGTGCGCTCCCTGGCTTGCACTATTGCAAGCCACCACAGCCTATAGCTAATACCCCTGCGCTCCGGCGAGGGCAAATATACCACGAGATGCAGAGCGTCCAAGACTCACAGTTACCGCCAGTAGCGCACGTGCAAAGGGCTTCGGCGGGAGTGCGGTTGCATGTGCACAGTGCAGCGAATCCAGAGTGGGCAGTTGCAGCCCAGACGACGCGGAGCCGCTGCTGTCAAACCGGCAGCCACGCGCGTCGGTGGCCGCACCGTGGCACCAGGACCGGCCGGCGACCGCAGCAACGCCCCAAATTGCCGGCCGCAAGCATGCGTCACTCCATCGCCCATCCTCTGGAGACGGCCCAAGCTCTTCTCCCAGGCCGAAACGTGCTCCAATCTCTTGGCCGCCCCGGTTTACTAATCCTGCCCCTCATCTCGCCCAGCAACCAAGCAAAGCGAGAGCATGCGCGATATCAAGCTGCTACCCCTTCAAGCACCGAGTATATTGTTCCTGCGACGCGGCTCTCTCCATCGTATCGCAGAAGCGACGAAAGAGGGCGCGGAAATCGGACCCGCCGCGCGCCCAGGCCCTTCATGCCCTCACTCAACATCCGACTGCCGCGCGAAGGAAGGCGTTTGCTGTCAAACCCCATCTTCTCGATCCTTAGCGCGCTTCCACAACGGCTAATGGCTTACTCTCAGTCTCCGCCTTGCTCCTCGCGGCGCTGCGCGACCACATCAAGGCGAACGGACGTCCATTTTGAGCGCCGCTGCGAGTCAGCGTCGTGCGGTGTGCTCCTGCACCTGCAACACGCACACGGTACGCCTGATCTTCCCACCGGCCTTCAATCGTGCAGCAAGAGGGCAGCCGCCAAGGGAAATCATTTCTTGTTCTTCGCCGCTGCTCCACGATGTCTTGCCTCGTCTACACCCCCATTTTCGCCCAAGTCTGAGACGTCAACACCTCGCACGCAGTGAGGGGTAAAGGAACTGCAATCCACATCGTTCCCTGTCGCCTCACCGCTGAGCGCGCTGCTCTTCATCTACCACCCACGTCTCCCGCATGATGTGTGGCTTGCCAATGCGCTCTTTGCGGCGCAACTTGCACTCTGGCCCTCGACGATAGCGCTCCTTCATATGCGCCATCGTCCGCGCTGCCCCTTGCTCTCTTCCTCAACGGGCGCGGGATCAGCATAACGCCTTACCTTGAACGCCTCTGACGCTACGGAAATCAGGGTGAGCCCGGTGGATCGTCCGAACTTCGGCTTCGAAAGAAAGAAAAAAAAAGGGTCTTGGGGGCTGGGTTGCGAGTCATGATAGCGGGACGAATGGGGGCAGAGGGGCGGAGGGGTGGCACTCGAGACGCAGGGGAAGAGAGCGGGCGAGCGAGATGAACGGCTGAATGGGGGCAGCCGAGCCAGGAAACATACCACTGCGCTCGGGACGAACGACGGCGCCAGTAGGCCCTTTGCTTGTTCGCCCGCTGCGTGGCCGATGGGGAACAACCACGAGTACAATGGCGTATGGCGGATGACGAGGCCCCGCCGGTTCGCCCGGCGAGGTCAGAGGATGCCACCGTCTCCCTGGCAAAACGGAAGGATGAATATCCTTGTCTGCCTCGTGGCAGCCCACTCCTTCGCTTGCTCTGTCACTTTTCGTCGGGGTACCCCTTCCACTCCTCGTTGCCCGTCTCAGTTTGGGAGACCGGGGGGGAAAGGGAGCTTTTTTGGGTTTGATGAGATTTCGACCTCGCATATCGGCAGGATTCAGGGCGCCGGGGCCGTAGAGCGGCCCTCGCCAAGGCTCGGCGGCACGATCATAACTGCGCAAGTCGCCACGAGGGAAGAGGGGGGAAAAGTAGCAAATTGATGAAGGCAATCCTGGTTGTCGGGCTGGCGGAGAGGAGGGACGGCACGAGGAGCACTCTCGGCGATCGGCCGCACGCGAATACGGAGGGTCAGAGTGAGAGAGGGCTTTGACGAGAGCCCAAAGGGCTGGAGACTTTGCGATCTCCTCATCCTGTGAAACAGTGGGGACGAAGAGTCTTGGAAGTTTCCACACCAAGGCTCTAATTTTTCATGGCCCCCCTCTTCTGCTCAGCACCGGCGGCAGCCGGCGCATCTCGTCTTTCGACAGGACAGCAATCGACCGTTTTCTGCCTTCTTGGAGCCGGGCACACGCCGTCCGTTCAGCCGGCCGTCCGCCCGCCGCCAGCAGCTGTCAACTTCTGGACGGTGCGAGTCGCGACATTGTCGCACCACCGCAACACGGCTGTGGCGTTGGCTGCGACGTTACCTTGGAGCGAGGCTAACCGTTATGAACAAAGAAATGTCTCCTGACAACACAACATACGGTTGAGAAGTCGTATGTGCTCCCAACGGCGCTCACCGTGCATCACCAGATGTGTTTACTTGCCCGCTGCACCCGAGATGCGACTCCTAAATAAAGGAACAAGTGCCTGGATGTCGGCATCGTGGGCTGGCAAAACATGTGAATTCACGGATGACTTCCTTCTACTGCGCCGCAACTGGGCTTCCTTAGGCGGAGACCCACTTCCCGCTTCCCATTTTCCCGCAGGCCGCTTGGAAGAAAGCAGTTCCAAATGACCGTGCGATCTGCATCAGAATGTTCCGCTGCAGGTCATTGATCCGGTATACGGTGTGCACGTGGGATCTGCCTAATGCTTAAGTTTATGCCGTATCACGATAATCCGAACGAGGACGAGGCTAAGCATGTTAGACGCAAGCCGCGAGAAAGGACATTATTGGTGATGCATCAAATGTATGGTGCCTCATCATATCGATGACATCGCAAAACAAGATCACTGGTATCAAGCTCTAGCGTCAAAGCTTTCGGCTGATACCTATCTTCACAAGCCCTGTACAAGCTCACCATATTACCCAATACATAACCCTACAGGGAAAGAAGGGGGCCCCCACGGAACTCGGGATCTTCCAATCATCGCCATCCTTCATCAGCTCGACAATCGCTCAGGGATTCTCCTTGCGAATTTTCTTGTCTCTCGCCTGTCAGCCCTAGGCATCTCTGCCACAACCACGTCGCCGGCAAATTTCTCTAGCTCGCTCTCTTGCCCAAGCGGGTAATAACGACGCTAGTTTACTCCCACGCCTATCCCTATAATAGGTGACGTGTTTTTCTGGAGACACCAAGCCGGTGGCGCCCCGTCTCTACCTGCTGGAAAAGGTGTACCCACACTTTCCGCATCCTCCTTCTCTTTGCGGAAGGTGGAAAAGGGACGAAGGAACGAAAAGGGGCAGGTGGCAGCGTAGTGCCCTCGCTTCGGCCCGCTTCCCGTGCTGTGTGCGTGTCGGTCGTCTTCTGCCGGGTTCGAATGGGGGCGAGGGACTCAGGCGATGGTCCATTGGCTGTGGTGTGGTCAAGACCCGGACGGATTCTGCTACTCTTCACATGGTCGTCTGGTCCATTGGTATTGGGAGCTTTGCTGCTGTATCGCCTTCTTCTCGTCATTTTTGGTACCCGCTCGTGTGATTGACTTCTCTCTCTTTCTTGCGGTTCTACTCTTTCACTGCACGCCTTCTCTTGACGAGATCAATAGGAACGAAAGGCTCAGAAGACGGAGAAGGCTGCTACCCGGGAACAAGAAGAAGCACGCAGCTCAATCGTTATCCACGTCGGAAGACGGCAGTCTATCTTTGCTCACCTCGGAAATGGATTACTCGAGGAGGATCGTTTGGGATGTTGGATTGCAACTCTCCCAGGGCGCTAACAAGACTTCTCCGAGGCGAATGCGATACACGGCCAGTCCTGGACAACCTATGACCAGTACATACCGAAGCTGGTGGTGGGTGCAGAGGATCATGTTCGGTATCTGCAGGCATCACAAACGGACGGGCTTCGACAAGGTGGGTTTCCCGATGTGTGTTTTGGCAGCTATGCCTCCATTTTCAGCCCTGAGGGCTAGTCAGTAACTAGAGAAGGGCTGGAACCGTCCAGTGACGTATGCTTCTGAAAGGCCATATCGCCTTCCATTCCCCCATCTCTTCTCTATCGTCGTGTACTTCCATTTGCCTCATTCTCTCTCCCTCTGTCTTTCAGAGGATTCAGTGCTGCTTCACTCTCCCTAGGTGCATTGGCGTTGCAAGATCCTGTATCATCACTTGTTGCCAAAACCCGCCGCCTCGGACCCCCGAGGGTAGATGCGTATCCAGCTTGCCACAGATCTGAGTCGATTCTAGGACCTGAGATAACCAGGCTCTGATGCCCTGCATGACCAGCTTGACACGACAACGTCGTTGTCGAGTCGCCTGCACCTCTCTCATGGTCTGCCAAACGTTAATACTGCCAAAACGCAGCATCGGGCTCCTTTTCCGGAAAATGCTAATGGTGTCCTTCGAGACCCTGGCAGAGCTTCCGAATGATAGCTACGAAAACGCTGTAGACGACGGATTCCCGGTTCAACCGTCTGTAGTTGTTTGTTTCTCGAGATATGACGCACATAGCTTGGAGGGGGGCTGATGAGGCTCGTGATGGGCGGGGCCTTGCTGATGCATGAGACGGTCCTCCACACAAGTTTGGTCGGAACTTTCCTTTTTGTTTTCTAGAAATACAAACATGTTTAGTTACCATTCCGAAACCAAGAAAGCACGTGTCGAAAGCATTTGGTCTTGGAATGTCCGTCCGCGGCCAATCCACGGATAACAACATCCAACCCGCTGGTCTGCGTCTGGTGGCAACGACGTCACCTCCACCCCCCCGCAAAGAACTTAGCAGTGCGGCCTGAGAAGAGCCTTGGGGGTTGCGGCTGACGTAGTTGCAAGACCCCGCCACTAGCGAAGGAAGTCGGATGCGAAATGATCAAAAGCGGCGTGTCTCGACATCTGTCGTAAGCCTGTATACAAGGACGATGGATCTGAGCAGTCGCTGAAGACTTACCAGATGGATTCAAGCAGCAGCTTGCGAGGCAGAGCAATCGAGGACTGGCCGTGTAGGAGAGTACGTTCAAAATGCACTCACTCTTCTCAAGCGCTCGGCCTTGATTGATCGTGGCCAATTAGAGATGTGCCCAGATCAGCCACCATCGCCCGCGGCCCACATGAAGAGCAACTTCACCAAGAGACATGGAGCAACACAAAGCTCGGGTCTTGAAGCTCATCGCCATCAGGCGTAGCAATCAAAAAATATGATATCTGCATGTCAACAGACATAAAACAATCCACCAACGCCCGGCTAACCCCTCCAGTACTGTATCTCAGCACGCTCGCATCCCCCAAACGCCAATATACCCCTCCAAAAAAAAAAAAGAAAAACAGATTACAATCACACCATTCACAGGTCGTATACGAACAGGGAGTGAAGCAGCTGGAGCCGCCAGTAAAAGAATAGTGGGTAAAACGAAAAGAATAAGCAGCGCCTCTGCCCTCAGATCTCGCCTGCCTTCACTGAAGCCGCGCAGCCCAGACTGCACGCCCTCCTCAAGAATGGCAGGAAAGCATCGTCTCCAGAGCAGAACAAGGAGTCGGGCACATAGTGCCAGTACTCGATCCATTCGGCTCGCGGAATGATGTATTTCTTGTTGCAGACGGAGCACTGCTGGCCACCGTTCTGCTGGGCTTTGATCGCGTCATCGAGTGCGCGGAGGACGGGGTCGGGGGTATCGTGAGGGAGAAGGTCGCGCAGGAGGTCGGCGTTAGGAACGGCGCGGGAAGCGGAGCGAAGCGATAGCTCCAAGAGAGAGGGGACACGGGAAGACGATGCCGGAATGTCGTCGGCGGGCGTGTGCCCGACAAAGGGGACGGGGAAAGAAGTGACGTGGTAGGAGGTGGACGATGGCTTTTGAGGCGAGCCGGACTGGAGACGACCGTCGAATTCCATTCGGGCCACCGAAGTCGAGGCGAGAAAGACAGGCTCCTGCTTCCACGCTGGAGGCTTGAATGGCACTTGCGACAACGAGTCTCCATCCGCGGTCTGCGATGAGGCTGCCTCCTCTCGCATCTTCTGGAGTAGAGACTCGTGAAGTCTCAGTGACCAGGCCAACTGCTCCTTCTCATCGCCATTCTCGCACTCATCATCTTCAAACAATGCCTTCATCTCGTCCACTGCCTGCTGCATCTTGACCGGATCGGCAGGGATATCGAATCCCCGGTAAGCGCGAAGCCCCTTCACAAACGGATTGGGTGAGATGCTCAGCCGGGTCAAATTGCCGTTCGGCGGGACGAGCCGCAAGAGCTCCCACGGCAACCAGCGCAGCCTGTTGCCGGCCAGATTGAGCTCCTTTAGGTTTTTGAGATTAGAAATAGCTGGGGACAAGTCGGTCAGCTTGTTGATACGCAGGCTGAGAACCCCGAGGTTCTCCAGCTCCCAGATGGCAGCCGGCAAGCTACGCAGCTGGTTGCTCGACAGATAGAGCTGCAGTGACGGCGTGAACGGCTCGTAAGCCTCTTCGGACGGAACCTCGGGGCCGATCTTCGGGTGCCTGATGAGATGGGCCAGTGGCTCAAGAAGGTCATCCGACATGGAGCGCAATTGCAGAGCACTGTCGCAGTTAGCAGCCGGTAGACCCACGTCACGGCCGCCGTAACTCACGATAGATCGACCCTCTCGTTCCCCTCTTCAACGCACTCGTGCACCTTTGCATGAGCGACGGCATGCTCAGTCGACCGCGGCTCCGGCACGTGCACTCGGCGCGCGACAGGGAGCGGATTCTCGTCAGGCTCGCTGGGCGCGCAGGGGCGCGGGACCTGGCCAAAGAGGGATGGGCCAGTGCTGGCGGCGGCCAGCCGCTCAATCAGCGAGTCATCCGACGAGTCGCTGGGCAGCCAGACGCCACTGTCTTGGTTCCTGGAAAAGTCGGCCTTGGCTGGCGTCGTCCGTTCGGACTTCGGCTGGTGGCCGTGTGCGAACCATGGGCCGGCGTACTGCCTCTTCTTGCGGGCGGGGCTGTTGTAGTTTTCGACGTCCTCGGGCGCATCGTCGCTGGAGAAGACAAAGGGGTCGCTGGACGGGTGGTGGGACAAGGCATTGGCGTGGTGGTGCTCGTGCAGCGACTGCGAGCGGGCACGCTTCTTGCGCGAGGTTGACGCAGTTGGCAGCAGCGGCGGGGAGCTCGGGGGCTCGAGGCCCGGAAGCGGCGGGGTCGAGTCGCGCGACATGGCGGCAGCGCAGGGCAGCGCAGGGCAATGTTGTGCAGCGACGGCGAGGCGGAAAGGAGGAGAGCAGGCGTCGGGCGGCCGGGGCTGTCGCGTGAGGCGGCGGCGGCAGCAAAAGCAACGGGGGAGGCTGGCGACGCGTCGCGCAGCGATACCGGGAGCACAGGAGGACGCGGTCGCGGAGCGCAGTCACGCACGAAGGGGCGGGCCGAAGCCCTGGTGGCACGCGCGGGCGATCGCAGGCGCAGATCGCGATAGGCGATGGCAGTGGCGGAATGGAGTTGCGGACTCGCGAGGGCGGGGAAGGCGTTGTTGTTGCACGCGTCCGTGGCGTTTCGGGTCCCTGGGCGGGCGGTTGCCCCTAAACCGTAGCGTCATCGCTGCCGACACCCGCGCACCCGCGCCAGGCCCGAGCCGCGCATGGAGCGAGCGCTGTCTCTCATCTGGCTGCGACCTGCAGCGGTCAGGCACGCCGGTGCACGTGGGCGGCGGTGTCGAGTCTCTGGATGTCTCTGGCTGTGGCTGCGGCTGATGAGGTGTGTCGAGAACGCGGTGCACGCGGCCCAATCATGCTTGCCGCCGACTCACCTGCTCTTCTTGGGAGGCGCCTGCTGCTTCCGGCCCAGACCGTTGTGCCCCGGCGCAGCGCCTGCTGATGCAGATCCACCCCGTCCGCTAGCCACGCCGTCCAACCGCCTCTCTATACATGCCCTGATTCAACTCCCGGCCCAGCCCGCCCTGCTGATTGGACCCCCGGCCCATTGCACCGCCCGTGTTTGCCTCCTGCTGGCCTCAGGGACCATGTGTGAGCTGGCCGGGTGCTGCGGGGCCGCCCTGACCTGAAGCCATGAAACCACGAGCCCATTCCTGCTTGCTGTCCCGGCATTTAAAGCCTCGCCGTTGCCCGCCCTGCAGGATGCATAATCGAGTAATTCGCCTCTCCTTCGTCCAAGCAGCCCTCTCTCGCCTAGCTATTAACCATGGGTCAAGGTATGTCGTGCTGTCGTCCCGCCTCTGCTGGCGGCTTCGTCCAACACTGACTCGTCGCCAGGCGGAACCATCGACCTAATCAATGGCACTCCACACCCGTGGACCCTCAGCAGCCAGAGCTCGTATCAAATGAAGGCGTGGTCCTTCCCCTCGACCGTTGCATCTGGTATGCATCCCCAGTCATGTGCCCTCGCTTCTTACTCATGTTGCACAGGTGCCTCCATCCCTGTATATGTCGAATGGGACCAGGACCCTGGAAAGGACCAGAGGGATGACGGCGGTGAAGCCGTGTATGCCATGGCTGGAAGCTCAGCCACTTTCCAGGTCCAAGCTAGAAACACCGACGGTTTCAACCTCGAGGTTTACCTTGAGGCTGTTGAGACCGAGAACAACCCCGTGGGGAGCACCATCAGCCTTGGCTGGAACCACAACAACGCTGTCAACCTGGTCTTGGGCGGCGACGATGGGGCCTTTACCTCGAACAACCCGTCTGTCGACTGGATGCACCAGAACCTGGCAACTCTTGGCGACCGCAAGCTGCGCCAGATCTGTATGCCGGGCTCGCATGATGCCGGCATGAGCGAGTTCAACGCACACACTGGCTTGGTCAGGGACACAAATACTCTGACCCAGAAGTTCAGCATCGCCGACCAACTGGCCGCCGGTTCCCGCTGGTTCGACATCCGTCCTGTCATCAGCTCCGGGAAATTCTATGCCGGTCACTACTCCGACACGAAGATCGTTGGCTGGCAGGGAGCAAACGGGCAATCGTTGAGCGACATGATCGACAACATCAACTCCTTCACCGCCAAGTATGATGAATTGATCATTCTAGACATCTCGCACACGATCGACACGGACAACGATTACGCAGACCTGTCTCAGGATCAATGGAACACTCTCTTTACCCAGCTCCAAACCATCAACCATCGCTTCAACACAACCGGGGTCTCGACTTCAGAGGACTTGTCACAGCGGACGCTCAACCAGTTCATCGGCAGCGACCCATGTGTCCTGATTGTTGCCGAGCTTCCCAGCGGCATCACCCTTGGAAACTACTTTGCCCAGGGAATAGTCGCAAGCTCGCCCAACTTTCCATTCTACAACGAATATTCAAATACGGATGAGTTGGACACCATGGCTTCAGATCAGCTCTCAAAACTCTCCAGCAAACGCACGAAGCCTGATGACGGTTTCTTTTTGCTGTCTTGGACATTAACGGAAGACGTCGTCGATACCATCTGGGGCAGCATTCCCATTCCAGGAGACTTGAACTCGATCCTGGAGCTTGCTGGTAAAGCATATCAGCCGCTTTTCGAGCATTTTGATAATTTCACCTCCCAAAGCTACCCCAACGTCCTGTACATGGATCTCTTTGGAACCTTTGATCAGGATGCATCGGCCCCGTCCACTGAAATCGCGGCCTTGGCACTCGCAGTCAACGGCATTGCGGGTCGCACTTAATGATTTATGGTAATGTCTTTTACGCATATTGTGTTTTAGCGAGAGTCTACTATAATGTCTGGACTTGTCTCTGTTCTCTCCCAGCCTCTTGTATATACCCCAACCTATGCTCGAATACCGTTCGGGCAGTCTTGAACGTTATCAATTTATCGATCATCCGTTGACCCTAGATTCGACGACACTGAAATTTTCCACTAATTGGGAGGAGCACTTGACCTCTGTCATGCCAAGTTCCAGGACGTTGCGTACACGTCGAATTGGTGTTCACCGTGTTGGTACTGCTTTAACAATACTGGCCAGGTCTGCCGCAGCCATCTCTTCATCAGCTTCATGTACGTCAGCTCGGTCACAAATACCGTTGGCGCAGCTTCAGGTGTTCATCTGTCTTGCATTTTTCACTCTTGACCGTTTGCTACGAGAACCCTACCACCGTCCACGCACAGACAGCGCCCATCGACATACGCCTACAAAACACGTCAGCTACAGTCCAAAGTCTGATTTCTGAGACAGAATCACTCACTCCAGCCTGACTGCATAGATACAGCACCGTTCCCGCAATATCCTCCAGCCTCCCCGCCCTCCGCGCAGGGACCTTGTCAAACAAATTGGCAAACATGTTTCCCTCGGCGCCCACGGGATTCATGTTACTGGGCACGACTGAAAAACGCACACACGTCCAAATCAGCACAGTACCGCCCCCCATTCACCCGATCGACCACGCGCGCGGCCTCAAAGCAAACGCGAAAGAAAAGAAAAGAAAAGGAAGAAGACGTACAACCCGGATTGATGGCGTTCACCCGCACATAGAAGCGCGCAAACTTGGCCGCCAGCAACGCCACCAGATGGTCGGTCGCGGCCTTGCTCGTCGCATAGCTCGTCAGGTCGACGTTGGTGCAGTTGTGCATGCTCGCGCACGAGCTCGTCACGACGACGCTGCCGCACCCCAGCTCCCTGCCCTTGACGGCAGTCGTCCCCAGTCCTGTCCCTGATCCTGTCCCCCCTCCCCCGGCCGGCTCGTCGATCGCCACCATCCTCTCGGCCGCCGCGGCCAGCAGATGCACCAGCGCGACGCTGAGGAAGTAGTGCGCCGTCGTGTTGACGGCGAAGCTGTCGGCCCAGTCGCCCGCCCGGTGCGACCACATGCTCGCCTGCAGGTCGGCCAGGTCGGCCGCGGCGACGCCGCCGTCGTTGGTGCACGGCGTGGGCGCGTCGCGCCGGATGCCGGCGTTGGAGATGAGCATGTCGAGGTGCGGGAGGCGCAGGGTGGTGGTGAGGTGGGCGGCGAGGGAGGCGATGGCGGGTTTGGTGGAGAGGTCGGTCGGGAAGCTGTAGGGAGAAGAGAAGAGAGAGGGGTTAGGTCGGGGGTTTTTTTTATTTGTTTATTTATTTTAATGGGTGGTGGTGGTGTTTGACCCTTCTGCTGTTCCGCCGCTGGGGGAGCCGAGGTCGTTGAGCTCGTGGACGGCGGCGTCGATGGGGTCGGTGGGGAGGGCGGTGATGATGACGCGGGCGCCGTTGGTGACGAGACCCTGTGGTGGTGGTGGACGAGGAGAGGTTAGCCAACTAGTCTCTTCCTGTGTGGGCGTGCGGTTGAAGCACATGTGCGGACGCGAATGTGAGGTGTGAGGTTGGGAGTTGCCAAACTCTATCCAGACATGGGATTCGACTGCCTACTTGAGTAGTTGAAATACGTCCAGTCTCTGGTAAGAGGTTTGGAAGGGCTGTTATTTTAATTATTGCGGCTTGGGTCTTTTCGCCGCATCTTTTATTTCTTCTCAGGGTGAAGAGAAGGGCTTCGATCTCAGAGTGTGAAGTGAGAGGGGGGAAAAAAAAAAAAGAAAGGCGTCAAACTGATGCTTGTACGTACCTTCGCAATCATCAGCCCAATCCCACTGCTCCCGCCGGTGACGAGAGCAATGCGACCCTTGACGTCAAACAGATTCCCAATTGCCGCAGCCATTTCCGACTGAGAAGCGAGTTGCAAACGAAGTGGAAGGTTCGAATGGAGGCATCTTGGGCTCGCAAGACATTCACGGCACGTACCCCGCGCCCCGCGTCGCAGCACCCGCGGTCCTTGTCGGACGCGCCGACAGAGAGTGGGCGGGCGGAAGCGGCCACGACTTTCGCATTTTGGTCTCGTCTTTCACTGTACTACTACCTGCCTGCCTGCCTACCTACCTGAGGACCGAGCAAAACCCGACGGGTCGCCAGCAAAGAATCTAAAAAAAAAAAAAGCGAAACGGAACATGCGGCATGAGGCGGGTCGCTCTATGGTTGCGCACGCGCCGCCGCACCTAATTGCTGGTCGGCCGGCCGGTGTTTGATCGACTGAAAGCTTATCGCTTTGTCTCACCTCTAATTCAGGAAGCTATCTGGGCCTTATTTCCGAACTTTTAGTTCGGGGGCAGTTCGTATTTTTTTTTTCTTTTTTTTGAGAGCGTTCGTGCGGCGGCACGGGTACGTCGGCAACGCAGAGCATATTTTGGAGAGGGGGCTGAAAGGTTTGTTTGCATGATGGGGGGCTGACGCGATGGAAATTTCGTTGGTGGTTTGGGTTGATGCGTTTTTATTTGTTTTTCTTGTAGGCTTTGGGTGTGATGCAACAGTTTTCCAGTGGTCTTATCACCGCGTTGTCGCGTGGTTGTGTGGAGGGTGTGGGGTGTTTGGTCATGGCGGTTAGAAAAGGGGCAGTGGATGGCGTGCAGCTTGCATTCGAGAAGACTGCTCGGAAATGATGCTTCATGATTCGGTTTCACATCTGAAGTGCTTTGTGACAGTGGTTGTGTATGCGCTGCAAGCAGCAATGCGCTCTTGTTTGATTAAAAACATGACAAAATCAGATATTTACAGAGAATGATGGCCAAGAAAACTCCAAGTCGCTTTTAGTGGGATTTCGCCCACTGCAGGCCGATCCAAGGCAATATGGTCCCACGAGCGAGGCGTTTAGCAAGAGAGGCCAGAGCCGCTGGGAATGTTCGAGCAGGTCTTCTTCTTGGTGCCGCCAGTGATGGACACTCCGCTCGATTTCCAATTCGAGCACGAGCCCTTGCCGCAGAGAATGTACTCGTTGATGCCGCTGGACTTGACCGTGCCCTTGATGTTCTTCATGGTAACGTCGGTGATGGGGACACCGGTGGTGGGGGTGCCGGTGGGGGACCCGTTCTCGTAGTCCTGCTGGATAACGAGACCGTACTTCTCGATGTTCTCGAGGGTGATGTCGTTGTAGGTGACGTCTGTAGAGGGGTTGTCAGCGCTGGTCTGCTCCACAGGCTGGGAACGTGGCAGGAATGCTTACCAGACACGGAGCCAGTGGCGCCGTACACGGTCTTGATGCGAACACCGTTCTGGGAGTTCTTAATGGTCGAGTTTTCGACAGTAACACCCTTGACGGTATTGTCCTTGCGGCCACCAACAGAGCCAATAGAGATGCCGTGCCCCCCGGAGCAGGTGCCGCCAGTAAACTTGATGTTAGTGCCGGAGTTGATGGCAAGACAGTCATCCTGGTTCTGGATGTTGGCGTTGCTGATAGTAATGTCGGAGGAGCTGCCAACGTCGAAAGCATCCGTGTTGTGGCCACCGTCGGTCTTATCACCATCGGTGTTGTCAATCTTGATGCTGTCGAGGGTGAGGCCCTCAGAGCTATTAACGGAGAAGCCCTGGACGGGGGTATTCTTCACGTTTAGGCCTTTAATGACGGACTTGCCCTTAAGCGAGTGGGCGTAGAAGAACTTAGGCTTAGTCTTGCCACCGTTGGTGCCCTTGCCGTCCCACCACTTAGCACCGTTGCCGTCAATAACATGACCAGAAGCACCGGTAACAGTAATATCGGTGCCGGAGACGGAAATAAGGGGACCCTTCCACTCCTTATAGCCGAAGGAGGTGGTTCCTTCGAAGACGACCTGGGTGCCTGACTTAAGCTTGGTCATGTCAAGAGTCTCGCCAGCAGGAACGCTGATGTTCTTCAGGGTGATGGTGCTGCAGGAACTCTTGCCCTTGATGGCGGAGGCAGCATCGGTGAAGGTGCAGCTGGAACGCTCGGCAAGCTCGGTGGGAGCAGCGGCAGCGAAGGCGGCGCCGGCGCCGAGAAGGAGGGTGGAAGGCTTGACCATTTTGTTCAACGAGTGTGGGTTGCAAAGAGCGAATGCTATGAAGAGAAGGAGAGAATGGGTGGTCGGGATGATGGATGGAAAACAGCACTCTGGGCCGTCAGGATGGACTTAAATAGCAGAAGTGGTGGTCTACAGGCTGCTGCCGACCTCGTACTGTGATACAGAAGGCCATGAGGGCTAAGATTGCTAAGACCAGATGGGCGCAGCATTGGCAGCAGCTTCTCTCTAAGCTTGACTGCTGTGGAAGTGCCGACGGAAGGCGCCGCATGGCGGGAGAGGCGCACGTCCGGCCAGTGGTGAGGTGGGGCTGGCGCTCGGGTGGCGGAAGCCGTGACATGAAGTCCACGCATGAAGACCGGCACAGCAGTTCCGCAGGGGACGGAACTCGGCAGCCATTAAGCTCATGAGCGACGGAAGCTTGGCCTGGCGATGCACCTTGGCACGTGAGGCCTCATGGCGAGCAAATTCAGAGCAGCGGGCGAGGGGCGGCGCATCTGCTGCAAGGGCAGTTAGAGGGCGGTGTCGAGATAGCGATAGCTGGAAAGATGCGGGCGGGGCGGAGCGGTGGTGATGGTGGTGATGGTGGTGGTTTGGTTGTGGGCGTTTCAATCCCGCAGGCCAGCCGAAACACCCAAACGAAATCACCCAGGGCGACAACCCCACTGCGGAGCCTCCCGTATCGCAGAGTGCGCCATCGGTCCTTCTCAAGGGGCCATTTGGTGTTGGTCGAAATCCGGACGTAACTGCTGCAGCCTTAGATCCATCCTCTGATAACTAGATTGCACCTTTACTTTGGGGCAAATATGCACAATGGGGGCGTTGCTACGGGGGCATAATTCATCTATTTGTTTATTTAGTAACGGTGCATAAATCCGACCCGGCCGGCACGTTTCTCTTCTCTTCTTAGGAGACATGGTCATGTCCGTCATCACCTAGATGGGCAGCGATTCGAGGGAGCGACCGGCTGAACCAAGCAATTCGTCATGTCGCACGTATATGCCTTGGTGACGCAGTAGACTGTTGCGTCGCTTGCCATCTTCTCGAGTTTGCGTATGTATGGTATATATTTGTTGAGGGTGGGCTTCTAAACATCGAACTCAGCAATTGGCACTTTGGCGTATGTGAAATCTCTTCAATTTCTCACCGTCAGAGCTCCATTCTAACAACAAAATCAGGGAGTGGTTAACGCGCTGGCCTGCTACTTTCCGCACGAAAGAAGTTGTTAGCCAGTTCCTTCGGGAGCGTGAGTTCGAATCTCACAGGTGTCGCATAAAACCGAACAATCATCTTTTTTTGCTCTTCTGCGGTATGCGGGCCTGTAAGGGTCCACCTGTTTTGCTCGTGGGCCCGCGTGGCATGATGTCATGGATCGTCGTGGTCGTACCGCCAGTCGTACCGCCAGTCGTACCGCCAGTTGAACAGCCATTTTGTTCTCTTTGCTCAAGCTCCCCGCACTCAAGGACGCATGACTTGCTCGGCCCTGCACCGACCAGTCTGACTCGTGTCTCTCTCTACTGTGTATGACTCTGAGCACTCGTTTTCGGGCCAGGTATCCCACAGGCTCTCTAAGTGGCACAAAGCCAATTAATCTCACTGCCCGAATTGCTGATCAGACTACTCCTCCTCGCTCACGCCCGACAAACGGCTCGTTTCCTCAGACATTCAGAAGGGCCAAACCACAAGCGGTAGCTTAGCCATGCTTGCTTGCTTGTGCATCGCCCTTCGACAGCCCCGCGACTCGGATTGATTGCAGGCTCAGGTACCCGCGGGACGACATGGTCATCCGTTCTGCTCCGGCACACTGTGCACAGACTGGATCACCCTCTACCAAACCTTAAACTGACTCCCTCGATGGCATCTGACTAAAACACCATCAGGAACCCGGTGCAAAATCACCGAGCAATCTTGGGAACAAACCCACAGCAGCCCCTTGCCTTTTCATTTCCCGTCATCCGCACTCATCCGCCACCACGTACAATGCGCTTCTTATAAAAGGCCTGCGCACCAATTGCGGCTGCAACACCTTCGCTGCATCCTTCACACACTGGCTTCTCCAGAGTCCAGGACTCATACATTCCTTTGCAACTCGTCTTTCACAACCCCGACCCAAGATGCTCTTGAAATACGTCTTTGCCGCAGCCGTGGGCCTGCTGGCATCTGGTGAAGCAGCAACTCTTCCGCCAAACTCGGAGGCCCGCCTTGCAGCTCGCCAACGTAAGCCTCCTCCAACATGCCTCGTCCGCCTCGAGCGAGCGATATTGATGTCTCTCAGTCTGCAACGGCACCATCGCCCTTGACACCTCGACCCAACAATACGTCATCCAGTCTGGCGACACCCTGACGACCATTGCGGGCCAGTTCAACCGCGGCGCCTGCGATATTTTCCAGGCCAACAACCTTACCAACCCGAACCTCATCATCACTGGCGACACGCTTGTCATCCCCCCGCAGACTTGCTTCCCGGATAACACGACCTGCCTGGGGCCGCAGACGACACCGACGGCGACTTGCATCCCGGGCGGGCCGGGCTTCTACATCGTGCAGAGCGGCGACTCGCTGTCGGCGCTGTCCGCCCTCTTCAACATCACCCTCGACTCCATCATCCAGGCCAACTCCCAGAACATCCCCAACCCGGACTTGATTGAAATTGGCCAGGTCGTCAATATCCCCGTATGCCCCGGCACACAGTGCAACATCAGCCCATACACCATCCAGCCGGGCGACGTGTTCGTGGACCTCGCCGAGAAGTACTTGACGTCCGCAGGCCAGATCTTGGCCCTCAACCCGGGCGTCGCTGTGGACTCCTTGCAGCCTGGCCAAGTCATCACTCTGCCGAGTTATTGTGCATCCATCCCCGGCCTTTCGAGCGCTGAAGAGGAGAATGCAGGTGGAAACTGGACGGCACCGGCGTATTAATTGAAGAGAAGTGTTTCATGAAGGTAGCTTGCTCGGCGTTGACCAGGGCTCGTTGTACATACTTAGCCCTTGCGGCGGGGCTGAAAGAAATTTAGACTTTCCTTCTAGAAAAGTATTTCAGAGACATCTTCTTCGTTTTATCCGTCCCGTGAACTAGAAGCACCGTCAAGCACCGGCAAGCACCAGCCATCACAGACGGCGAACTTGGCGCGACCAGCAGAAGACAGGCACGACAGGGGCCAGTTGCCAAGACGGGTTAGACCCACCAGCTCAAGCCCGTTTCTTACCCCAGCTTTCCCTCTCCCACTTTTGATCAACGGCGACTGAGTGGTCGCAGCCCGCCAAGCCTGCGTTATCTCGGGCCTCTTCCTCAATGGTAAACACAACCCCCTGCAACCATACACGCCTCTGCAACGCTGCGGGAGTCGATAACGTATGTACAACCCTCGTTTCCATAGCGTACCACCCCGCCAATTACTACCAAGTGGTACGCTATGGAAACGAGCGTGGTACGTTATCGACCCCCAACGCTTCTTGCCTCTGGCCCGGCGCAGCATAGCTGGGTCTTCCGCCTCTTATCTGTATACAACCTTGGCAACCAAGCCATCTGGCCCGCCAAGCTCGTCCGATTGCCCCAGATGCAACCTATCTGCCCATCTTCTCGGGATCCTCAGCCGGACTTCTGCAAAGGTACGCGTGTCGCACTGTTGGTATTTAAGAGCGGGGTTCCTGGCCATGCCCGTCGTCATTCTACCAAAGCTCCCCGACGTTGCCACTGTGTTTTTGTTTTCTCTTTTTTTCCACGGGGCCTTTTGTCCCTTGATCTGAGCCATGACTTCGACATCCGACCCATCGCACATGGCGGTTCAAGCCGACGCCGACGGCCGCGCATCCCCAAACAACTCGCGCAGCAGCGACGAGAAGGCCATGGACGAGAAGAGGGGCGCCGCCACCGCGGTCGAAGAAGACGTCGACGTCGTTGCCGTCAGCTACCAGGACGGCGACGAGATCCGCGAGTCGGACTACACCGAGGAGCAGTACAAGACGCTCCTGCGCAAGATCGACAGGTACCTGCTGCCGCTGATGTGGTTCTGCTACGGCATCCAGCAGACGGACAAGACGGCCCTCAGCACCCAGGCCATCTTCGGCCTGCGCGAGGACACGGGCCTCGTGGGCCAGCAGTACTCGTGGCTGACAACCATCTTCGTACGTGGGCCGCTTCCGCCTTGACGCTGCTTGAGCCAGCGAGCGGGCAGACTATTAACGTCGGCCTGAATGGCCTCCAGTACATCACCTACCTCTGCGGAGAGTTCCCGTCCAACTTCCTCCTGCAGCGCTGGGCCCTGGGCCGGTCGCTCAGCATATACATGCTTTGCTGGGGTACGCAGACTAAATAAACCGCCCACTCCGTCCCTCCCCCCCATCATCCCGATCAGAACGTACGTCTGTGACTGACCATTGCCGCCGCGTCCTTCCCAACCGCAGGCGTCTGCGTCATCGCCATCGCCGCCGCGCAAAACTGGACGCACCTCATGGCCATCCGCGGGCTGCAGGGCTTCTTCGAGTGCACGATATCGCCGGGGTTCGTGCTCGTGGTGGGGTCGTGGTACCGGCGCGAGGAGCACTCGTCGCGGGCGCTCTTCTGGCAGTCGGCCAACGCCGGCTTCGGCATCATCGCCAACCTCGTCATGTACGGCATCGGCTCGCACGCCGAGCGCTACGGCGGCCTCGCCCCCTGGCGCTGCATCTCGCTCTTCCTCGGCGCCACCACCATCGTGCTCGCCCTCATCTGCTTCGCCCTGCTCGGCAGCCCCAAGGAGGTGCGCTGGATGAGCACGGAGGAGAAGCGCATGGCGTGAGTGCTTTTTTTTTTCCTTTCGGCTTTTTGCCCCCGTCTCTCTCTCTCTCTCTCTCTCTCTCTCTCTCTCTCAAACCAGGGGTTTTTTCGACACGTACGGGCTGACCGTCGGCCGCTTTTCAAATAGTGCTGCCCGCATCCTGAAGAACAAGGCCGGCCGTGACGTGACCGGCGTCAAGTGGTCGTGGCCGCAGGTCGGAGAGGCTTTCCGCGACCCGCAGCTGTGGTTCAGCATGATCAACGCCTTTCTGTCCTCGGTGCCAAACGGGTATGTTACTTCTTCTTCCTCCCCCCCGGCTCGATATGGCAGCGACACAGGCCGGCAAAAAGCTGATCCCCTATACAAAAAGCGCTTTGACAACGTTCGGGGGACTCATGTACAAGTCATTCGGCTTTGACGAGCTCCAGGTCCTGCTCATCGAGATCCCACGTTCCGGTAAGGGATTCTTTCTTTTGCTGATCCGACGACGACGGTCGATCCATCGCGTGGTGATGTGTGTACATGTTGATTGACGGCGCAACGGCAGTCACGTCCCTGGTCATCTTCTTGATCGTCGGCATCTACACGCGCAAGGTGGCCAACAGGCGCATGTACATCATGGCCGCCGCCACCATCCCGCCCTTCGTCGGCATGCTCGCGCTGGCGCTGCTGGACAACACGTACGCGAACCGCTGGATCAAGTGGGGCATGTACTTGATGACGGTACCTTTTGTGCTCTCCCTCTTCTTGGCCTGGACGTTGAGTAAGTCGATTTCCCCTCTTCCTCTTGAAGGGGTAAAGTAAAAAAGCAAAAAAAAAAAAAAGAACGAAAATATCAGAGCGAGCCCCGCTGACCTCGTCACCACTCCCACCTTCCCCGCAGTCCCCTCCAACGTCGCCGGCCGCACGAAAAAGACCATCATCTCCTCGGCCACCTTCCTCGGCTACTGCGTCGGCAACATGTGCGGCTCGCAGATCTTCAAGGCCGCCGACGCCCCGCGCTACGTGCCCGGCACCATCGGCGCCTCCGTCGCGCTCGGCGCCGAGTTCCTCCTCATCTGCGCCTGGCGCGTGTATTACGTGCGCCAGAACCGGGCGCGCGACCGCGCCGCGGCCGAGAGCGGCGTCGGCGAGGAGGAGCGCGAGCGGGTCGGGAGGAGCATGGGGGAGGGCGACGTGACGGATTTGGCGAATCCGCATTTTAGGTATACCATGTGAGGGAAAGAGGGGGATGGGGTTGGTCATAGTCTTGAGTGGCTGTCGGTGAAGCGGATAGAGTTCTGCGTTTTACTCTCGGCCAGCTGGCAAGCTGGTTGGGGACGTTTGTCTTCGGCGCTGGGAACTCCTCTTCGTCGCCGTACCGATATTCATCCTGACGACGCTCGGCTACTACAAAGGAATTAGTATGGTGTTTTCTCAGGTCGCATATATTTCCAAGAATTGTACGAACCATTACTCCCTGGTCTCGTGCAGTACAAAGAAACCTTCAAGTACTGCAATGGGTTTGAAGGCCGAGTTGGCGCTTTCAAACCAACAGTGGGGGTGGCGCGTACGTGTCGATCCACTCGACTGCATGTCGGACTGGCGGCCGAACCGACGACGCTTCCTGCTGCGGAGCAGCCGTCGCACGAGGGTCCGCTACAACTCCTACGTACACCATATATCAAAGCCTCATTTTCATTCCGAGAGCATGAACCTCTTTTTTCGATTTTTTCTGCAGCTGTCCCGAAACCGAACACCATGTCCGACATCACCCCCATCCTCTCCGACAAAGCCTGCGCTTACCCCGCTGGGCTCTTCCGTAAGTAAACAACCCACCGTGTTGTCGATGTCAATTTGTGCGTGCGGATGGCTGAAGTCGAATTGGGCAAAAGACCACGCCAAAGTATTCAACAACGTGGTCTATACGACCGGGCAGATCGGCGCAGACGTCGCCGGCACGCTCGTCGGCGAAGACATTGCGTCGCAGACGAAGCAGGTCTTGAGGAACCTATCCGCCATCCTCGAAGCTGCCGGTAGTTCGTTGGAGCGCGTTGTCAAGGTGAACATCTACATGGTGGATCAGTCCGAATACGCCGGTATGAACGAGGTGTATAAAGCTGTGAGTCGCGGTTCTGTTCCGCATTTTCGAAAGGGAAGAAGCACTGAAGATGGATCAGATGATGCCGGATCCGAAGCCACCGAGAGCCTGCGTGTTTGTCAACGGACTGCCTGCCGGTGCAAGCGTCGAGATGGAAATGGTAGCTGCAGTGAAATAGAGAGGCAAAGGAGAAAGCATCGACTTTTGATTGGTGTCATGGCTGAACGCAATTTGGAAAATTGACAAAGGTCCCTGTCTCACTTCCTGCTCCTCACCTTCATGATTCAAAATTGCCGCCAAGAAGGTTCATGAATTCCTCATCCAGATCCATACCAGCTGTTTCACCCGTGCCTATGCCGGCTGCCATGAACTGTGCGGCGGCGTCTCCAAATGGAGTCGTCGTCGCAGCTAAACGAAAATCTGGAGGCAATCCGCTGTCCGACATGGCCGAGGCAGTGTTTTGGGAGTCACCCACAGCGCTGCCGGCTCCCGGCGAGTACCCTGTACCGGCTACCTGGTTCTGGAGCTCGTCGAATGACAGATTGCCCGTGGCAAAGGATGGGAACGATATCTCATCCATCTGCGAACCATCAGGTGCCAAGTGTAGTCCGCCTGGAGGTGCGCTCAACAAGAGCTTATCGGCTCGAAGACCTGAATCGTTACCGTCGGAGTCAGTCATGTCATCAGGGCTCATATGAGATCTCAATCTCTGCGAAACATCGTGAACAATAGCGCGGCATTTCAGAGCAGTCGGAAACTTGGTAGAGAAATTTTCAAGAACGCTGCTTGCTCTATCGAGATCCTTCAGAGCATCGGATCTTTGTAAATATGTAGAGAGAGCTTCTGGCTGCGCCGTGATGGAGTAAATGAGGGTAAGAGTAATGGTAAAGACATTGAACAGGTTGAGCCAGTTGAAGGCGTATCGTTGGTCATGGTGCATGGCTTCAATCTGCCTGATTGCCATTGCGGATGCTTCTGCAATCAAGTGGACTTTCTCCAAGGTGAGGACAGGACACAGCGGAGATGGCCTGTAGAGCATGATGAGATGCGTGTAGTAATTGAGGTCGTACCAGGCCGTACTTGTGTGGGGAACTTGCAGTATCCGCGTTTGAGGCAAGGGGAAGGGCATCGTGCGGCGCCACTCAACCAACTTGGCATGAAGCGCGCCGAGAATCTCATCACGATCAGCAGGAGGCAGGTACCGATTCTTGTTTGAATACACCTGTTCGAATATTTCGCCAGCGATTCTTCTCAGGGACAGTATGTGCAGCGGTACGGCCATTTCGGACGCCTTGAGCGGAGGTTGTGGTAGGATCCTATCGGGCAGGATATTCTCATCATCGACCTCGGTGAAGATGGCGACTTCGATGTCGTCATCGCAGATTCCGAAAGGCCGGCCAAGAGAAATGGAAACGACTCTGTCCATCATGTACAGACTCCAGAAAAGGCGCTTCCTGTATTCTTGTACGTCGAGGGGCAGTTGCCGAGTGCTGTCGTTCGGTGCCGTGTGAAGTCCCGTGCCAACGGCAAGGCGGATGGCGGAGCCCACCAAGTACCACGTGTTGGAACCAACACGGTTGAAGAAGGAGTACGAGACTTGCAGAAGCAGGGCATCCAGAGCAGCCATATTGCCGCTTGACAAGGCTCTGTAGAAATAGGTCATGGCATTGTTGAAGAATCGGACAGACTCGGACTCGGACCCATCGGGGACGATTGCCGACCAGGTCGTGGATCCAATTGCAAAGACCATCCACATGGTATAGAGCCACGGCCCACAGCTTTCCAGACTCTGGGGCTCTGTCACAGAATACATTGATTTGAGCCGTTCCATGAACCACACTTTCCGGACAAAGGGGTATAACGTATGCGTATGTGACCAGTAAAACTCGGCCAGGCGAAATGCTTGCTCCCTGGGCGGTAGACAAGCTGGATACTGCAGAGCTGATGACTCATTCCCAGGCGCGTTGTTCGGAGCAGCGATTGAAATGTCGTTCTCGGAGGGCTGGTCTTGTTGGGTGACTTCGAAGCTGAAGGGAAGCTGATCAGGCTTCAAGCGACGCAAGACTGCCTGAGTCAAGCGCGCAAACGAGACACCAGAAGAGGAACCCAGATATCTGTCGGCAGTAGCCTCCAACGACAGCTGTTTTAGCTCGGACGCCAGTTGGTCTCCGCGCTCGTCCTTGGTACTGATTCGAGACCCTTGGCCCAGGGCGCTTGAAGCATCCGTTGCCCTGTCCGACTGGACGGCAACCGACCGTGGCTGGTCTTGGTCTGGCAGTACGGGCGGACTGGGCTCAATGGGAGTGGCCACGGACAGGTTTGGGCTGGTGGAAGAGGGGTCGCGAAGCTGTGCTTCAAGCCGAGCTACGCGCTGCTCCAACCCACGAACGTAGCTGTGCAACAAGGGCCGTCAGCAGATTGCGGGGCGGGAACCGGGGAAACAGCGACAAGCACGCACGAGATGTAGAACAAGCCGGTCTCTTCCTGCTGCTCCTCGAAGCTGCACTGCACACCCGAGTGCTCGCATGCCTGGCATCGCGGGAGGGTCCTGGAGCACTTCTTCTTGCGGTTGTAGCAGCGCCTGCAGGCTTGATTGGCGCGGGCGGGCGCGGTGGTGATCATGGCGGACGCGTCGCAGGCATCGCGAGCTTTAGGCAGAGCCGGGCGGGGACAGCGGAGGATGGCGCGCCGGACATGGCGGAGGATGGAAGTCGAGGACTGGCTGGTGATTGGAAATCCGTTATCGCAATTGGCAGAGGCGGGGAGCTTGATAGGGCAGGCGCATCCCCGGACGCGCCTCCTACATCGGCCGTTGACGAGAACGCGTCTTCTGGCTCTTCTGGCTGGCCCCGCTCGCGCGTTTCTTCCATCACTGCACCCAGCTCCGCATCGGCAAACGAGCTGCTTCCCCGCGCCGCCGCGCCGTCACCTCATCGTCCCGGCTTATCTACACGTCACGTGCCCGTGCGGCTGCCGTCGGTCCTGCCGACACTCATGTCGGGTGTCCTCCAGCGAATGCCCGGCGGCGGCGGCGGATGCGTCTCGCCGCCTGTCGGTTGCGCCGTTGATGCCGCGCCTTATAGAGCCGCCATGCCGCCAGCCTGCCAGACTCTGACGGACTCGCATACCGTTTTCGACCATGGCCCTATCACCGCTTGACGTCAGTGCTCATGGGGCCGTGCTCCCCCACCAATGCCTGTATCTCGCCGCCGTCTTTGTGCTGGCTTATGCATTGTTCAAGGTACCGCATCGCCGCCCCGTCGGCTTCGTCCCATGCTGATTCGGGGACAAGCTTGCAACCTACACCGATATCCCCTACATCAAGGGCATACCGGAAATCCCCGGTGCCATCCCCGTCGCCGGCCACCTCTTCAAGCTCGGTGAAGACCATGCCACAACTTGCGAGAAGTGGTGGAAGGAGTACGTCTCCCGCCTAGTTTGATGAGACCACCTGCTCACTGCGCTGCAGCTACGGCTGGTCCGTCTTCCAGATCCGGCTTGGCAACACTCGCGCCGTAGTCTTCAACTCATTCGAGGACTGCCGCGATGTCCTCATCAAACACCAGTCTGCCGTTATCGACCGCCCGAAGCTCTACACTTTTCATGGTGTCATCTCTTCGACCCAAGGCTTCACCATCGGTTCGTCGCCGTGGGATGCCAGTTGTAAGAACAAGCGGAAGGCTGCTGGTACAGCCCTCAGCCGTCCCGCTTTGCGGAACTACTACCCCATGTTCGATCTGGAGAGCTTCTGCATCGTTCGAGACATGCAAAAGGACAGCAAGGCCGGCGAGCTGGAGATCAGCGTCAGGCCCTACATCCAACGCTACGCGCTGAACACCACTTTGACCCTCTGCTATGGCATTCGTATGGACGAAGTCTATGACACCCTGCTGCGCGAGATTCTGCACGTGGGCTCCGCCATTTCTCTCCTTCGCAGCGCCTCGGAGAACTACCAAGACTATATTCCCGCCTTGAGGTACCTGCCCAACAACGAGAAGAACAAGAGATCCAAGGACCTTCGGGCGAGACGAGATGCCTACCTCAACCATCTGCTGGACAAGGTCCGCGAGATGATCAAGAATGGCACAGACAAGCCCTGCATTTCTGCTGCCATCCTCAAGGATCAGGAGACCAAGCTGACGGGCGTCGAGGTCAGCTCCATTTGTCTTTCTCTCGTCTCTGGCGGCTTTGAAACCATTCCCGGTACTTTGACTTCCTGCATCGGGTCTCTCGCCACACCAGAGGGTCAAATATTCCAGGAGCGTGCCTACGCCGACATCAAAAGACACTACCCCAACATCAAGGATGCTTGGGAGAACAGTTACCAGGATGAGAAGGTTCCATACCTCCGCGCCATGATCCAGGAGGCCGGCCGATACTACACCGTCAGCGCCATGAGTCTTCCACGCAAAACCGTCACAGAGGTCAACTGGAATGGTGCCATCATTCCACCCAAGACCATGATCCTCATCAACGCACAGGCCGGCAACCATGGTATGTCAAATCAGAGCCACGCATCTGATCACTTTGTGCTAACAAACAGCAGACACCGATCACTTTGGTCCCACGGGTAACAAGTTCGATCCCGAGCGGTGGCTGGAGCCCATCACCGCAGATAATCATATGGGTCCGTTCGTCGAGAAGCCCCTTCATGGCGTAGCCCATCACTCGTTTGGCGCGGGCGCCCGCGCATGCTCTGGACAGTACATTGCCGTTCGCTTGCTGTACGCCGCTCTGATCCGCATCATCTCGTCCTATCGCATCGTCGCGAGCGAATCGGAGCCACCAAATACGGATTACGTCGACTACAATCAGTTCAAAACAGCACTCGTAGCCATCCCGAGGGACTTTAAGGTCAAACTTATTCCCAGGGATCGTGGAATGACGGAAGAATGCTTGGATTCCGCATTTGAGCGTACGAAACAACATTACAAGGAAAACGTAAAAGGCTTTGAGGGCTATGACTGAGCCATCCAGTTTTAGATGTACGAAGACCACTGATATCCAACTTGTGACAATTTGAGAATAATGACCTTTATGGAGCCAATACTGAAACCCATGGACTACTTGAAAGTGATGTATCTTTGGAAAGGGACAAGGACAGATCTTCGACGCCATGTCCTCCACAACTTTGAACAGGCAGTGGTTTGCAATAGAACTAACGACCACCACACCCTAAAGTTAAGGGTATGGGTTAGTTCAACAGCTCCGACACCTACATCCTCTGCGCCAACAGTTTTTGTACTGGATGAAAAGCATATGAAATGTCGATCACCGGCGAGCCCAGGAAGAATACCTACAAGGACAGAAGCTCTGACTGCTCTTGCAAAGCATCCGACTTACTGGATATAGTCTAGGCTGCAACGATCTTTCTCGGCGATGGACCAGGCTTCCTCCACATACACTGCATCAAAACCGTCAGCTCGTAACCAATGGAAAAGAACAAAAGGGAAGAGAGAGTAAAAATAAAAAAGACAGCCAACCCCCCACCAAAACTCAACTCAACTCACCACATGCTCGACCACACCCTCACCCCCACCCCACCGCCCCAGATCAAACCCCACCCTCCTCACCACCTCAAACCCACTCCTCGCATACAACCCCTCCCCCGCCGGCGACGCGTCCACATACGCCTCCAGCCCCTCCGCGTCCGCCCGCTCCAGCCCCCACCGCACCAGCATGCCCCCCGCGCCCCGCCGCCCCTCGTCCGGGTCCGTCACCAGCGTCGCCAGGTGCGCGTGCGGCCGCGCGCCCATGAGCTCGGCGTGGGCGGCGCGCAGCGGGCCGAAGAGGGCGCGGTAGACGGCGGGGCGGAACTCGGGGATGAGCTCGTCGTCGGGGATGAGCTGGTCGTCGTCGTCGTCGTTGTCGTTGGCGGCGGGGCGGTGGCCGTGGCGGCGGGGGATGTCCCAGCGGGCGCAGGCGATGATGGCGGGGGCGGCGGTGGCGCTGTCGTCGTTTCCGGCATTCGACGTGCAGTCGACGACTTTGACAAAGTGCGCGGCGGGGTCGGTGCGGAAGGCGTGCAGGCGCTGGGCGGTGGTTTTGTCGAGGGAGGACTGCGAGGGCGGGGCGTGGTAGAGGAGGCCGCTGATGCCCGCGCCGGTGGGCGAGTAGTACGCTTTGTGGAGGAGCGCCGTCATCAGGGGGATGTCGGCCTCGGTCATGGGGAGGACGGTGAGGTTGTCGTTGGTGGTGGCGGTGCTCATTTTTGTTGCTGCTTTGATGTGGACGATGATGGCGTTGGGGAGGGAGGGGGCTGGGGCTCGATGCTGGAAATCGGCTCGCGTCCGGCGCGCCTCCTGTTATAGAGATTCCCCCATGTTGTCCATCCCGGGCTTGATGGAGGTTGATGCCTGATGGAGTTGCCTGAATAGGAAGGTGGGAGGGACGGAGCGAATCCTTGGCGGGGTTCCCCGGTTGGCGTTGAGCACGAGGACGCACATGGTGCTCGTCCAACTAGATAGATCCTACGATCTTGTTCGATGTTGTGTGTTTGGATACTCGAGGCCTCGTGCGCGGGTGCGAGCAAGGAGCCGATGCAGCTGGGAACTGTCGTTCAAGCAATGTCGGTTTAGCTAGGAGCTTGCGACAATTTTATAAGCAATTTTTCTGCATTCCTAAGCGTTTGGTGAATCACCGAGTTCTCTGACTTTTTTGTTTGCAAAACGGAATGCCCGCCGGTCGGACTTTACCACGTCCTACACTTCAGCCCTCAGCCCCGTCATCAAGTACCGCCATCTTTAATGGTGCAGACATGGCGTGTATCGGCGCAGCAAAAGGCAAAAAGAAATATGTCGGAAAGCGTCTGATGAATCTGTTTGCAAAACGGAGGGCCCGCCGGTCGAACTTCACCACCTCCACTTCAGCCCTCAACCACCCCCGAGATATCGCCATCTTAAACGATGCATATCGACGCAGCAAAAAGCAAAAACAAAGATGTCGAAAAGCGTTTAGTGAATCACAGAGTTCTGACTTCTGTTTGCAAAACGGAATGCGCCGACCGAACTTCACCAACTCCTGCCCTTCAGCCCTCAACCACCCCAAACAAGATGTCGCCATTTTCAACGATGCAGGCATGGCATTATTTATCGACGTAACAAAAGGCAAAAAGAAAGATGTCGGAAAGCGTTCAACGAATCACCGAGTTCTCTGACTTCTGTTTTCAAAACGGAATGCGCAGGTCGAACTTCTCCTGCACTTCAGCCCTCAACCACCCCAAACAAGATGTCGCCATTTTTAACGATGCAAGCATGGCATTTATCGACGTAACAAAAAGCAAAAAGGCAAAATAGTCCCACTGGGGATCGAACCCAGGACCTTTCGCGCTTCTACAGGTAGAGATGGTGTGCGATCTTTTGGAAGATGCGAACATTTCTAGACTGTGAAGCGAACGTCATACCGCTAGACCATAGGACTGATTGATGAAAGGATGCTGGCTGTTACAAAATATAGTATCAAAATTTTCCGGAGGAGTTGCAGCGAGATTTGGCCGTGTAGTGTGCCGGGCTTCGGCGAATACTAGCGCACCGCAAAAGGCCGGTAAATCCCTGCTGGACCGGAGACGCAGCCTCTTCAACGACAGCATGCACATGAGAAATGAGGCTCTACAACAGTTGCTCTCTGGGGCTTATATGAGCCAAAGCTAGACGGAAGTCTCGTTTGCGGCACACACACACACACATGCCGGTCTCGCCATGGCTGACAAAGACGAATTCAAGATTCAAGCGCCAGACAGGAGACGGAAACAGGAAAGGAACTCCACGACGGGTGAAAGCGTGATTAATTGATTGTTATATGCGTAATGAATGTCCCATGCCTTGGGTATCTACTCGGGTCTGTATACTTCATGAAATTGTGTAAGACGTATCAATGGATCATCCTCCGACTGCTGTACACTTCACGACAACACCGAAGTCACCTAGAGGGCCATGGCAGCGACAAGGACGCCGGCAACGCCGGCAACGGGCACAGCGAAGCGCGCAGCACCGCCGGTAGACGAAGCGTGGGCAGCAGAACCGGTGGCGCTGCCGCTGTGAGACGACGCGGTGGAAGCAGCTGCAGACGTGTCAGCAAAGCGCCAAGTATGACGGTGAAGCACCAGGTACGCCCCCGAAGACAGAAAAGGGGATGCATTACCCGTGGAAGAGGCGGAGCCGGTGGCCGAGGCGCCGGCGCTGGTGCGCGAGCCGGACTGGGCGGAGCTGCCCGACTCGGAGGCGGCGCCCGTTGCGGTCGAGGCGGAAGCGGAGCCGGTGGCGGAGGCGCCGGCGGAGGCGCTGAGCTTCTCGACGCCGGCGGTGATGATGAGCGGGCCCCAGGCGACGTCGGTGCCGGTCAGGGTCTCGGTGGTCTCGCCGGGGAAGTTGGCCTCGGTGCCGCCGGCGGACTCGACGCAGACGGCCTGGGTGGTGCCGTCGATGGCGCAGCTGACGGCCATGGTGAAGTCGGCCGTGTAGTCGGAGGCGACCGAGTCGTCGGTGTAGTGGTACTCGAGGATGGACGGGCCGGCGGTGACGGTGAAGGCGGCCGGGATGCCGCACTCGCCCTCGGTGATGTCCGAGTAGCTGCAGCCGATGGAGTAGGTCACGACGTCGCCGTCGGCGGCGATGACCGAGGCGACGGGCGTGTTGTCGAAGCCGGCGGCGAGCCAGCTGGTGGTGATGGTGCTCTGGGCGACGGCGCCGGCCGCGAACATGATGGGGAGCGTCTTGTACATTGTTGGGTTCGAAAGAGCGACTGGGTTAGGTAGCGAGCGACTGTGTGTGAAACGCTGCTCGAGGAAACGGGACTGCCGGACATCTTATTGCCATCATGGCCTGCAGCCGCATGATCCACACGCGCTCACGGTGAATCCTCTCGAGTGACTAGTGAACGCCACTAGGCAGCAGCCGCCGCATGGGCCGCAGCTTCGAGCGGCGGCTGTTGGCCAGACGCCCGATAAGGATTGAGTGGCGTCGCAAGCGGTAACTTGGCAGGGGCATGGCGCCAATCGCCTTGCCGCAAACCTGCTAGTATGCTGGCTTTAACTGTACAAGCTTCTTTAAGCGAAATAACTCTCCGCGTATCCGGATCGCGAGTCCCGACTCGGTATGTATTGGCCGAGCATGTTTAGCGAGCGCTTCACTGGTCTGATCCTACTTCGAGGTGTTCTGGACGGAATCACGGCGTTTATGATATACACATGGTGCTGTGACTGAGATTGCTTTGTCGGAGGGAGACATGTGTACTTTACGGAGAAGGAAAAGATCGTGCCGCATCAGACCAAATCAAGTGAAACATCCGGGTATGCCGCCAGAACAACGCCATATAGATGTGCCGAAAACGCCTCGGGTGTGGGTCGATTTACCGAAGAAAATAAAAAAAGAAACAAAGAGTTGTTGGCACGCTCACGACGCCGTCGCCGCCCTTCATCTCGGTGAGCCGATCGCCAGCGGCGGTGGAAAGAGCTCGCTTGTGGACGACTGCGTAGGCGCATACTCGGACCGGGAATAGACCGAGCTGGATTTCGAGTCCATATTGGTTGACAGCCAGGAAAGGCCAGGAGGACTCAAAGAGCTAGGCGTGTTGCTGATACCCATGGCTGGAGAGCTGCAGACGGGTGGTGTGGTAGGGGGCGCTTGTGGTGGCACTGCGGGCAGTTCCTTGTCCATTGAGGCGGTGCGGGTGCTCCGTGGGAACGAGTGGTGTCCTGTGGTTTCCTTGGACAACGAGGGGTTTGGTGCTCTCGGGGATGTGCTGTGAGAGAGCGTTCGCATAGGGAAGCGCGGCGAGTTCGATGATATAGGGGAGATCGGGCCTCTGATCTGGTTGGTGGACGGATTCCGATGCTGGTGAAGTTGCTCTGGGAGCAATGATGTTCCACCAAACGAAACACGATGGGTGTTCATAGGTAGTGTCTTGTGGGTTGACATCGAGGATAACGATATCTCTGTGTTGACTTCAATGGAGATGCTCGGTTTCCCATCTTTGGGCAAAGATGCCTGATGCGAGGGAGCCTCAGCATCAAGTGACCCCTGACGCCCATATGAACTCCTGCGCCAGACGCTGTCCGGATGGCGATAAGGAAGGCACAGGCAACAACACCAGGCTCGTATAAACGCCATGTACTCTCTTCGGAAGACGTATGTGGTGCCGAATATACACCAAGCGACGATGCTGGGAACAACGCCAGGAATATATTGGAAAAGATCGACCCTGGCCTGTTCAATGCTCAGACGGGGACCCTTCACTTCTGCCGAAGGTCGTTGTGAGTGGCGGTTGCGCTGGAGATTGACGAGTTGGTAGACGATGAGAGCAGCCTCAAAGGCGCTACGGTTCCCGGTCAATTGGAATCCGAGAAGGCGCCAGGTGTATACTCACATCAAGACGGTCATTATGAGGCTGAAACGGACGATCAGCCATTTGTCTGTGGTCCTTCCGCGGTTCCCACTGGCTACAGTTGACACTGTGCCTAAACTGGATGAACAGCCGTTGGTGGACCTGTCACGTTTGAAGAAGCGCCTGAAAATACTCCGAGCCAGCAAGTATTTGTAAAGAATTGCAAGCACGAGGAAGAATCCAACAACCATTGACACAGTCACTGGGCTGGGTCAGCAGACGGAGCTTGGAATCGGAGGAATCGACTTACTGATGATGTTCACGACGACCAAGAAAAGCACCGGCCGGGCCCTCAAGGCTTTGATCTGACAGAGAGATACCATGACCGCTGGCAGGAGAATAGCGGTCGATTTGAGGACTATGGCCATGGTTTTCTTCTTCTCCGACTTGATGCGGATATTCCAGGTCCCAATGAAAAGGGTAATTGCCCTGGTGGTTTCGATCAGCTTTCTGTGCCCGGAGCGGAGACCACCGGCGCAACAATGGCCACATACCAGAACAAGACGAGAAGTGAGTCTACATTGTAGAGGTAAATGCCTTTTGGAAGGGTCAGCATGGCACAGGACTCGCAAGGCTCGACTGGGGTGATTACCGATGGCAGCCGAGACCGAGCGCCATCCAGAGTCGGATTTGCCAAACATGGCGGTTCGGTCGCGCTGCGGTTTTTGAAATGCTTCATACCTCTCAATCTGTATTTGTCGCCAGTTGATTGTGTAGTCGAGATGGGTGACGACTCCCTGCACGGCGCCCAGCGTGGTCGATACGCCGAGCAACAGGATATCTCAAGGACGGTTAATGCAAAGTGTCGATGCGGATGGAGAAACAAAAGTAACTTACAGCTGAGACCCTCGCCATGTCGCCACAACATAAAACAGAGCAGAAGGCCAAGAAACACGGCGATGAAGCCGAGCGCATTGACAAAGATGGCCAGCCCGAAGACCTCGTGGGGCAGCTGGGCAGACATTGTGGACATGATGCTGGCAAGCTTAGGATGTTGAGTCGTCCATGACTCGTGTGGAAGCAAGCGATGCGACGAGCAGGCTTCAAGGGTAAGTGTACGGGACTGGTTATAAGAAGCAGCGATTAAGCCGCAGGCGCGTCTTGGAGAAAGTGGGCCAGACGTCTGCGACAAGCTATCCCAGAGACTCTTCCTCTTGCGGCGATTCAGCCGACGCGAGAAGTGTCCGCCATATCAGTAGCATGGGCGAGAGGCGACGGTTAGCGGCCAGACTACCAGGAAAGGTAATTCAGGCAGGGCGTAGCGGCAGGGACGGGCACGTTTTGATTGTCGGTACCGCAGATCCATAATTCGGAAATGTGACGAAGGGCGAGCCAAGTGGCATCTCGACGAACGGACCATGGTCTGGACGTGGAGTAGAGGGGAACGGAAGAGGAAGCTGGAAAGACTGACAAAGCCTGATTGGCTGGATGATCATGCCCGACCGCAAACATCGACGTCGGGCAGGTGGGCTGAAGGTCGGAGTTATCATCAATCGGTCGCAGCAGCCTCCACCACCGGTACCTGCCCAGCGCAGCTGCAGGCCCGCACCCGATGGGGACGGCGCCATAAGCCACGATCATCGGCAGTTGGTCCGTTGTCGGGGCGAGACTGGGTTCGTCGGCGGCAGATGTGCACTAGGGCGCTCACAATCGCGGGGGATGTGTCTGACGGGGCGTGCCTCCGGAAGGGACATGGCTAGGTACAGTGCCAGCCGCTGAAGGACGGACGCAAAGCCTGCGGTGGATGAGCTGCACATTCGCGACTGGAGTTGGCAGCATACGGCCGTGAGATGCCGGGCTTGCACGACGAGAGAGGACGGAGGTGTGACGACGTGGTTGCACCGGACTTAGCTCGCAAATCCCAGCTGACGGCAGTGGCCGATGATGCGGTGCTAAGCGTTTGACCTTGACTTCGGTTAACAGTAGCTCATTCCAAATGTATCTTCTGCTGCACCACCACTGACGCATGGTGCGACTCTGCGAAACGAGCCTTCAACCCCGACAGTCGATGAGAGAGCGTCACGGCGTCAGCAGGTGTGACTGGCAGGCAAGGGCAGGCAAGGGCAGCCAAGGGGTCACTGGGGTGTCGGGCAGCCGTCCCATGAGTCGGATGCCGCAGCAGGTCAGCCGGGCACGGAGCACCCCGCGGACAGGAAGGTGCCATGGTCCACGCGTGCCGCCGTGGCGCCGCGTCGCCGCGCTCTCATTGGCCCTCGAGCCGGGCTTCGCTAGCTGATGCACGGACCCCTGCGCCGCCCTTTTAAGCTGCTCGCCTCCTCTCCTCCCCTCTCTTCTCTTTCCTCTCCAGCACAAGGTGCTCACGCCCGGCAGCAATGCCACTGTCCCCATCCGCCGCAACCCGAGAGCCTGATCTCAGCGGGCCGTCCCTCATTTCCTCCTTTCCTACTGCGCATCCATACGAGACTCCTCCATCCGTCTCCAGCTTCGTCGCAGCGAGCGACCGTCACCTCCTCGACCCCGTTTCCTCTGGCGCACACTCCCCTGTCGCATTTTAGTTACACTCCTTCGCTACACTCTCAATACGCCGAAACATGCCTGCTGGCAATCGACCCGTTGGCTTCGACCACAGCTACGCCATGGTTGACCTGGATCAACCCAGATGCCGCAACAACTGAACGGGCCCATGTCCAATCAGCTACATACACTCTACCATTACTACTTTTCGTGGGGCGCATGGATCTCAGATGGTGCAAACCAAAGTCAGAACCCAAAGTCCCGCTCGGCTCAGCCGATCGCGACCACTTCATCGCGGACCGTCGTTCACGTCAATACTGTTGGAGAGCTACTGCCGGAACACGTCATCCTGTCCAACCAGTGCCCCAGGGGCCTGGCACAGCATGGGCGCACAGAAGGCCTATGAGACGACGCATGATGTATGATGCACTTGGAAGCCAAGATGCACTCGACACTTGCTAGTCAGCAACAGCCATCACCTGGTCATGGTGTAAGGCAAGAGAAAAGTCGTCACCCGTTATGGTGCAAGTCAAGAAAAGTATCACCTGTGGTGGTGCAAGTCAAGAAAAGTCATCACCTGTGGTGGTGCAAGTCAAGAAAAGTCATCACTGGTTGTGGTGCAAGTCAAGAAAAGTCATCACCTGTTGTGGTGAAAGACAAGCATGCCACCTGTCATGGGGCAAAATTGAAACCATCCGATGAGGCGGTGTGTGATGAAGAACCATGAGCCAGGCTCAAAGGTGAAACACACAAAGTGGAGCTGTCGGTGAATGTGCTTGCTGTCAGAGCAGCACCGAAACATACTGTACAAGCAGACCCGCACCGAACTTCTGAGGCATGAGTAATGGAATCCCGCGAGGATTTATTGGCTGGCGGTCGATGGAGGCAAGAGTGCAAAGGGCACGAACTCACCCCCGACTGCAAACAAGGCCTATGAAGCTGAAAGCCGACCCCAGTCGGAATCAGTTTGATCGCACTGAGGGCTCACTTCTTTCCCGGTATTGGTCCACTCTAAAGAAGATGACTTGGAAAGACCAAGTCTCGATTTGAGTGCTCGACCCTGGGACACCGCTTCCCTGCGGTCCACTCGAGAAGAGTGTTCGACCCAGGGATCACACAGAACCACAGCCACGTCGGTTAATACCGTCAGCAGACGATAAAGAGTACATGCTACTCTACGTGTTGGCCTGGCGCTCTCCAGCGTACATGTCTAACATAAACAAATAGAGCTTTGCTCCGCGCCTTGCCGTCAGGTTCAAGGGGCGTGGCCTTTTTCCTTTTACCCTCTCTTCCTTGTTCACACTTCCCTCAAGACCATTGTCTTTCGCAGAGAACGCCCTCGTGCGTGGTTTGTCCGCCCCCTGTGCATCTGGCTTACCCTGAAGGGCTTGCCTCATGACTTGTGTAGGCAGCAAACGCGGAGTCGGTGCGAGAGCGCCATGCTCCGCCTCATTGCTTGCGACAATGCTACTCTTGACGGGTGTTTGTGGGCAGGGATGAGAGAAAAGTGAAAGAAGACTGAGGCTTATGGGTGTTGGCGGCTTTTCTGAGTTGCCTCTTCCCTTTCTTTTCTGTTTCCTTTCTTTGCCCTTCCACTTCACTGTCTTTCCTCCATACTCCCTTGTCAAAAGTGCCTTGCTAGTGTTTCGTTCCATCTTCCTGGCCAATCGCTTCTATTGTCAGAATCTCAGGATCTGCCTGAAGAGCCCACTCCCTTGACTTGCGACCCTCTGGCTGAGGGCACAAGAACAGCGCACTCAAGGGGGCCGTCGTAAACCGACGGGAGAGTAAGGGACTCTCGGGCTCGAGGCTTGAGAGGCAAACAAGGGATAGATGTTGCGTTATACTATGCAAGTGGGCTTGAGGGGCATTGGAAATGGGGTAGAGAGCCGGTTGGAGATGGTTGGGGAAGAAAGGAAAGAGAAAAGGAAAAAAACCCTTTACTACTTCATCCTTCGAGATGGTGGGCCAAATCCCACACTATTTTTTTTCGTTGACTCTCTCGCCTTTGTTTTGCGGGACGTCGAGGAAGAAGAAGAATGTGGCAGAAGCCAAAAGACACTTTGTGTGCAAACACGCCATCTCGATCGCGATCTGGCCAGGGTTTTCGCGTTTCGAGAGGCAATGATGGGGTGGATCGCTTGTGGGTCGCAAGGGTGGGGTTGCATATATTGGATGGTGGGAACTTCCTCTTCTTTCTCTGGCTCACACCATCCATCCCCACTCGTTGGCACATTGAAGGAAGGCCGAGGAAAAAGAGGGCAACCTTGAAACGAGGCTTGCGATAACGGATGTGTCACGCCAGGTTGTTTTGCTGGATCTGTTTCTAAGGTCACGTCTACGAGATCACAATTCAGATCACAAGTTGGGTACAGCTGCCCCATGGTGAATAGTAGTGTGCTTTTTTAATCTTTTTCTTTTTTTTTACAAAAGTGCCTATTTGAGGTTGCACTCGTGAAGGAGTTGAATAGGGTTTCTCCTCCTATCTACGTGCACAGGGCGTGCTGAGTCGACCATGAGCCTGAAGCGCTGAGCACATGTTCGTTCTTTCAAATATCAACGTCCCAGTTGCAAAAGTCCCTACTTTGCGAAGCAACGACAATATAGCACATTTCACACAAAGTAAAGGCATTACCTATCCCTCTTGACTCCGGCAACCGTCTGCTGTTGATTGATCAAAGAGCAATCCATATCCCACTACCTCACATGCAAACCCGATCTTGATCCTGACCAAACCTCAAGTAACCAAGCAACGGCGCGACAACCCACCCGATGCTGATGCGCCTTCCAGTCCCTCCGCCGACACTCAGGGGAGCAACAACACCTCACCGTCTCGCTCGCAGCGGGAGCACCTCCGCAAAACTCTCCCCTCTCCCCCATTTTCCCTCCTGTCGCCCGCAAAACCGCGCGCGCGCGCATCCGCCTGGCGCATCCATCGTGCCCCCTCCCCTGCCCCTTTGCTCAACAATAATAGCAGCACTACCACCATCACCACCGGCGGCGCCGCTACCCAGAAAAAAAAAATCCTCCTTACCGACCATCCATCCCCTGATAACAAACTCCTGCTCAGTAATAGTAGTCATTCCGTCCAAGAAAAAGACCGGCGCGACAAAGCCACGCGCAACCGCGATCGAGCCGCGTTAGTTAGTAGTAGTGCGGCCGCCGGCCGACGCCTTCAACCACCACCCCGTCGGCGAAGCCGTCCGCCGCCCCCGCACGTGCAGAGCACGCCTTCCTTCCTTCATCCGTCGGCGAGAAAACGAAAACGAAAAGACGAACGCTGTACCTACCTACTTCCCGGCGACCCCGTGCGCCCGGCCCACGTGGTGTGTGTGTGTGTGTGCGCGCGCGCGCGCGAGCTCATCAGCCATCCGCGCGCCGGCAGCGCCGCTTTTCCATGCATGCCCTTTAAGCTCGGCGGCGCCGTCGACGTTTGTTTGACCTGGCCTGGCCTGGCCTGGCAGAGCGGGTGGCTCGGATGGTGGGTCGTGGGGCTCTCTTTGAAATATGCAGGGGCGATTACGTGTGAACGATGTCGAGCGTTAGCGGGATGCACCGCGGCGCGTCGAGTACCGTACTTTGGGGATGCGAGGTTGATGAGGCGGAACGCAGAGGCTAGTAGGTAGGGTCGAGACATGCATGCCGCTGGCCTAGTGGTTAAAAGTGAGTCCGCATGGTGCTAGCGTGACGGTCGGCGACGTGAGACAAGTAGTGTGGTGGTGAAGAGAATCTTTCACAGGGCGATGCGGGTTTCCGGGTGGCTGGTGGTTGGTGAAGCTGAGCTCAGAGAGGCGTCGCGGATGAGGCGTTCATGGTGTGACCACGAGGGTGAGACGGGATTTCAGCCACGAGGTCCTGTGACACTTCGTTGTGTCGATAATGGGCATGTGAGAGATAGGGAGATAAGGAAATTCCAGATCATGGGGCTACTATGCCATGAAAGGTGGGATGTATGAAATTGGGGAAGTCGTGCTTCAGTGAGGGCGACGCGGTTGGGACAATGACCTCGATGTATAAAGACTTACGCGCAACTGTGACCTTCTTCTGAGACTCCAGAACTGAGTCTGGAAAATACAGCTGAGAATGTAATATTTTGCTTCCAACCTTCGCTATAACTTCGCTATAATCACACAAGGTGAAGCCTAGACAGTGTCTACTGCAACGCCATTGCTGAGCTTGGTCTTCAGGTTGTCGGAAATCAGTCCAACGCGGCCGGTCAAGCTGGAAGCGCGAGCGGTGCTCGTATGGAAGTTTGCAGTGATCTGTGTCTGGATATTGGTCTGCGCTGTGGAATTATTACTCTCTTGCCTCTTTGCCGATGGCAACATGTGTGGTGCTGCAAAAAGGACCACGCGGCATGGCGTAATGAAGACGTGTGCAGCGCGATCGAAAATAACGTCGAAGAGGCCGAGGTATTCATCGAGCTTTGAAGCAAGTTGTTGCAACTTACTCTTCAGCCTACGCCGTACAGCATCAGAACCCACGCGCTGCTTAGAAAAATGGTGGTAGGGGCCATAAACGATACGCAGAGTGGGGATTCGTCGTTCCATCCTTGACTATCTTGTTGAACATCAAAGGCGAAATTTGTTCATGTTCCTTTCGCCGGTGCATTGCTTGGTTCCGAATGCTAGATATAGCCGCAACGGAAGAATGCTCTGTTGGGGTGTATACGTGACAGACCAATGGCGGAGTGCTCAGCTGTTCCCCCACTTTATGAAACAGGCAGAGCTTCGACCACGGCACTTTTAACGTCATGTTTACAATAATGTTCGGCAGAGAGCTTCAGGCCCGCTGGGACGCCTCACGGCAGCTCCCAGCCATCTGCACCAAGGGAAGTTCCGGTATCAGGCCAGAGCATATGGCAAAGAGATGCATCTAGACCCTCAATTCTTGCAGAAATTCTGCCCAAGCATGAGATCGGTATCCTTGTCAACGAGGCCGAGAAGGGTCGTTGCAGTAGTCTTGCTCCAGTCTGTTTCCACCCTGTTCTTGACGAACCGAAGGAATGCCGCAAAGCTTGCGCGCATGTGCATCGTATGTTGGCGAGATGTCGCGCACTGCATTTAGCCATGAGAACAAACGGGTCCCCGCCCTCGAACATGGTCAAGTATGTTTGGTCAAGGAGTTAAGTGAGCACGGTCCGTCTCATAGTAGTGAAGGCAAGATGGCTAGGCGCTGCCAGCTGGAACGCGATTCTTCCAGGTCAACGGCCTGCCGTCAAGCTGTGTAGCACTGTCTTCTTGAAAGAGGCCCAGCATAGTGTTGTAGACCGATGACACCATTGACATGTTGATCCGGTACTGCACAGGAAAAAGGCCTAGAAGAGTCGATGGAGTGGGAGTATTCCCGCAGAGCAGTGCCCCAATTGGCAGCTGTCTGCCTCGTGGCGGCGCACGAGAGACTTTGCAACAAGGTTAGCAGCTAGGTTACCGTCAAGCAAGGGTGCAGTAGCCACCAACAGGTCAAGGGAACCGAAGTGTTCGATAAGATTGGATGTGTCAGTAACGTTGAAGGCCGGAGGGGTCTGGCCTGACCTGTAGTCATCGGCATCAAAAATCAGTGGGTCCGGCATGTAAGGCCCACGATACCACTGGGCAGCGTCGTCAGCGGCGGTCAGTTTCTGGTGCAGCACATGGCAGAAGGTCATAGCTTCTCCCGCAAAGAAGCGTAGTGTGAATTGCCAAGAGCGCCTCCGGAACGCGTCGCACCAGGCTTCGAGCTCGAACTGCAGACGGGCCGTCTTCACGAGCGGGGCCAAGCCAAGGCCGTCGAGCTGGATTGAGTTGAGCGGAGAGGCGTTCGTTAGCGGCAGATATGCAGTGGCCGGGTGGAAGCCCAGCAGAGAGTCAGGTTGTTCATCTGGCCGGAGAACATGGGGTTAGGCACGTCCGTCCTTGCCGTAGCGCCAGGGCCATCCGTGGTGCCGCTACGCCAGTACTGTTTGAACAGTCGAGGCGCATCTAGCACAGTGTCCATGACCGGGCTGCGGTAATAACGTTGGCAGCCGTGCAGCCGTGCAGCGCTTCTGGCAGCTTCCTGTGCCCGCTTGGCGCGCTCGCAGTCGGCGTCAGCATTGACGTAGGAGAGCCAGACCTCGTGGACTTTGGCCGGTGTCACGGAATCGCACACGCGGAGGCAGCTGCCATCGGGGCGGCGGTGTCAGTCGACCAGGGATGCGGCGGGCTCAGTCAACGTCTTGGCGCGGCGCCGCAGCAGCTCGAAACCGCTATCGTCCAGGAAGCGGCGGTCATGGAGGCTCCGGATGGCATGTCGTCGAGGATTAGGCTGAAGAGGAGGTGTCGCGGGCTGTGCGTCAGTGTACGATAGCGGGCGGCGCAGCAGCACACCCACAGGCGCGGGGGCTGGCATGCGGATGACGGCGGGCTGCAGGTCGCGGCTAGTCATATCGATCGGGCGGGCATCATCAGCACGGGCGGCCTCGCAGCAGGCCCTGTGGCCCCGATGAGGCCCTGAGGCCCTGAAGAGCACGCGGGCGGGCGGCTCAGACAAGACAGGCCAGGCCAGGCAGGCAGGCTCAGGCGGCCGGTGCTTACTACTGCTTGCTGATGCGTGCTGGCGGGCGGGTAGGAGCAGGCGGCCGCCAGATCGACGCAGGCCGGAGAGAACATGGCGGGCGAGAGCGTGGGCGAAGCAACGGCGGAGAGGGCTGGTCGCTGGGTCGGGGCGCGAATGGGGGCGGGCGGCGGGACGGGCTCTGGCCAGGACTCCAGGAGGCACGGAGGCAGCGCAGGCAGAAAAGGCGCAAAGGCGGGCGATCGCCAGCCCTCGCCGTGGTCTAGACTGCGCACGCCTGCCAGCCGCCGCCCCGCGGTTGGCTGTCCAGCCGGCCAGCTGTCGGCGCATGTAATGCATTTATTAGCGGACGCGCACACGCCTCAGCGCGGGTCGGGAAAGCTGCCGCGATCGAGAGTCCAGAAGTCCAGACCTGCGCGCAGTCTCGGCCTTCGCGTCTTCTGGTCTTCTGCGCCGCAGCGCCCACTTGAACACCTTCGCTGTCCTCGCGAGCCCCAGCGATCGCCCTCGAGTTACACAGACCTTGGCGCCGACGAGACGACAGCCTGCAGAGCCACGACACCACGACACGCTGGTGCTGAGCCGCATCCATCCGCCTCCATCTCGCTCGCCGCAACCGCTGCCCGCAACCCGCGCCCGGCCCGCTCTCCACACCACCCGACCTGACCCGTCGATCGCAGCGATCCCGCCCGGCAACCACGACTCCACGACTCCCCCCCAACCCCCGCCGCCGTGCCAAACCCGCCGCGCCAACCCGCCGCGCTGCATGCGGCCGTCTCCTCACCATGATGGAAACCACCACCATCGCGCCGCTCACCCTGCGGCTGCCCGGCGTGCAGCCCACCGACTCGCTCGCCGTCCGCCTGCGCCCCGACGTCTCCTACCACCTGCTTGAACGCGCCCCGAAGCTGGACGGCCCCGAGGCCTACGAGTCCTGGGCCTGCAATGCCGAGAACGCCCTGGCCGAGGGCGGCTACCGCGGCTTCATCGACGGCACATGGGACCATTTCGACCGCACCGAGTGGTGGCGCCACGGCGACGCGCAGGCCCAGGAGATCATCGAGAGCTCCTGCGCCGACTCCATCCTGCACTCGGTCCTGTCCGAGGACGGCGAGGCCAAGATCAACACCGCCGCGAAGCTGTGGCGCTTCCTGAAGGCCGCCCACGGCTGGCTGGGCGAGGTCACATACTCGGGCCTGCTGCGCCGCTGGAACAGCGTCACCATGGCCGCCTGCGTCAGCGGGGCCCGCCCTTTCGCGCGAGAGCTGATGCAGATCAACAAGGACCTCCGCGAGCTGCACGAAGCCTACGCAAAGGCCACGCTGGAGATGAACGCCTGGTTCCTGTACACTCTCAGCGAGAACTTCGACACCAAGCCCGGCCAATGCATGGATTTCGGCGAGTTGCAGCGCAAGGTCGCTGCCTGCGAAGAGACGCTGAAGCGCGGCGTGGCCACTGCCGCCGTCCGCACCGCTCAGATCGAGCGCGACGCCGAGGCCGCAAAAGCAAGGCTGGGTAGCGGCGGCCGTTGCGTGGATCTCATCCCTGACGAGCCCATGGTTACTTTTGGTTTGCGGTGCACCCCGGCCCAGCCTACCTTGCCGCTTCCCTCTTCGGGCTGGCACGAAAAGAGGAGGCTGGATCAGCAATGCCGCCCTTCGAAGAGAGTCAAGACTGAAACTTGACCTGCACCCACCACAGCATCCCTCCCCAGCCTCTCCACCGCATCCCATCGAATGCCGTGTGATGCCCTAGCGGTGCTGCAGGGACCGTTGATCGCCATGAGACACGGCGGATGATCGACCTGCGGTCACGTCGTACAGTCACCGCAGCTCACGTCGGTGTCGTCGCCTCGGAGCGCCGTCGGCTGCAGAGCCGCATTCCTGCTACCACGGAAGCGTCGGATATCATGTGTTTCCTGCGATCCCGGTGCCTTTATGACGGGCCTTCCTGGCGACCCGGACGTTTTACGGCCGGGGTGCTCGTCCGCCCCTTGCTGGCATGTTGCACGGCAACGGCCGATCAGGCCCCCTCGGCCAATAGGAAGCGCCCCATGCCGCAGCATCTGAAGCTGTGGCACCCTAACGACCGCAGTCCTCTTCTGCCATGTCACTTTTCGAGCTCAACAGTTTTGGACATGTCGCATTGTCCGACGGGCAAGCGGCAGAGCAATAAACGGAGTCCCAGGGACATCCCAGAGCGAGCGTTTCGCAGAGATGGCGGTAATATACTGAGCCACAGCCCAGACGTGGTATCTGCGGCACGGCTGAATGTGGTGCGAGGTAATTGAAGATGGCTGGACTGGAGCGGTATATCGCTCAGTCCCTTCCAGCACAAGAGGAGGAGCGAACGGTCGTTTCCCCGTTCCACCCGTAATCAAGCCATCAATCACTCGAGCAACTTTGGAACATACCCAATACATTGTAATCTTCAAAACTTGTCAATCAAACTTACAAATTTACCTTGTCACATCTTCTTCGCTGCGTATCGTGAAGGTTTTCCGGTTGTGCTGAGACCCGTGCGTGATGCCCACTTCCCGTATTCTCCGCCTTCTACTAACACTGCCCCTTGGCCGAAGGGCATCGTACAGTGATGGAGTTTTCGCAGATGCACGACCGCCTTTCCACCAGGTCGATGACGCCGGACGACGATGTCTTCTCGACCCCAGGCTCGTCGTTCTTCGGCCAAGCCGTCTTCTCGTCGCCTCCAAAACTTGACTCGACACCGCCAACCTCAGACTTCGCCGGCTCGAACCACAATACACCCGTACACTCTCGCCGTCGGACACCAGCCAAGTCACTGGACACTCCGTGGGGCATCAGTCTTGAACCGCGAGACATAAAGCTCGAGTCCACGCCGCCGCCGTCCTCCCAGCTTCCAGCTGAGTGCGACCTCTCCCCAACGCCAGCCCCGAGGAGCAGGAGGCCGACAACGCCCAATGCCGTCCGACCGCAACCATGCTGCCGGATCAAGGCCAAAACCGCGCGAGACCTCATCGACCAGTCCAAGCCAGACCTCCCACGCCTATCAAACACATCCTCCGAGCACGCCTACCAGCAATGGGCGACCATCGTCCGCAACGCCCTGGTCACGGGCAACATGTGGAAGTTCGTCGACGGCTCGCACGCCGGCGTGCACCGCGACACGCGCTTCTACCGCACCGCCGAGAACAAGACGGCCGACCTCATCCGCCACGCCTACACCGCCGCCGCCGCCGACTGCCCGGCCCCAGCCGTGCTGAACTACACGCTGCACATGCCGGCCGACGCCCTCTGGGAACACATCCGCGCCGCCCACACATCCATCCCGACCGCCACCCCCACGCCCTCCTTCTTCTCCTCCATCAACACTTTCTCCTCCCCCGCCGACGCCGCCCCTCACCCGCCCTCCTCCACCTCCACCACCTCCTCGACCTCCACGCCGCCTCCACCGCCCCCGCTCCTCCCCCCCTCCCAATTCTTCAGCTCCACCGGCCACAGAGTCTGCTTCCTCCTCGAGATCTTCCACTCGTGCACGCAGGCCAGCCTGGGCGGCGACGCGGCGTGCTTCGCGCAGCAGCTCGAGTCGATCGCGGCGCGCGTGCGCGAGCTGGGCTTCGCGCTGCCGGCGTACATGGTGCCGATGCGGTTCCTGCGCAACCTCGAGCCCGAGCTCGGGGGGAAGGTGCGGGAGCTGGAGGGGAGGTATGGGGATGCGTTGTGGATGGGGGGATGGGGGGAGAGTGGGGGGAGTGGCACTGGTGGTGTGCCGTTTGCGGTGGTGAGGGAGGAGGTGGTGGGGGAGCAGCAGAGGTTGAGGGAGGAGAGGGAGAAGAGGGAGAGGGAGGAGATGGTGGCGGGGGAGATGGAGAGGTTGGAGGGGGCTGGGTGGGGGAGGGGGGATGAGGATGGTGGGGGAGTGGCGAGGGGGGGTGGGAGGAGGAGAGTGGAGGTGGTGGATGA